GCGACAGCCGGGCACTAAAGTGCACGCCGGGTCGACGTGGCTCAATTGCGGTCACGGGCGACGAATAACCGGGCGCGATCTTCATGCAATGGACATGCAAACGGTGGCTCATGGCCACATGCAATTCCTCTGGGAAACCCTAACGGCGTGATGGGTGGAAACCCTATATGCACGAATGGCGAAAAGCCTTACTAACTAGCATGAGGCACAACTAGCACGTGCATCCGAGCCGTCACGGCAACGAGGCCACACAGCGTGACACTGTGTTCGAGGGTCATCGATAGAAAGAGGCCACGATGTAATTACTTGATTGCTACAATAACCCGGTAAAGTGTTTGCAAACCGTCGAGGTCAGGTCACTTGCAGATCATTGCATATCATGTGGCCACTCTGAATTAACGATCGGCGTCAGCTTTACTTATACTTGGAAGAGCAACTGGTATGATCTCCAAAATCGTGCAAACGGTGTGCATGATCATCGGATATTGTCGCCAAGCCTGATCTCTTTCAATTAAGCAATCGGAGATGAATTGCGCGAAGCACGAGTCGAGCAATCAATGGTTACTTCTTTTCGTACTCAAACACTTGCAATTAATGCCATATGCGAGCCGCACACAAGCTGGTCTAGATTGCATGGCTCATCTTCTAGGTTATAAGGGATATGATCATATCCTTCCAACGAACTTAGGTCTTAATCAACTGCTCCCTTCTTTCACGACTAGAGAGCTGTCGGCATGACCGAGTAACAGCTCCAGAGGTTGCGATTTCAAAGCGCATGGTCGGAGTCAATCGAATTGAATGGGCGGTTCATGGTGGAAACGGTTCGTGTTAACAACATCAGTGTCACAACATAATTCAGAGTTGCACGGGACCGTTATGATGCATGAGACCTGTCAAGCCCTCGAACCCCGGCTGCGGTCCGGCCAGCAAAGACCATGCGGCACAAGGCCGAACTGACCCTTCTTGAGCCATCTCGCATAAGGTCAGCCAGAGCGCCTTCATCCATCAAAGCGCGCGCACTCTCTTCGGCCCACGTCTTCACAGTCTAACCACGATCTCGCAGAAGGCCCGCGCGGATCCTTTGCACTCGTCTGCAGCTCGGAGGAAGTACAGGGCTTTCATGCAGGCTCCCTCTGTCCGCTTCTTGCCCCGAAGTCCGGAAACAGTCAGCTGCTTCAAGGCCTCCAGGAACTCCCGGATGTTGTCCGAAGTGTGTTATGCCTTGGCGCCGCCCTGTGCCTTCGCGTCCATCTTTCAAGATTCGAGTTTTCGAATCATTGCCCCAGCGGCTTAGCTTTGATGTCCCGGTCTAAAGAGAGAACGCCCACCGTAGCTACTATTATGAAAGGGCAACGTGATCCTGTGGAATGACCAGGACATAGCTAGACTCGGAATCTTAGAAGGAGAATGTTGAGGAGATGTGCGTAGTCTTCTCTATTTCAGCGTCCTCTCTGCTGCGTTCTTAGTTTAGAGTTCCTGCAGATGGAGGGGGCGAGTCTGCCGCGTGATTCACACTAAGGGAAGCTTCAGCTCTCGGTAGAAAGGTACGAATAACCGAGGATCAAAACTCTGGCTGTCACATTGAAACTGTCCTAGTGACCTTGACGAACGTAAGCCGCATCTGGGCAAAGGGGAGAACAAGCGCATGCAGTGCTCGTGGCGTTCCAGTTGAAGTGGTGCGCCGGTATGTGTTTCCCCCTCGGCCACGAAGGCACAGTACCGGTCCGGGGCACCTCAATGTACCGGCTCACATATCCTTCGGCGCAGTGCCGGGTGGGCGCCTCTCATAAGACCTTGCAAGACAGGTAGAGGAGGATTGGGCCAAGCCCATCACCTTTACATACAACAAGGCGACTTGAGGGGTGCTTGTGTGGACCGGTTTCTGCTTCAGCTTCTGAGCTCGTAAGCACCTCGGCGTGGAAAGCCCCTTACCTGGAAGATTCTTCCTTTGCTCCGCTCGTTCCCAAGGTTGGACAGTTTGCTCGGTTCACAAGCAGCCTTTGTCCCCACAGTCTTTTGAACCTTCGAGCGCTTCGAGAGAGAGGGATTGGAGAATACGATGGAACGCGCTTCGAAGTATGGGCGAGCTCTCGACACCACCGACAAGCTACGCGCGTTCCTAGACGCCCTCAAGTCCGGCCTGACCGGAAGCAACCGCAGCAATCTGAGCCGCCGGAACAGGCTGTTTGCTGACGTGGGCGGTAGCGTCACACCCGGGCTGATGCAGTACCTCGACCTGCTGGAAGCGGCGTACGACCGCCGGAGGGGGAGGCCCCAGGGGTTCTGCCGGGCGGTCTGCGGAACGATGGTGGGCTGGGCGGAAGCGGAAGAGCGGAACGGTCTGGAGCACGAAGAACTAGAGGCGGAAATGTTCTCGAAGTGGGGCAAAAGCGGGAAGGGGTTCTCATTGGTCCCGGAGGCGCTGCAGGACGCGATGCGGCCTGAGTATAAGGCGGCGATGGAATATGCGGCGGACTACCTGCTGAGCGAGTAAGCACCCGATCGAGAAACTTCTGTTCATGTACTGCGGTAATATCGAGCCGGCGCATACTGATACGCTGATACTGAACCCGCTTGCCTGATCTCCAGCGCGCTGTTTGAGCGACGGAGAGGGAAAAAGCAGTCGAAAGCTCTATGTGGAGCAGAGACTGATATTTAAAGATGCGTTTCAGGCAAGTGATAATAAAAACAAGTAACAAGTCAGCGATACGAATGATAGAGGCAAACACGAGGTACGTGACGAAAGCAACCGCTTTTCTGTTTCTGAATCACCGGAATGCAAGGGCGTAGACTTTAATCTGGTTCGTGAAAAGACGTACGGAGAGAGCCGCAAGGCCGTTTCGCCTCCTCCAGTCCCTGCTACCATTTTGACCCTTGCATTAGGTGCGCGATCTACGGCCCTTTGGTACTCTTTTTCTCAAGTCCTTGGATCGAATATGATCGAGAAAAGCTGATGTCAGGTGCTGGTCAACAGGCCATTCTGAAATTTGGCTTGCGGGTGAGGATTTTTCTCCTTTCTTCTGGCAGTTCCGGATCGAGCGCGCTTAGCAGCGGCCTGAGGGTCGCAAAGGTCCTGACGGGGGTGTACGCCATCCAAGTGTAACTTCACACAAGGGATCCTTTTGACGTGGTATGACTCGGAGTCGACCAAGAACCTTTACTGTTTGCGTCTCTCGAATTGCGCATCATCATAATTGTTCGAGAATCTGTTTGATGAGGATCAATGCCTTGCCTGTTTTTCTTGTGCTTTCATGTGGTCACTGTAAAGATACCATGGACATAAACTTCAGCAGCCGTGATATTACCTTGTTGTTTCTAGATCCACTTTTTTCTCGTCGAAGCTGGATCGAATCAACGTATTGTTTTCAACCCCATGAAGGGCGCTTGGAATGTCTTCCTCAACTTTCCGTTTGAAGTTCAGCCGCTCTAATGACGATTTTGCTGACATTTGTGCTGACGGCGAAGCCTTCCTCTGACTGCCCACCAGGATCTGGACGAAGATCTCGCTGACGTCATGGTGGAGGACCTGTCAAGCCTGGATCTCCCTGACGGGTGGAGAAACTACCTGCGAGAGAGCCGTGCGGAAACGGAAATGACAGACGTGAGGGAATAGAGAGGCGCAGTGTTTCAGAAAATCCATGGAGATTCCACAATCAAATGCTCGGCTTCTTCTCTCTTCCTTTTCGGATTGCTTCGCGTCTCTGTAATTTCGTTTGTAATATTATTTTTGTGGCTACGCCCTTTCGCTGCCCCCGCGGCCTGTCTCTTTGCTTTAACGGAAACCGTGACACCACTCCCAAACGCCTTCGATTCCTGGTACACTCAAGCAGATGCCGATTGAGATTCTGACATTGTCAGCTTGTGGGACTGATACTCGACGCGGCACCGTGTGCAGATTGATTTGACGAAGTCTCTGGGCTTTTCGATTTTGGAACCTGCATCCATCTGCACTTCTGCCGAGTCCTTTGGTATTTCTCGATCTAGTGAACAGCAAGCCCAGTGAACAGTAAGCACTTTGGGGTTTACTAAAACCCTAACCCAAAATATTACCCGCTCCGCACCCGTTCCCACCCTAACAACCTAACTAACCCTACCCGTCTCCATTACTGTTCACCGGCTGTTACTATTCACTACATCGATCGGGATGTCCTGTGGGCATCCACCTTCTTCTGCTGATGCATGATGCATGATCCTGATGAAGCTCCACCTGTTCCGGCGTTAAGACAAGCAAGGTTTCCTGTCTTTCAAGGATCCGGGAGTCGAACTTTTCACTTGTCACACTTTTATACTTGTCACACTCTTTACACTTGTCGCATTGTCACCATCAGTGAGCGCTCAGATCTATAAGCAGCGGATGCTTTCTAGCCGAAAACGTTAAGCAGCCCACATATTACCTGAAGCCTGTTGAAGATAACGGAGGAAACTCAATCCGCCTCCGTGCCCTCTAGTTGGAAGACCCCAGTGACCGCAGTTTTGCTCCCCCCTCCGCAGACCGCGCCGGCCGCAGGGGCGCCCGCGGCGCGGCGCGTGCCCGCGCGCGCGCGCGGTTGGCCCGCGTCGGCTGTTTTCGACGTGGGCGGCTCTTCCGCAGATGACCGAATTACGTGCCCGGACTGCGGCAAGGGGTTCGCGAGCCGACACTCTCTGGCCAACCACAAGCGCGTGCACGATTCTTGGCTGGCCAAGGTGAGGTCTGGTTCCGGTGCGGTTCCGTTCCGTTCCGTTCTGATGGATGCGGCGAGAACATTGGGGTTACCAAGGATCCTGCAAAAAGTCCTCGGGAAAGATCAATCAAGGAATGGTAGAGGGGGCCCTTGCAAGAATACCAGGGCGGCATTTGAATCGTACAGTTTTTCTTTTCTTTTCTGAGTCGGATAATTGGTTGAAAGCTAGATTCTAGGGAGAACTTCTCAACGAAGGCGATGCCGGAATACAAGATTCGAACCTCACTCTGCACCTTTGTTGATCTCCTGAGTTTATTGCTTCAGAAGTTATTGATCCCGCCTTGTCCTCAGGACAAATCCTTTCCCAATCCTCTTTCGCAAGAGATCATACCAAACCTTAGGGTAACGAAGTTGTTGGCGCTCAGAGATGTACCTTTTCACGAGCGCCCTTTCAGAACTGAGCAGACGTGAGGGTTCATCTCGCTCAAAAGGAAGTGGCGGGACGATGCATTGAAAATTCACCAGGCCCGAACGGCTTTCCTGCTTCGTATAGCCAAACCGATGGCAGAACTCCCATGTGCCCGCTGTTTCGTTTGGGAACAGTATGCTCGGGATTGCCGCTCCGCTTCGTCTCTTCTTTTTAAGCTGAGGTACTTGCATTCTATCATGCACGCCATTCCGCATCTTATTTCCCGTCAATTCAGTCTATGACAACCGGGGAAGAAATTCTGGTTTCGGCTTTCTCAAGCGGGAATTCAAGCACGACCTGAAAGTGGATGACTCAGGAGCTTTTCAGGCTAGTGGGCGTTCGACCAGTCCTTACTCTCCGTATGTTGCACCTCTCAGGACGTCGGTAGCAGCTCAAGGGGCCAGAAGAGCGGAGCGTCCGCCGTCGATGTGGATTCGGACGACGATCGGACGGTCCGGCGTGTCCTGGAGAAGAAAGCCAAGTTTGGCTCCAGCCGGGGCGACCCAGCGAGAGAAAAAGCGTCCCCGAAAAATGACGTGGCTGCCGACGTGGCGCAAGCTCTGAAGGCGATGCTAGCAAAAGAAATCAAAGCGGGCGCGCGGCTCCTTACAGAGGAGGTTTAAACTAAGGAGCGTTAGAAAGCGAGCAGGTTGTCAAGGAGCGAGCTACATTGTCAGAACGTGATGTCCAATACAAAGTTACACGCGAAGGGATTAGGGAGTAAAAAATCAGCTTATGGCGCTGTCGACTACAGGCAAGGCGATAAGGCTGTAACAGATGGGAGGTATGAAACGGCATGATATGAACATCTAAGATTGGGCATCAAGACTCGACGTGCGGTCTGTCGATTCTGCTCCACAAACAAACAAATCTACCAGTAGAAGATGAAAAAAACATAGATAAAACGCCTTACAGCGTTTCCCACTTTCTCAAAAAGCAGATGTCCACGTGGTTCATCTCAAGAAGCAATTCAATTCATATAAGGTGACGGCCTTGCCCGATGGCATGCAGAAAGGCAGACCAGCTCTGTATAGAGTGTCAACTCCAACGTACGACTGCGTTCGATCAGACACATGTGAATAATCCATCATGTTGCAAGCTGCAATTGCGCAAGGGAGAGATAGTTGCAGGCCTCCCATATTTACAGACTCCTTGTAATGATTACGAAGGCATGTCTTGCACGTGTCAAGTCACGATTGGACGGTTGCCTTGAATGTTGTTTCCTTTTAGAACATGCGACCGCATTCGTTGGACCGTCACGCCGTCCAGACAGCTAAGAGTAATATTCCTTGACCCATCCGATTACAGATTAGGGTCGTTTGGATTTGAAAATGAAAGCCTTCCTGGGTTCTTGGAAAATGGTACTATAATCTTTTGGAAACCAAGACTTCCGTTGATCCTCTTCGTCTCTTTCAGTGACGTCCGCCAATCAGGTACAGTTCTGCTACGACTCGTCATACTCGATACATTATTGAGCTTTACCCACATTCCTAAACGGTCTTATAACTTTGTACGGACCTGAGTACTGGTTGGCAAACAGACTCAAACGTCACTGATATTCCTTTTCTATCATGCGCACCGCTGCCTTCAGTTGCTTCTCCATCTTTCCCGCGGTACGCGCTCGCCAAGAATCTGACTGGCGCATCCTTGGAATCATCTTATTGGCCCTCCGCTCTTCCGCAGGATTCCGGTCCGTTTTTCGCTCTTCCGCCGGAAGCTGATCCGTTCTCCTGGCGATCTGCTGGCGGGTCTTGGTCCGCCTCCTCATCGTTCGCCTCTTGGCGGCTGGAAACGTCCGTGTTCGTTTTCGGATCGCTTTCTGCTTTTCCGCTGTCGGAGTCATCTGACGGAACTACGGACGTGCGAACCTCCTGTTACGGGAACGAACGAAGGTTGTGAAACTTCAAGTTCTCTATGAATGCTGACTATTTGGTCACATTTAAAAATGCGACGTCGAAGTCTGATCAGCCAGTATTGAAAATCCACAAAGTCACAAGCCTTCTACTGATCTGGCGAGATAACACTGAGCTCTTTGAAGATTGCCACAAATTGAGTCTCTGAATTCCGTGCCTTTGGGCAACAGCATGGCGCCGCAACAGCATAGGCCAGGTGATTTAGACGCGCCATCCGCGTGCCCGATGTACACCGCTTCATAGCCGCCGAAAAATCCAAATGGGGATGGACAGTCGATGCGAGCATTGACAGAACGTGCTCTTCATGCAAGCAGAGACCTTGTTCAGTCTTTTTCTTTGAGGAAGCAACAGAAAAGACACAAATCTGTTGACGTAGCCACCATCAGGTGGGTCCCTGAGCTATCGGACTAGAGGCTTTGACTTACGCGGAGTCCTTGGACTGCGTCCTAGTAGAACGTCTTTGCACGTCTTGCGGCAAATCGAGCCGACCCCCCCGCAGGCCCGCCCTTCGGGCTCGTTGCTAAATTTTCTGTCTCTATCGACATGAGTCTAACGTGGCGGACGTGCACTGCAGCACCGGGTGACTCTAATCTCAATTGTTTATAGGAAGCGTGACATGACAACAGCTTGGGACTTGAAGCAATGGCGTGGTATAAGTTCTGGAACTTAAGTGAGGCCAGGGCCTTGCCACAGCGAGGGACTACTTAGTGCATTGAAAAGCACTGGCCTTTCGATCATCGAACTCGTAAGTAACAGCCACTTGACGTACAATGCAACGTCGAAGTTTTGCATGGTGACGAGCACGTTATATTTCCAAGTTGCAGCATACTAGATCACCTTGGTGTGCATGCACATCATCACGCGGTTGGCTGCTGCACACAATGTCGGTTTACTGAACTTAGCCACGTACGTACTGTGGTATATATGGCAATGTTTAGAGCGAGGTATCAAATAAGTCGTTGCATGCATGCCGTACACTATAACAAGCTAGACTCACTGGACATACTAAGCCGTCGGTCATGTGGCAGTTCAGCTAAAATGTACTTGCTTTGCCTGACTCAACGTTGTTAGCAAATGATGACCAAGAGCTTCGCAGATCGTACATGTTATCTCCCAAAACCACCAAACCAAGCCTCTTTGATTGCAGCTTGCTTCTCGCACATGTCACGATGACGTTCATGTCCTTCGCGTTTGATTGCCAGGCGTTGGGATCATTGGCGGCGTTGATGAACAGCGTTCGCACGATCTGGTAGTGCATAACAGCGATAACAGCGCAGTTGCGCTTCAAGTATCATTGATTTCAATGCCAACAGTGTTTTTGGCGCGCTTGCATTGCAAAGCCTCGCTCTGTACGTAATGCATGACCTCACCCTCAAATATTTTTCTAAGGGACTTTTAGCTAGTATCTACATTATGACTCTGGTCCACTGGCGGCTCTAACGCAGTCTATTAATCTAGATTGAAAGTTGCCCAAGCTTCATGCTCGAGCTCAGAAGAACAATCTAAAGACACTTTCGATCTTAGTGTTGCAGAACGGACATTCCCCTCTCTTTTCCTTGATCAAGGTGCCACAATCGTAGCACAAGCAGTGACCGCACGGTATGATCGCCCCGCTCTTGGGGTTGTCGAAGCAGATACAACAACTGTCGCTCTCTTGACCGTCCTGCTTATCGGCTCCGCTACGAGCTTTCGTTTTCCTCCGTCCTACTGTTTTACCGGATGCGATCGGACTCTCTGTCCGAATCGCCGCCGAGTTGCTCCAAGAATCGGGCCCACTCTCGGTGGTTCCAGACCAATCAGAGTTTGCCACGTGGCTTGATCCGGTAGAGTCTGGTGCAGGGGTCGGGCGGTCCCTCTCTGGTTTATATACATTGGAGGCCGCAGCGAATCCCGGAGGAGCTGCGGTTTTACTAGCACTTTCTACCGGTAGAAGCATCGCCAGTATCGACGGAAGCTCAGGGGAGAGCAAACCGGGCTCAGGCGACCGCTGTGCGCCTGAACCGATGACGTCCCACAAGCCCCCAGTCATTAGGCGGAGCATGTCTCCATTTACATCAGCGGACACCTCCGCTGACGTCGTAGCCTTCACTCTGACTGTTGCCGGCTCAGAGCTTTTGGCAGCCGGCTGACCGACTGAAGGAGTCCTGCGTTTTGAGGGGGTGATTGGAACGCCGGTCGGCTTGGGAGAGGCAGACTGCCCGGTAGGAATCGCAGACTGACCGGTAGGAACGGCAGACTGCCCGGTAGGAGCACCAAACTGCCCAGGAAGAACGGCAGACTGCCCGGTAGGAGCGGCCGGGGCAAGGGACCTCCCTTGAGCCAGGGGATTGTACGCCAGGGGCTTGCGGGGCGGTTCACTGGTAGCCAGAGGACCCCGAGGGTTACTGTCAGATATCGGGTTAGGATTAGGGTTAGGGTTCGCTTGCAGTCGCCCAGACCCCTGGGACAGCGGGTTAGCTGTTGCTCGGGGGCTGGGAAGGATTCCGTCGCCCGAAGCATTCAAACCCGGAGTATTCACACCCGGCAGCATCACCACAGGAGGAGCAACCGACGGCTTTCCCTCTCGGTTGCTTTTCCTCTTGGCCGTTTCGCTGCGCGTCTTCTGAGTCTTGGGCGATCCAGCTTTCGCGCGTTGGGACCCGCGGGAGGGGGGGGTGAGGGGCGGAGTTGGAAGCAGGGGCCCAAAGTCGTCATGGGTGACGTCAGCACCGGCCGTCGCTCCCCGGGACGCCGCCGGGGGCCCTACGACCGGTAGAATCGGCCGGTAGGGTTTTGGCGCAGCCTGCTGGGTGTGTTGGCGCCCACTTGCCGCGTTCGGAGACTCTGCAGAAAAGCAAGAGCGGGTGGACGGTTTGAGTTCAATCATGTTTCGCCAGAGAGAACATTTGGTCCTTACAACCGGTCCTCAAAGTTGCACTCTGACAAACATTCCAAGTGCAACGTTCGCAGTAGAGTAGTTTGAGGACGATTGGCAGATTACCTGATCTATTGTTTACGTAGTATAGGGGCCGGTAATGGCCCAGCCCTTTTAACATGCGGCTCGGTTTTCTCTTGCACAACACTCTTTGAATGCGAGTCAACTGTAGTAAGCACACCACCGAACTGCCGCTCTTCATTCCGCCCTTCATTCTACCTGCTCCACAAACTTCTCACTCAGCGCACGGAACAAGCTAAGACAATCGCTGTTCCGTCACCTGATTGTGAAACCGGGTACGGGGAAGAAAGGTAAATAACCGAGACCCAAGACCACAATCCTGATATGATAACGCCGTTCGCCCAAGCTCGGCTGCTTCAAATACTTCCTGGAAGGTGGTAGAGCTGCAAGTGTCCGCCAAAGAGATCTCGGGCTGCGTGACAACAACATCAGAAATCTGAAAGAACTTCCCAACGGTCTCAAGGATAAGACCGCCCCATCCTGTCGAACACGACCTGCATTCAGATCTTCGGCACAAAGTTGGCGAATCGGAACGCAGGGTCGACCGAGAAGATCTGGTTGTTGGGCTTTCCCAATTTGGCTTTGCAAAAACAAGTAACCTTGAGGTGAAAGCCAAAATGAAAAACACAAGAACCGAATCAAAGATGGGATTACCTATCGCAGGCACTGAAGCAGCCGTCCGGCTCCGCGACGCCTGTCCGCCAAGCGTTCCGCCTCCGCTACTGGCCGTCGGCCTCTCACCGGCTGCCACATGGCTCTCCGGACCCGTCCGGACGTCCGACCGGCCTCCGGCGTCCGGCTGGCGGCAGCCGGGCGTTAGGGTTTTGGGCTCGCCCGGCGCAATTGCCGCGAACGCTCCGGTAGTTGGAGAACGAGGCGAGGTCGAGCCGGGGACATTGACGGAATTCGAAGAGAGTGTGGAGACGACACCCGAAGCGACATCCATCGAAGCAGGAGCAGCGTCCCCTCGAACCTGCAGAAGGTGCATTGGTTGAACTTTCGAGCTTCGCTTAGCCGGGTTAGCTGATCTGCTTGGACGGCTACGGGCTCTTGTATGGTGACCTGTCGCTTTGGAGAGCTCTCGACTCTGAGTTTTACAAAGTCGGAGTATTCCAATGTGTCTCCGAACGGCAAAACTTTCAATTCAAACACCGTCGAGTGGTGAGTAGGGCCCCCAAACTCATCTTTCATCTGTAAAGGAAAGCCACGCTTATCGCCATCCAGCGGGTAAGGTCAAGAAGGAGACCCAGAACTAGTTTCCGTTTAGTTCTCTAAGGAGGTGAGGCGCAGGTTGTTCTCCGCACCGAGTCGTCCCAATCCAACGTATTCCTTGCGGGAACAAGTGCCACGTGTCGTGTCCCTAAACCCATTACCATACCAGCGTTTGAGTCGTCAAATAATTATTATTTTTATGGCCTGACGAATTCGCTGGAATACTTCTGGGCGTAACGCTAGGGCTGCCGAAACCCGTGAACGTATTATAGTCAATTATCTGGCGTCGAACCTGACGAAATCAAACGCTGGTACGGTATGAAGCCCACCGCAAAAGCTTCACAAGAAGGAAAATACATATCCAGCTCTCAATTCGACCCACCTCATGCTGACCGCTGATGACGTCAACGGCCTCCGCTGCTCCTCCGCCGACGCTGATGCGCTCCGGTGGGGCCCGACTGCTGGCGCTTTCTGCGCCCGGCCCAAAGAGTCCCTTCCACCTCCGTCCATTCCGTTGGACCACTCCCCCTCCGGACTTGTCGACTCCCCCTCCGGATCGGCTGGACGATTCTGACTTCCAGTCAGTCATCTGGTCGCCCGAGTTAACACCCGGTTCATCACCGGGTTGACTACCGGGTTTATCACCAGGTTCGGCATAACCGGCTTCTCTTGTTGGAGTTGAACCGGCGCCGTTGTCGGGGGAGGTTGACGTCTCCGGGATAAGCTGATGAGGCGAGCCGACGTCATCTCCGCTCGCGTCGACTTTCCCAGCTGCTCCGCTGCTGGCCGGGGCAGGGAGCCCTTCCGCGTTGTCCGTAGACTGACCCTTCTTTTTCTTCTTCTTCCCTTTCTTGGTGCCCTTTGCGTCAGGTGCAGACTCGGCACTCAACTGCGAATTGAAACAGAAAGGTTTCGAACCGGTGGAAGAAAGAGTCGGAACAGGGTATAAGCACGGGAATCGATGCTCAGTAACCTTCCGTGCACGAGAGGCACCCTGCGTTTGTGAAAGACTAGTCCAATTGCAACACAATACTTTTACATTGATCTTACTCCACAAGCATTCGCGACTGCGTCCAACAAGTGCCTGATGCTGCAGGTTCTGAAGAAGCTGGACAAAGGGAGTACATCGCACTTTGGTCAAGCAGCGCTTGTTTGGAACCAAACAAAGGGGAAAAGGAGCGGGAAAAGGAGTGCAAAAGGATCAGAGGACAAAAGGATCACGCAATACTAGGGCACTCGGATAGCGTTTGTAAACATACCAGTTCTTTCACCCGCAGCATCGAACAAGGTTGTCGAAAGAGTACTCTGTTCCTCATTTCAAAGCCCCTTGTCTCTGCGGCTTGTCACTCCTCGACGACCAGTATCAAAAGCAGTCTGCCCCGAGGACTTCTAGCAGAACTCCTTCCGGTGACGTCCCTGGTTGCCCGTGCTTACCAGTTCCGCTGCCGCTGCTTCCGCTGCCTCCTTGATCTGCCGCGGTATTCCGTCCGGCTCGTCCCGTGCGCCGTGAAGCATGATCCAAAGGTCTTTGGCCAGAGCAATCGCGGTCTCCTTATCCCCCAAGGCGGATCTCAGAGCCAGATGCAGCTCGGTAGGCCCCCAGTCCCTCTGCAAAATAGAGATATGAAAGTGGGCGTCGGAAACATCAAGCACACTTGTGAGACTGAGTCCTGAGGGACGCTAGAGGGAGGCTCGGACAGGCCAACTCTGAGCCGTCCGGTAAATCAACTCGGTGGTAAAAGCACCGTTCGATGTCCAGGTGCACTCGCAAGCGCAGACGCCCACTTCGAAGATTGGCTTGGGAGTGCCCAAAGATTACAGGGCTGCATACTACATATTCAACTTGTAGTATATTGAACTTCGCTGCTATCTAATCACAAAGCGTCCTGCTATAATATGCGGCTCCTAGGGCAAGTCTTGCAAGAGACCCGATGGATTTGACATGGCTAAGGCTGAAGTTACTGGTGTTGCGTTTCCCATGGTCGGCAGAGAATCCTGTTGATACTGATTGCTTCAAAGAGATCGACCGGTGGTACAAGTGAGGCCCCCGCGTTTTCCCTTCGGATTTCGGATGACCTTAGCAGGAGTGCATGGCACAAGTATGCGGATGACGCAGGCAGCAAATAGGAAGCTAGGCATAACGGACGAAGCGTCCTGAGACCAACAGAGAATGAAACTCAAGAAAAATAATAGTAAGCCCATATAATAGTAAGGTAACCGCACTGTGACGGGTAGGGTTAGTATGGTGGTTAGGGTGGGTACGGGTGCGGAGCGGGTGTTTCTTTTAAGGTTAGGGTTTTAAGTGTTAGTCGGAGCTTACTATTATCTTGGCTTACTGTTATCTTTCTTGAGAGTTATCAACAGAGAGAAGCGCAGGCACGATATCAACCACGAGACCACTATGAAACACGTCACCAGGCATTAAAAAAGTGGACACTCGACACAAGCGATTCATCAAAACCGTGCAAGCAGGGCACTTGGATAACTGCATGTCAGCACCCGAAGCGAACCATGCCCGTTCCAAACCCAATCGAAGCTCCGACCAGCTTGTCGCCAAAAACCTCATCTTATCAGGCTTGCTCTTCCAAAATAGCAGGTCATGGGCTCACCACGTCTAATGGTTAAGTCAGCGCTGGTGTTCAGGTTGGTTCTAATTTTGTTCAAACGATATCTCTTTATTTATCACTTTATGTTCAATCTTGCTATATTTCGGGTTAGAGGTTATAACCCAGAAACTGGGCTTGGTTTCCCGTGCGGCAAAGCAATCGCTCACCTCATCCCAGAGAATCGCCTCAACGCGCCTGACGGCGCCGCTGCTGAGCCCGGCCTCGGGGAACCTCCTCCTCACCCAAGTCATGATGACGGGGACGTTCACGGATGACGTCAGCTGCCCCCACTTAGGCCCCACGAACGACGCTGCGACTTCGGGGTCTACCCCAGCAAGGATGTCTTTTCCGAGCGCGCACGAGACCTGATCCACCACGTTCCCCACAAACTGTTTCACAAAGTCCCGCTGCTGCAGCGCGGCTACTGAGTCGGCCGGCTTGCTTTCCGCTCGGTCATCCGAGCTCGTCGTTCCGTCGTTCTGTCGTTCCGTCCCGTCGTTCTGAGCCGCCCGTTGCGCACCCTTGTCAGCGAGCAGAGTCCCCGCGTCCGCTGACGTCACTGGGGTGTGCGGGGCGCTTTTCACCCGGGCACCCGAGTCCTTTGCGCGACTCCCGACGGTCTGAGCTGGCCCTCGCGCAACCTCTGCAGCAGCTGGCGTCTCCGCGTCCGCTGCTGCCGCTGCCTCCTTGATCAGCAGCGGAATTCCGTCCGGCTCGCCCCGTGCGCTGTCTACGACGACCAAGAGGTCGGTGGCCAAGCCAGCCCCCTTCGCCCCAAAGGCGGATCGCAGGGCCAGATGTAGCTCGTCAGGCTCCCACTCTCTCTGCGAAGCGAAAGAATATTCTTTGTGGATCGACGTGGTTTGACAATCAGTCGCTGCTCGGGCACCGTAACCTCGCACCCGAGAGGTTGCACGGCCAGTCTGCATTTCTTTAGGTGCGAGCTCTGCGAATTTCGACAATTCACTGTCATCCTCGCTATTGTTGCAACTATCAAACACAACATACTGGGTGCGACTTTGAGGGGCCTGAGCTGAACCTAGGAATCCCCTGGTTGGCAAAAGCTTATGAGATCACTCATTGAGGATCAGTATCTAAAAAGCCAAAGACCACGGTTTGCAGTGATGCAGGTAGCAGGCGAGGAGCTAGGCATCACGCATGCAAATGCATCCAGGGCAGGCAGAAAGCTTAGTCACCGGATAGGGAAAGCCCACAGCATTCGAATCTCCAGAATCTCATCACGAGTCAGTTCAATCTCGCAAGCAGCGCCACTCGTTCTTGCGAGCAGGACACTTGCATGCCACAGAGTTAAAGTAAGACCTCAACGTGGCCATTTCTGACCAGTATACGAAGCTGCCCACGTTGGTACTCGTAACATAAATTTCAACCCATTGCCACGTGGCAGGCTCACCAGGTCCAAAAGGATCGCCTCCACACGCTTCGCAGAGCGGCTGCTGAGCCCGGCCTCGGCGACCTTCCGCTTCACCCACGTCATCACTACGGGGACGTTCAGGGATGACGTCAGCGAGCCCCAGGACTTAGCCCCGGGCTCATCTTGCAATCTCCCCGCAGCTTTCCGAGCGTTTACTTCCCCCAGCGACGCTTCGAGCGCGAGTTTTTGCTCCTCAAGAAGGTCAAAGATTTCCCCGACCCACGCGTGGTGCTCCTCCGGCGCAGCCGCCTCTGTTCGTCCCCTCTGCGCCAGAGCCATCTCTACGCACGTCGCCGCACTTTTGATCGCCGCCAAGCTGTCACGCAGGGACTTGCTCTCGGGCGGTTCCGCGAAGCAGCGATAGACCCGGTGCAGAACGTGGGGGAACTTTCGGCCCGAAAAGAAGAGCGCCTCGCAGTAGAGGCACTTCGCGAACTCCGCTTGCGTCAGCGTGACGGAAATCGCCAGGCGCTCCAGCGCGCTCCGCAGCTCTTCCGGCGAAGCATCGCGGCCGTCGATCGATCCCATCGCACGGTCTAGCCGCTCCTCCACCGCCCGGTACTGCAGCCGAAGCGCGTGCTCGCGCATTTTGAGCGCCGCCACAGCCATGCACCGGATCGTCTCTCCCACGCCGTCGTTCTTGCGCTTTGCAAGCCATTGCCACAGGTCTTTCTGGAAGAAATGCTCGGACGGGCTCCGGAGAAGGTCAAGCGTGAACTCCCACCACGCCTGTTCGCTACACGCGGCGAGAAGGTACTCGTGCAAGTCCCACGCCCGGCTTACCCTCCGGAAGATCCCGGCCGGACACCCGGGCAGGTCCGCAACCCCCGAGCCGGACAGATACTCCAGGTAACGGCTGGTTAACTCGGCCCCGCAGTCCGTCGTGTCTACAACGCAGGCGATGCGACCCTCCACGTCATCCACCGTTTCTCTTACGAAGTTACGCCGCCGCAGCGCTTCTACCCTGTCGACTGCCCCGCTTTCCGCTGGGACTTCCGAGCTCGCCGTTCCGTTGTTCCGTCGTTCCGTTCCGTCGTTCTCGGCTGACTCGTGCACACCCTCGTCAGCGGGCAGCGTCTCCGCATCCGCTGCTTCCGTTGCTGACGTCACTGGAGTGTGCGGGGCGCTTTCCACCGGGGCAGCCGAGTCCATTGCCTTTCCCCCGTCGTTCTGAGCTGGCCCTTGCGCACCCTCGGCAGCGGGCAGCGTCTCCAGTTTCGCTGCATCCGTCGCTGACGTCACTGGGGTGTGTGGAGCGCTTTCTGCTGTTCCAGGGGGGGACTCTGCTAAGTCAAGAGCGCCCCCCGAGCTCCCCTTGACAGGGCCGCTTGCGGCGCCCCTCTCTGCTGCGCAAAGAGCGGCTTTTGCGGAGCCGGATGCGGCCGTTCCAGCTGCGTCGCTAGGCCCCGTCAATCCACCTCTTCTTCCTTGCTCGGCACCTCCAGCCTCAGACTGGGCCTCGACCTTCCCCCTGCAAACGGAGCAACGGTCGGATAAGAAGTTTCGCGGTCTTCATTAAAATTGTATGAAGCGGGCCGCCAGCTTAATCTCCCGGCGATGCGCTGGTTTTGCAAGCACCGCAGGCACCGACGAGCCGCCTGCATACAAATTCCTCGGAGGGCAGAGCTCAAAGGCTCACACACAAAGAGTCGTCTCATAGACTAGCAACAAGGACATCATCATTGGCCTGCCTGAGAGATAGCCCAAAAATGCCAAACATAGACAGACCAGCCAAGGGCAGAGCCTCGCCAAGCGTTCTCACCTGAGTAGGTCCACTGGAAGTGGATCCGTCCTCGCTTCTTGCGCCTCCGCTACCACGGCTACCGTCCCTTCTAAGCTAGCAGTGCCTACCGCCTTCCCCCCCCCCTTTGGCTCGCCGCACACTATCCCGTCCTTTGCATCTGCGGTCGGAAGACCCTTTTCGGAAGGCCGAAGCGCAGGACTTGCCCCCCGATCGTCCCCTTTAAGCCGGGCGTTCCCTTGCGAGATCGCCTCTTGCTCTGGATCGGACTCGCCAGTGGCCCCCGCACTCCGCTTGACCTCTTCGGAGGACAGACTTGCAGCAAGAAGTCTCGCTGATTTGTCCTTCGGCACGCCCTTCTTCTTCTTCCGCTTTTTGATGGTCTTCTCGGTTGGCTCCGACTCTGCTCGCAGCTGCAAATCAGAAGGAAAAGCCTTGTTTGGCGGTGTAAACACTGTTGCAGTGCCTGACACAATTTTTGTAGCTGGAAATCAACCTGACACAAGAATAACGTCAGCGACCAGATTGTGCGGGGTGGGGGGCGCAAGCCTGCAAGCGTCTGTATGGAAGAAAAAGACTTCAAAGATGACGGCTTCGACGCATCATGGACAAGTCGGTCTGTGTAGGCAAATGTAAGCTGCCTTCCAAGGTTACAAAATAAGGTACACGATGACTAGGTAAGGTAGCCTTTGACATAATCTGAATGCGACAAGGACAGAGTTGCTGATCCGAGAAGTTATTTCGGTCCCAACCCCAAGAGAACCCCACCCAAACAAGGCGACATAGGATATTCTGGCTGCTAACCAGGCTGATTGCCAGAGTGAAGACTCAAAGTATTGGATAAGTGAACGGTACTTAATCTTGCTACAAGGCTGGTTACTGCCAAATCTGGCCAGACAACATTTTAAGTTCGTTTTAACCAGCCCATGACCATCAATCGTTAACGGCCAACAATCCCTCCGCGAAAAGAAGTCAACGCTCACCAGTTCTGCTGCCGCCTGGTCTGCCGCTTCCTTGAGTTGGCGCGGGATACCATCGGCGCTCAGCAGCGCGCTTGCGAGCAGCGACCCCAGTTCGTCGGCGACCGCCGCCCGTCTCTCCCCGAGAGCCACCTTCACTTGCAACTCCAGAAGTCGGGGGTCCACCCCCGTCACCTGCGGAAGTACAGAGATTGGGCGTGAGTTTTTCCAAAACCCAGCAACAGAAAAGGATTTGAGAATGCACAGAACCTTGTGTGTAAACAATCGGATCCAGCTCTGGAGAACGGACTCCAAGGGCAGGGACAAGTGAGCTGTTACGGTGGAGGGAACAACCACCGCGTCGAATCAACGCTTTACATTGCAGCGTCTCCAACCCAGCTCTGCTCTGAAGTCGGCTGGGTGTTCACGTTTGCCTGACGAGGAGGGCTTATCTGCTTTGGAAGTGGCCCTGGTCCGCCAAAGCTTTGCGACTGAAAGAAGCGGCAATGTCGAGTTGCTGAAAGCAGGCTCATGACAGAAGGTAGAGCTTCACGCGGTGTACTCGAAAAGTATGAGGAGAGATCGACGTCACATCACGAGCAACCTCGCTAATAAAGCCGACAGTCTGCACGCAACACCGCTTGAAAGCATGGTGGGGTTTGACACATCACTCGCCCAGTCTGCCGCAACTGTTCTCGAATGCCACCAAAAACAAATGCCACCAAATGTGCAGAACGACCCGTCGAAGCTTCTTCCAGAAGAGATCTTTGGATTCAGCGACGCACCTGGTCATTAGGACACTCCTTGCTTGTATGCACGCACCTTCGCTTGTGGTTGAGAGCATGCATTGTAAGCCTTTTCGCTCCAAGATTATCTTGTTCGTCTCTTGATAGGTGGATAAGGAGCTCCGTGAATCATATACAGAGACTCCAACTCATCGCAGTTGCCACGTGGCGATCCTCAAGCGCTGCCACGTGGCAACCGGCCGCTTACCGCTTTCAAGAGAGCGCGCTCGAGATACTTCTCCGAGTAATAGTTGTTGCCTCCAGTCTCGCCCAGCTTCCGCCTCGCCCACGTCATGATGACGGGAGCGTTGAAATAGTTGCCGACGGCCCATCTTGCCTCCCCTTCGGCTTCCCACCCCTTCAACCGTCTCTCCGTGCGGGAATCCAACCCGCTCTCGTCCTTCTCGTTCACAACGTTGGCAAATTTAAGCTCCTCGATCGCCGTTTGAAGCCCGGACTTCAGGCCTCCCAGAATGTTGTAGTGCGTTTGCAGCCACTCCCGATGCCCCGCCGACACCTTGGCCAAACGCGCCTCCTTCCCCGGCAAAACGTCGTCCAACCAATACGCGTTCATCACAACCATCTTCATCGTCGGCTCGTCCGTGAACTTGCCGTACACGAAGCGCAGGACGTCCGCATACTTCCGCCCGCAAAACTCGGTCGTCTCGCAGTAGATGCAGCTCGCAAACTCCTGGGTTGCAGTCGCAGCGGCCAGGGCCAGACGCGCAAGCTCTTGCCGTTCTTCCCGCGTAGCCGACGCCCCCGCTCCCGCTAACAAACGCGCCTTTGCCGCCCCGTACTCCGTTGCAAGCGCGTGGGCTCTCACTCTCAGCGCCGCCAGCGCCATGCCCCGGATCGTCTCCCCGATGACGTCATTCTCCGGTTTCTCGAGCCACGCGCGCATGACCGCAAAGTGCTCCGGCGGGCTCCGGAGCAGGTCCCACGTGAACAGCCACCAGGCGCGCTCGCTGCAAAACGTGTCCAGGACCTCGCCGACCTGTTGTGACGTCATCCGCCGGAACCGGACCGGACACCCGCGCAAATCCGCGACCCCCGTCCCTGTCCTATATTCCACCAGCAAGTTTTTCACCAGCTCCGTACCCTTTCCCCGGGAGATGCGCTGGATCATCTCTTTTCCCCCAAACGGCAGGATCCAGCTCGTCACATCCTCCAACATCTCCTTCACAAAATTCCGCTGCCGGAGCGACTCGATTCCCACGGTTCCGTCTGACCCGTCTGCAAGCGTGAGGTACTTCAGACCCAGTGTTTCGCCGTTGCTTCTGCTCCTCACAACCTCGGAAACGACCGCAACAGGAAGCGATGGTGAATCTCCCTCCGCGCCGCTCCCTCCAGGCTCCCCTGCCGGCGCCGCCGTAGGTGGATCCGGAGATTCGGAACTTGCCGGCTCCCCCGGGGTGTTGGTCCTCTCCGTTTCCCCTTCGTCTTTTGTCTGCAGCAAATCGTTAGAGCTCACTTTATATAGAGGAAGTTTGGAAAATAGTCTAGCTGATTGGATGGATGAAATCGGACGCTGGCCGCCCGCGAAAGCAAGCGTTTTCTTTGTGTACTCGGGTCAACATATCCCTGAACTGTGATCGCAAAAGTCTGAAAATTGACATCGGTCAGAAGTCAAAAATCCTCGGATCCTCGGAATGAGTAGAGATGGACCCGGCGGCAAAGAGCCATTACTTTCGGAAAGAGGGACGTTCAGGGAACGAGCTCAAAAGAGCGCTGATCATCTGCTGTGCAAATGACAGGCCTTGGCTTCTAAGTGTACCCCTGAACTACGTTATGACGAGTCGTCCTTTGCTTAAAGCACACCTTATCAAGCCCACCCGAATCCAGCCGGTACTTTCACCCCCATTTTCTTTTCGAGTGGCACAAAATCAATCCGTGGAAAAAGTGAATCAGCGCCCGGCAAGGGCAGTACCTTGATGATGGATATAAAGCAGCCCCACGCATCAGAGACCGGGTAAGCTCCTCACGCCTCTTCTCAAAGCAAGTAGGCGCACGGTTCGGTCACTAACTCACGATGTTGGTTGGGAAAGACTCACCGTCTCCCTGTCCTCATGTTGAACCTCGTCTTCCAGGAAACTCCACACCGTGGCTAGATCCTCCCTGCCCACCATCCGCAGCAGTTGCCAATCGTGCCTGGAGAATTGTACGACATAGCTGAAGCCTAATCCGAGAACTGAGAGCTTCGACCCCCCGAGAATGTTGTGATAGGGGTCAGAAACCGGGCCTAAAAGAGTGTCCATTTAAGTACAGCTTACAGTCACAGGTGAGGCCATCATACAATTGGCATAACTGGAAAAGACTGAGGATATTGAAAAGATTATCAATAACTCCAGCGTCCAATGGATTCCCAGTATAAATCTGAACAAATCATCTTTCGGAACCTGTGTGCACCCGGAACTTCTGCATCAACCTCTAGATCAGCCGCAGTTGACAGTTGAGACATATTCCAAGCTCTGTCAGCGTTTGCAAACTTCATATGAACAAGACCGCCAGAGTTTGAACCCATTGGATGCAAGAAACAGTGGTTTGTTGAGTTTCTGCGGAAAGCTCGGATTCAAGCACACGCCACACTGCTTCCCAAACCACGCCATAAAGTGCCCCATGCTGTGAGCGCCTTCTGCTCATCGTACAACATGGCTCCCATCCTCCCAAGGCTCTACCCAAGCTCGGAATACAAAATGCAAAAGAATGGTAAAACTCAGTAAGACGAGAAATCTGGACTTCGGCATTCTCACTTCCGCAACTTGTTCGTGGGCAACAGTCATTGATGTGTGGCACAAACTCACTGCTTGCGCTTGATGAAGCGCTCCTCCTCAACCTCCTCACAAGACTCCACAACCCCCTCCTGCGTGCTGTCCAAGTCAGCATTCTCCCCGGGTGTGACCGGCTCGGCTGACTCGCTGCTTGGGGTCTGGCCCAGCTCCTCCCCCTCTTCCGCACCGGCACTATCCCCCCCAGACTCAACTTCGCTCAGCGTCTCCTCATTATTTTCACTTGCGCCTTTCTCATCCCCATCCGTCTCGCCCACATCGCCAGCCCGCTGCTCTTCCCGCCCCTCGTCTTCCACTTCTGTTTGCGGCCTCTGCTCTACTTCCGCCTTCGACGTCTTCCTCGAGCCTTTCGCATACCACATCTTTGGATTCAACGGCGCCGAGGGCAGTTCGGTTCGCGCATTTGCAACCAGCGGCACGAACTTCCCGTCCGCGTCCACGCTCACGTGCTTGAACACGTGCTGAAGGCCCGCGAGCTTCATCTGGTGAGACAGCTGGCGCAGCTGATATTTATAGTGGCTGGCCCGCGACTTCGCCGTACTCAAATCGTCCGGCAGCTCTCCTAGCATGTCGTCTGCGGGATCTGTCGGTTCAACAATTCCCAGCGCGCGCTCACACTCTGCAATGGCCTCCTCGTTACTCTCCCTGCCTTCCAGAGGTATATACTCCTGGAGCAGCAGTGCGTAGAAGTATCCATGCTCCACCGAATTGGGGTTCAGAACTGTCGCTTGCTTCGCAGCTTCCAGCGCGACAGCCACGTGCCGCTTCTTCAGCGCGCTCGCATCGTGCTGCTGCTCTGCCAGCCGCTTCTCCACATATGCATGGTACCTGAACCCCAGGGAGACATTGGGGTACTTCTGGCAGGTCTCCTTGATCGACTTCTGGGCCCGCGGCGGGTTGTTCTTCAGCGACTTGACTGCCTTTTCGCATTCGGCGCGCACAATGTCGTAGTCGCTGAGCCCAGACGTGGCTGCTTTTGCAGGCCCAACGGCGCTGCTCTTATTCTTCTTCCCCATAGCTAACAAAGGAGGAGGCTGCCTTAAGCACAAGCTCGGGCGATCACATTCAAGAATGTAAGGCCATAGACCACCACGGGGCCAGCGGATTGGTCAAATCAAAGGGCGCGGCGGAGCAAACAGACGGTTCAGCATGTTGCAACCGTTGGTTTCCATTTTCGCAACCATTGTTTTCAATCTCCTGAGGCCCTATTGGGGCCGCTTATTGCACCGGTGAACCCACAATGATCTTTGGAGCACGTCAAAACTTGGAGGAGCTGAACAAGCAAGTGCTGAACAAGTACAACATACGGTAGGTACACTGTCACAAGCACAGCTAGCTAGCTCCCGGCCCACGAGCAAGGTACAAACTAGACTGAGACCAAAGACAAAAAGGCGGTGGTAATGGCCGAAACACGACCACAGTATCTACTTTGCCACGTGGCGAGAAGGCCGAGCCCCCAAGCGCGTGCCCAAACTGGCCGAGAAAGGACGTGGCAGCCTGAGAAAGCTCTGCAGCCGGGCACTACTCCTCAGACTCAGAGTGACACTGAAGGGCAGCAAGACGCAAGAGAAGAAGAGAAGACGCAAGCCAGCATCGCAGCCTGCAGACCATGACACCATGAACCTTCCTCAGGAGGGCGAAGTTGTCAGTTTCAACTGATGATCTTGGAACTTGAAGCACTCTGGACGCTGCTGCAAGCCCAACATATCAGAGTTTTCCACGCTCAATTCAAGAACTATTGCTTATGGTGGGCATGCAAGATGGCACTGCTGCACAGTATGCAGGCGCGGGCACACAAGTCTGCCACAGAGACGCTCGCAAAGCTTTGCGTGTTCAGCTCTCGCCTGTGGCAGGAGTCGGTACTTACGGCGCTTGCATCTGATCAGAGGGTGGCTGCTAACAGGAACGTCGAGGGTGAAGAAAAGGCTGCTGATACTAAATGTGATTCTGTGAAAGGGACACCGCTTAGAATATCTGGGCACTTGACTGGCTATTTGAGATCTCCAGTGTCAGTTGTTTGGCCAGGTGTGCACACGCTAGCTGTACCACCAGTTATCGGCCGACAGCAGCATGGATACAGTACATTTGCAGCACAAGAAGGTGAGGACTCAAATCTTTCATTGCCTCGTGCCCACATCGAATGGACCAATGATCTGCTTTTAGAATCGTAAAGTCTTCATGCCTATCTGAAACAAAGACTCGAAGTTCTGTTTGGAAGGCCTTAGGGGAAGGGCAAGTGGAGCGCCTTGTCTTCTGGAGATTCTTCTCTTTGTTTTCTTCTCATTTTCCTACTTTCTGAAACGAGCGAACATCAGTCTGCGATTCGATCCCAGATTCGGGACGCCCAGAATCGCCCCCACCAGCCCTGCCACGGGACCCCTTGGCTCGGTATGATGCCATGGTGGCGTCAGGGGCGCTGCAGTTTGACCCGCAGCAGCGCCAGGTGGCGGCCCAGCTGAGCGAGCTGGCGGCACAGCTAGCACTGCACCAGAAGGAGATGGACACTTTCCAGGTGTGTGCGGTAGCTTGAGACTGAAGTTCAGCTGAATGAAAGGGTCTTGAGAGGGAGGTGTTTTGAACCGCAAAGGTGCGGTACTAACAACGCTTCTGTTCTGCCACACGAGCTTCTCAGGGCGTTTCAGGATCCTGAGATTAGATGCCAGAATATGGATAGTGTGCTAGTTGTACTGATGAAGAGCACTTTTGAAGTGATGAGCTGACTACAACTTGAGCCCGACCTACGCTGATTCAGTGGCCTGTCAAAGTTTGTCTTGTCATATCAGATCAGCTCTCGCATCAACCTCCTAGCTCTCAGAGGGAACGCCTCCTCAAAGCTTGATTGAGGCTCGTACTTTTCCATTTATATTCAGTGCCTATCTGATCCTCCAATTCTTTCCTTTGTGCCCAGGAAAAGCTCGACAGCTGGCTCGCAGAGCGTCAAGCTCGTTGCGAAAAGCTCATAGAAAAAGAACGGGAGGAGCTTGAGAAGCGAAGGGCACGGAACCGCAATGCGCCCAAGCGCGAGAACTTTATAGCGGCATGGTTTCGGCAGCGGCGGAGGGACAGGGAACTAGGGGTGGGGAGGGCGGTGGCGCGCTTGAACAGGGAGAAAGCACTGGACGCCCAAATGGAGGCGAAGCCGGTGCCTCCAAAGGCGCCGGAAGGAGTGTACCTGTATGGAGCAGTGGGCTGCGGTGAGAGTGGTCGATGCCATATTCGTTGACAGTTGGCGCTCAATCCGAATGGAACTCACGTGGCTGTTGCGGCGGTCCTAATACCCAAAAAGTCACTTTAATTGTTGCCTGCCAGTATTTACTAGCGCGTGTGAATCGCGGTTACACGAACAGTGCATCCCATGCTTACCGGTCGCTCCTGCGGATGCATCTCTCTCACGGAACTCTGTGAGATGATGGTTCTTTTGAATGTGGCAAAAGCAGGACATCTGACTTGACTGACTATGAGAAGGGCTAACTCGTTAGAAGGCCCGCGATGAACTTCAAGAGACCATTTCTCATTAGAGCGGGGAGTATAAAGCTGTATATCTGACGTGTAGTCACCAGGTCGACCGCATCCAACAAAGGCGGGGCTCATCGCTAAGAGAGAGTTGAGAATTAGTTCGTCACTTGTTTGCAACGTGCGTCCTAATCGTAATTGGTTTTGCTGCAAAATCAGGGGAAACTGCCGTGACTTAATGTAGTCTTGCTTGAAATATTGTTCATAGCGGTCACCTTCAAATCTCCGTGTCAGTAATCAGAGCTGATACCGTGAATGCTTTTCAACAAGAGCCCTCAAATCCGAGATATCACCGTGGGGAGCTTGGCGGTCCCAAGCGTCCCTCGTGACAATGCTGCTGAGCTCAGCCAAGCGTGTTCTAAACAAAGTTTGCATCTTTTGCGCAGGCAAGACTCTCTTGATGGACATGCTTTTCGCGGCCACAGACGGGGTCGTCAAGAGTCGTCGGAGGATACACTTCCATGCGGTAAGGACGTTACATTACTAGCCAGGACAGTTAGCTAAGAACGGACTGCTAAGTCGAGCTGAGACTTGACATTACCTTAGCAGGGGCGGTTCTAATTTGTGATAATTGTCATAAGAACGAGGGGGAATGAAACCGAGCGGAAACTTTGAGGGAAATTGAGAAGCTGTGCTCTCTTTGCTGAAAAGAGATTAGCAGCCGCGTTTGGTTCTTTCGAGTTCAGCCGGTCCGCTGGTCAACGTGGAATAACGTCCTTCGTCAGAGAACCCAGTTTGCAGCCCATCTTCTGAAGTAATGCGCAGCTCGCCTTCCCGTTTTTGAACGCAGTTATCGTTTTCGACCATCCTCGCGTCTCATTCGTGGCGTTCGGTCCATTTTGCCCGTGGTTAACTTCAGTGGTTAACTCCGGAATTTCTCCACCCCAGGCGATGCTGGAAGTCAACAGCCGCATGCACCAGTTGGAGCGCCAGCGCGAGACCCGCCAGTTTGAGAAGCGACTCGCCGCAGCAGCGGCCAAGGAGCGGGGCGAATCAGAGGAGGACACGTGGCAGGACGAACATGACGACGACTACAAGAACATCGTCGATCTGGTGGCGGATGAGTACATGGGCGTGAAGGACGAAGCGGGGCTGCTGCTGCTGTGCTTTGACGAAGTGCAGGTGCGGATCTTATTTTTGAGGAGCGTAACCTCTCACTTTCAAGACGATGTACCAAACCCACGAACAATGAGTTGAGTCCTCGAGACGGTTGTGTAGGGATAATGTAGGGCTTGTAAGAGTTTGGAGCAAGTAAGCTGTGGGTTTGACGTTTTCCTGCTCTGCGACGATGACCGCGATCGCAAAGGTCATCATGATGCAATTTATGCTGCTTTTATTACCCTGACTTTCCAGTTAGGAATTGCTCAGCTTGAGCGAGACTTCCAAATTCTCGGGCAGGTGACGAACTTCCGTCCCTGCAATCCTGCTGGGGGCCTTTCACCTGTATAAACGACCCTACACAATTGACACGATCCGCCTTTCGTCACCAGCGTGCTTGGTGTCCTCACACATCACCGAAACTTCTTTTCGCAATCTGCCAAATCGCCAAAGCCCCGGCAGTGCTGGGCCTCTTAATCTCCATGTGTCGACACTCAACATGCCGCCTTTGTTACCATCGTGCTTCGGTTTCCTCACAACCCTCAAACCCGTTTCAGGTAACCGACCCGTTCACCGCCATCGTGCTGGGCGGCCTCTTGGAGCGGCTGCTCGCACGTGGCGCGGTCGTGGTGGCCACCAGCAACAAGGCCCCGCGCGCGCTCAACCAGTACGGGATGCAGGGCGAGCTGTTCGACAAGTTCGTGCGGCGGCTCGAGGACAACTGCCACGTGTTGGGCGTCGGGACGGGGGTCGACTACCGGCGCGTGCTCGCGCGCGCGGCGGGGGACCTGGTTGGGCGGCATGAGGTGAGATTTTGACTTTGAGTGTTTGTTTCTACGCAGCTTTCAAGTTGCCGTGGTCGCGTAGTTCACTCTTAAAAGGCTTCACCTGGTTCAGGTCGCAGAGATTCGCAGTTATAGCTGTTTTCTGCAGCTGCTAGCGTTGATCTGATCTGTTCGTTTGTACGAGTCTGCTCTGCTTGAAAAGTCGTGTCCTGGCATCCTTTTCAATGCGGCAATTTATGTCACTCATCTCCACATTCAAAAACTTTGTGCGTTTCGGTTGATTTTGAGCTGCACAAAGAGATCGAGATGACAGTCCTGAGCGATGCGCTTGTCGAAGTAGCCGATGATATCCTTTCCTTTCGGTTGCATGCCGTCTACTTCGGGTCATCCCGTTGCTCCGAACACTGCCGTCCTCTTTTAGAGTATTTGTCCTGTTTGTCAAGTTCTGAGCCTTTCTTTCCTTTGACGCTGTTGCCAACTCGAACAACTGAGGAGCACAACCGCCGTCGCACAACCCAAGAAGGTCAGAGGTAACATGGTCGGTCCTTCCCACCAATACGGTCTGTGGGCTTTCTCATATTAAGCTTTCCCATTTTCTTCGCAGGCAAACTACTTATGGCCCATCAACCCCGCTTCTCAAGCCCGGCTAGAAACTCAGTGGAGGCAACTCATCGCCGCAGTTCCGCCCCAGTCACGCGCGGAGGGCGGTACATTCGTTCCGGTCATGTTTGGCCGGTCGCTCTATGTACCGCAGTCTTACGGCGATTTCGCCCGGTTCACATTCCCCGAGCTGTGTTCCCAGTCCGTTGGGGCGGCCGACTACATAGCGCTGTGTCAACGGTACCATACCGTCGTGATCACCGACGTACCGCAGATGAGCATGCGGATACGAGATCAGGTAAGCCGGGGTTTTGGGACGCGCTAGCAGCTTATGGGCCTTATCGACACAAGTCGCAGGATTTTCCATTCACCGTTCAGCGTTGACTGTCTTGAGTCCCGTTCCAATTAAGGAGCGTGGAGTCTCTCCATCTTTTTCCTTGACAAAATTTATGAAGAGCTGAGTTACCGCTCCATTTCCGCCCCTTTGATGTACGCTGCTCCTATGTTTCAATCCAAGTTTTCCACATATGCAGCTTTTTCCTCGACCGGAAACAGACCCTTCCATCGCCAGTCCTCAACTCTCAGCGACGCTTTTCAAACTCCTTCGGTTTCCGGCTGTTTTGCATGTGTTGAAAACGAGCATGATAAAACTAATTTCAGTTCTATGGAAGTTTGTTTCTCCATTGTTCAAGCGACTCGCTCCATTTCGCAGGCCCGCCGCTTCATCACGCTTGTCGACGAGCTTTACAACCACCGGTGCCGCCTGATCTGCACCGCGGCCGCGCCGCCCGACGAGCTGTTCCTGGGGCAGGAGGAGGGATCGCTTATGGACCCGGAGCTCCTGGATATGGAGAGGTAAGCGGCTGCAGTAATTTCCGGTTCCGTTGCGAATTGCCCGTGTTCGTTCCGTTCGTAATGCCCGAGTCCGTTCTGATATTACCGGTGGAAGAAGAACGTGGACTGCAGTTTGCAATCCCAGACCCCCACACTGCTTGGCACTCAACCTTCAAGGCAGCGCGCGACCGGTAACGTCAATGTCACCTCAAAGGTGGTCCGACGTTTGCCACGGACGGCGAAAGTCGAGGCCGAAAGGCCCAGTGCTAGGTCGCCAAAGTTACGGCATGTGAAAGCTTGCTGGCGGTGACGTTTACGGAACACATTTGTTCGCGCATATTGACCACGCGGTGTGGGGGTTCGGGAGTGCGAAGGGCAGTCCGCGTTCTTTTTCCATCCGTTCTGATACTGCTCAACTTTGACTTGCTCCGGCAGGGGTCAGTTATTCCAGTAGGATTTCGGGATTGTTCTAGTAGAATTTCGGGAATGTTCAACTTTGGGGGCTGGTGAAGAATTTTCCTGCGGTTGTCTCGGCTTGTTGCTCGCCGGGTTCAGAATCGGTAATGACGATGTGTACAGACTTGAGCTCACGAGCTTTATCCCGAGAGCGACGTGGAAAATAAGGCGGCATCGTTAGGTGTTCTGCGTCGAGTCTGCAAAGCGACCTCAACGGCCAGAAAATGTTGGCAGGAAAGCCTTCGTACAGTCACAAGCACCTTCTGCAATGTATGATATTCCCGCTCTCCTGTGCGCAGCCTCCAGTTCGAAACCGAAGCGGAGGGCAGTCGGCTGCGGCGTGACGTCATGGCCGCGGCGGGCCTGACGCCGCTCGGTGGCGGGGCGGCCGGGAAGAGAATGTTGGATGCGCAGTTGTCAGGACGAGAGGAGCAGTTCGCGTTCAAAAGAGCGGTGAGCGCTCGTTCGGAATAAAGCAACCCGCTCAGAACCAGAAGGCTTTGCGTAAGCTCAGGCATTGAGGTATCTCTTAATTTAGGCAAAATATCTATACTTTCCTCGGCGTTTCTCGCCGGCAAATGCGTTTCTCGGACGGACTGTTACTTGGAGAGACCCGAGGATGTGCTGCCGCGATTTTCGACACATGCTGGATTTGAAATTTACTCGCAATGAGGCAAAGTTTTCAGTTCTCCTTTAGCTGTTTGGGCAGGTTAAAGGTGATTCGACAAAGTTGACGGACAAACGAAGACAAAGAATCATTGAGATTTGGATTTTTGGCCTCCAGGTTTCGAGACTTCTGGAGATGCAAACTCCAGGGTACCTCCAGTCGCGGTCAAGTTCGACAAACTCATCAGGTACCGTCAAAGGAGACATGCAACTTTCTCAAGAGGCTTTAGCATTAGATCTGTCAGATTTCACAAGGTGACTTGCTCGCATCAATACAGGTATCAGCCAGGTAGGCCCGAGATCAAACAAACGCCTCCCCGACTGATACAAAGATCAGACCAAGTTTGATCGACAAGGCGATAAAATAATCAGGGCGCGATCTTTGTCGTTGACCGTCAGAAATCCGAAAAGTGTGCTTATATTGTGCATGTGTGCTAGCTACGTCGTTGCAATGCAGCATAACCAGTACTGGAGAGTTAGATATATTGAAAACCCTTTTGATTGGTGCAAGCCCGATCGATGTTGACCTTCAAATTACATCCGTCAGGTGACGGTTTGGCCTGTATCTAGGCCGCCCAAAATCGAAGCAGCTCCAGTTGAGTCCTGAGGAAATTGTGAAGCTAAAAGGAATCCTGGGAAAATCATTGCCGAACATAAGGGTTCCCAGTTGACGGTGGCCGCGCAGGTGACATGCTTAGGGAAAGTTGTTGCATCTGCTTAGCAACCCCATGAACGTAGCGCTGATTTGCATGCGGCCAAAGTAGGTTGTCATTGCGTGTATGCAAGTCAATATAGTGCAAAGTGATCAACTTAAACGAGGGGAATGCCCGTAGTTGAGAGCAGAGATGCATGTTCCACTTGTTTATAGGTGCTGCTAAGCTTGGAGAAGAGCTTATCGTCTTATAATGCAAGGGAGACATGACAGCACATGAAGCCCGCCTTGAAATTCAATGATATGGTGCATTTCTCTGCTTGATATCATATTCCGAAATCATGTGTCTAATAAGGTAGAAAAGCGCATTCGAATCAGTCTTTCACGACGTCTTGATCGATTGCAATGAGCATGAAGGCTTGCAATCACCACCATTTGCATCAAGGGTTGTGAATGTAGCAAAAGGCAATATTACATCAAATCACCAGCATGGTGGGGTATTACGGCGTGCAGGAAAAGCAGTCTTTCAACTTTACTTTGGCGTGGATTAGGTGGAGCGCGGACTCTGGTTGCGCCGGTTGAAGTTGCAACGTAGTCCTCAGTGGACACACAAGCTTAATCGAAGCATCAACCGCATCTCTATCATTTGCAGCGTCACTGTGCAGGTTTGAGAGTTTAAGCACTCCCTCTAGGTTGGCGTCTTGTCACACCTGGCAGCCGACTTACGCTGCGGTCTGTGATCGTCGATTGTAATCAATTTATTTGTCATCGACGGTTGGAAGCTGCAGCTGGACAGACTTTGGCGCGCAAAACGACAAACTCAACTGGTGCAGCATGCTTGGGCGGCGTTGGAGGGGACGCGGACTCGACTCAGGGGTCGGGAGCAACTGAACAAGGAAATCTGTAACACTTTTCACCTGCGCACGTGCATTTGTGAGCAGCATTTTTGCATAAGGGACATCAGAAGCGCCGTCATCTTTGGGAGCAAAAAGCAATCTGCCACATTGCAACTTCTTTGAATGTCCAGACTACATTTCACCAGGTCCACAAAGATTGACAAGGGTTATGAACAGTACAGAACAACAAGATCAGCGCACCATCGCTGCTGACAAAGTGGCCACGACAGAAAGGATCAGCAATGATGATCTAGAATCTGCCCAGGCAGTTATCAAGTTGGACGTGGGTGTTTCCAAAAGAGGTGATTGCGTCATGAAGCGAGCAGTGGAGAAACCTGTCTCATAGGCCTGTTTGTGACTCTGTCTGCAAGACTAGCAAAATTAGGGTTTGTAGCCTTTCACTCCTATAGCCTTGCTTGGCGCCAACAGAGAGGAGGCATGGATTTCAGTGAGACCTACAAGCACAGCGGTCCTTGTGCGTGGTCTCCCAATGGCAGAATGCTCGCAACAGCGGTCGACTTCCGCTTGGTGGTGCGGGACGCCGACAGCTTGCAGGTGCGCCTTTCTCCTTGCTAGCTTTGAACCCCAGGCAGTCAAGATTAGGGTTTTCATTTTCACCCACCCATGCTCAGACCAGGGTGGTTTTCTGGAGTGATCCTGCATCAACTCAGGGAGCCTTATGCACTGAGGAGGCTGCTGCATTGAGGAGGCAGCTGTCTTGAAGCATCTGACATGTTGAGCCCGTCAGTCCTGCACTCTGGTTGCTTGTGATGATGGTGGTATGCACGCAATTCCGGACGATAAAAAAATGGTTCAACTTTGTTGAAAGAACAAATGCAGGGTTCATCGATAAGCGCTGTGCCGCAAGCAGATTAAGTGTACATGATGCATCTTTCTTGTGCTCTTGAGCTGATGCAATGCTGACCTGGGGGCAGGTAGTCCAGCCGATTCTGCTGGGGCATCAGACCATCATGCACTGTTGAGTGGTTTTGTATCTTTGAGTTCAACGATTGCTTGGCCCCCATCTTCTCTCCATAAAGCTGGGCAATCAAGGTTGATCAGCATCCTTTTGGAGTAGTCTGGAAAGAGACAAAATGCATTAGCTATTGACCAACTTATGCCACTTTCAGAAGCTTTTCTAACTGCCAGAATTGCAAAGACTTCCACAGACAAATTCCAAGAAGATTGCACCCATGCCTCTGCAGGTCCTTCAGCTCTTCTCCTGCCTCGACAAGATCAACCAGATCGAGTGGGCCAGTGACTCCACCTATATCCTCTGCGCGCTCTATAAACGCTCGCTCATCCAGGTCTGGTCGGTCGCGCAGCCCGAGTGGATCTGCAAGATTGACAACGGGCCCGCCGGGCTCGTGCACGCACGCTGGTGTCCCGATGGGCGCGGAATCCTCGCCACCTCTAGTTTCCAGCTCAAGATCACATTCTGGTCCCTTGTCACCAAGCACAGCGAGAGCCTGCAGTGGCCAAAGCTGGTAATGAGGGGCGTGAGTTTCTCGCACGACGGGAAGTTTGCGGCGGTGGCGACGCGGCGGGATTGCAAAGACTTCGTGAACATTCTGACGTCGGAATCGTGGGAGCTTGTGACGAGATTCGAGGTGGGGACGGCGGACCTGGCGGACCTGGCGTGGGCGCCAGACGATGGAAGCATTGCAGTGTGGGATAGCATCCTGGATTACAAGGTATGGCATCTGCTTCGTAAATTCATCATTTTAATTGCAATTTGAGTTTTTGCGTGCAAGGCAGTCTTTTGGCATAGAATGCGTGCAAGGCAGTCTTCTGGCATAGAATCATCGTAGTGGACTGCAGTCTTGACCCAAGTGTTCCGCAGGACTCAAACCTTCAAAAGCGTGTGGGACGGCATCCTTTTAATCAAGGAACCAGCTCCATCTATACAAGATCCAAATTGGTCCGAACTCTGCCCGTTTGCATTACGACTCAGATTGGGCCGACTCCCCACGAGTCCCCTAGACCTTACAGATGCTCATCCACTCTCCACTTGTTTGGACCTCACTGAATTAAACGGCCTTTGAGGACTCAGCCTGACTCCGCCAATTTCACTCTCTGCACACCCCACATTGGTTACATCTATTGGGCCCAAGCTTATCTATGGTTTACCCCAAACCGTGCAGATGCTCATCTACTCCCCCGACGGCCGCCTCACCGCCCAGTACTCCGCCTACGAAAACGCGCTCGGGATCAAAACCGCTTCGTGGTCGCCCTCCGGCCAGTTCCTCGCGATCGGAAGCTTTGACCAGACGGCCCGTGTTTTGAACCACCTGACGTGGCGACCCTTTGGCGAGTTTATTCACACTCCTACGATACGGCCGAACGGAGCGGTGGCAGTTTACAGGGAGCTAGAGGAGGGCCGACATGTAGTGCTGGAGGGGCGTGCGGAGGGGCTGACGAACGGGATGCAGTTTCGGGAGGCGGCGGCAGCGGCGGCGGACGCGCAGGGGGCGCGAGAGGTGAGAAGAGGCTTGAGCACTCGTACCCCCCAATTACAGAACCTGAAACCGCCGGAAATACTCTATCTACTGAAGTGCCTATCGAATGTTTCGAAGTGGGGGCGTTTGATTGAATCTTGCGTTTAAGCCCCTCAGTGGAGAAGTTGGAGAAGAGAGGTGGTCGCTCAGAATTGGAAGCCCGTCGTTTCTGCTACTGAAACCCGTGGAAGAAAGTTGGCGCTTGGATCAGAGCGAGTTGAGGCTGTGCCCGGGGTCAGAGCATGGGCGCTTCACAAAGTGCTTGGCGCGATTTGCAGGGAACAGATCTCAGCTCCGCTGCGACTCCCTCCATATCTTGTTACTCGCTCTAAACACGGCCTTTTCTTTTGCAGGGACCGACAAAAGCGCGCTACGAAGTGGTCGACGAGCAGGTGGTAGCCGTGCCAAACCGGAAGCCAGAGCCCGATAAACCGAACCCGAAGCAAGGAATAGGTGAGCCGCGGCAGGACTAGCTGCGCCGTACCTAGTTCTCGTCCGAGCGCGCAGTTTAGACTGTCTTCCGGTCCGTCAGCGCCCGGCTGAAAGATCGCAAACCACCGTCATTAAGGAGATCTCCGAGAGCAGGACTGCCTCGGTTTGCAATCCGAAGTAGCCAGTTCATCGTGCTCAAAAGAGGGTCCTCGTACGAGAAGTCGCCCCAAAGGTGAATCTATCCAGATTCGCCCATACGCTATTATATGAAATGCCAGTCACGTTTCCTCGTTTTCACCCAATCCTTGCCAATCAGATCTTTTCGAGTACAGCGCCCACAGCCGATACCTAACCACACCCTTGAGACGGCGAAGCTATCCAGGTGTGCGGAAGTTTCTTCGCTTTCCGCACGCATCTGCGCTTCTGCATCTCCTCTCATCTCTGAAAAAACCGGAAATTCTTCCACTCAGGTCTGCTAGAATGGAGCCCGGACAGCCAGTACCTCGCCACGCGCAACGACAGCATGCCGACCGCCGTGTGGGTATGGTCCATGCCGTCCCTCGAACTGACCGCCGTCCTCATCCAAAAAGAGCCCGTCAAGGCGGCCACGTGGGACCCCACGAGCGCGCGGCTCGCGATCGTGACGGGCACCGCGCGCGTGTTTCTGTGGGCGCCCGACGGCGCGTCGTGCGTGCACGTGCCTTTAGCGGACTTTCACGCCGTCGGGCTGCGGTGGAACCCGGCGGGGAACGCGTTTGTGCTGTTAGATAAGGACACGTTCTGCTGCGCATTTGTGCCACGGACGGACGAATACGAGGGCCACTGAGGGGCGACTGTCAGTTTCAATCGACCTTGCAGAGTCTAGTAAGCGTATATTTACCCACCCGAAGGTCCAATTCTTTGCATATACAAGAAAATAAAGGTCTCTAGTCGTCTGCATGAGGTGTGTATGTACAAGCTTTGCCATCAGTCGACGTCATATGGTGTCTGACTATCACGTGCTCAAATCAAGCTGGACGTGTAGTTCCATTCATGCATCAGATTGTGCGATTTAACGGTCAGGACCTGCCTCCATATGCAGTGCGTCTCACGTGGAGCTTCATGGTTTATATGTATCTAGTTTGATTAGCTGAGGTGGCATACAAGTGCCTCAGTGTGACCGACACGATAAGAGCACTGATTTTGCACTCAGTAGGATCAAGCGGATTAGTCACAATACAGTAGTACGGTCACACGCGAAATGCAATGCGGCGGGTGCAACGGCCTCTTTCATATCAACGTCAATCCGGTCAGCTTTTGCAGTCACACGACCGTCGTGCTGAATGATCATTTCAAACCCATAATTAGTTCGGACGGTTCACAAACCGAAGAACTTGCTTATACTTTGTATAGCTACTGAGCACGATCAGGGTCCAACAGATGAAATACCTTGCATTAGTTGCAGATCCGGATTAAATCTGCACACATGCATACTGAGCGTGATGCACCGTACATTTTGCATATGCCGACGTACATGGGGGTGGATATACAAAGTTCGGGGCACGGTTACATACAAATTCTCTCCCGCCAGCGCTGTGCATGTCGTGGATCCCCTGATCGAACATGATATGTGCGAGCCCCGGCCAGCCATGCATGCCCATGCACCAATAGGTAGTCGAGTATGCCATGCCCACTATGATGGTGAATATGGGGCATCTTTTTGAATTTCGATCAATACTCAGTCATAGCATGAGCACACGACTGAGTTTTATGGATGTCAGATCGCGACCGTACCACACTCCTTAGTAATGCAGATCTCATGCAGCGGCTTGGAGCTGCCGAGATAGTCGCATTCGCGAATTATACGCATACCAACACCTTCTGTTGGCGTCCGCAGCGCCCAAATGCACATGACAGAGGCCCGGCCCGGCCCAGTCTTCGTTGGATTGGCAATTGCCGTCTGGATTTTTGAGCGCTGGGCCCCGCAGCAATGCAAGTAGGTCAACAAAATACCAATTATTGAGTCATGCTGATGTCAACGGACTCTTACACCGAGGGTTCTGGTTAGACGGTACGTGACCAAACTCGTCCTCAACCTTGCAGATTAGATTCTTATTCTACTAAGATACAACCTCGGTGACCAATGCACTAGTGCTTAAGTGACCAATGCACTAGTGTCTACCATATCCACATCCAGGCCCACCTGTGAAGGAGTCAAGCTTGACCTTGTTACTCCCGAGACAACTCTTTGCCGCACGCTTGCTGCATCCTTCCAAAGAGCCAGACCTCCGCCCATTGCCTATCTTATTCTACTCTCAGCTTCAAGAGCACAAGTGAGCATAACGTTCGTGCTTAACAAAGGAGCTACAGAGGGCTTGACGCCGGCTGCATCAGAGCAAGCCCCCATCCTCATCCCTACCCTCGAACCCAACCCTTCACAGGAGCTCAATCCCGTTTTGGGACTACGACACACTGACAGTGTGCTGCTCGGAATCAAGCCCGCTCTCTTGCTTATCAAATACCAGCCCTCCCTCAGTGAGCTGGATGTGGAGGGCGCTGGCCTCAGCGTTTGACAGTGTCTCCTTGCACTTTACACACACAGGCGCTTCCGCACCGAACTCCCGACGGTCGTCTCCACTTGAGGCCGGTGGCCGGGACTTGAGCGCGATGACCTCCTTTTGTAACCGCCGGTTCTCTTCCGTCAGCGTTTCGCAGCACCGCTTCAGGACCTCGCAGTCGATCTCCGTCTGCTTCAGCTTGGTCCTGAAGAGAGAGCGAAGGACGTTTGAAAAAGTGACCGGTATCCAAAGCACTTCCACTTTGCTGTCTTCACGACAAAAGTCTCAAAGAAGTTCCCTCTCAGCTATCCTTTTGGCAGTTTTGGGCTATGTTCTCCAGTTCTGGTCCTGGCAGCATAGCGCTCCTCGAGATAATGCACAAACCCAAGACCTCAGAAACACGGTAGCACTTGAGACGTTGGCCATTAGTTAGATTGGATATACCCACAACTCAAGTCCGCAGGTTTCTACGGTTTTACACACCATCTTTCTATCTTCCAGCAAAGCGCCAAACAGACAGAACCATCACACTTCCAACAGAAAGAATCGGAAGATTCCTTTGTACGGGAAGCAAGTAACGAGAACGCCTAGTGCCGCGTAAAAGCGCTTCGACCGCAGGATGCCGGTGCAAAACTTCGCTACTTTTCGGGTCCCGATAACTGCCTGTTATGGCTTCTCATGCACAAACTACTTCCTTACCCTAACCCGCATACGTTTGTTGGTCCGCCAGTTCTTATCTCTGGTTCCGATTCAGGTCGCAATCTGGACGAGGGCCCTCACCTGGCTCGTCTGTTTTGGAACCACACTTCGACCTGCCGGGGCCGCAGGCCTAGCCGAAGCGCAAGCGCGTTCTTTTGCTTCTGCAACACAGAAAATCTCGGTTCAGCACCACAGACCCCTCGACAGAGCGGCACTCTGAAGGCACAGTGCATGTTGGAAAACCTCCGCAGAGGGTGAAAGAGGATATGCACTTGTCTGGTGATCAGAATGCACCCGAGAGTGTCTGTGAAGCAAAGTTTGTTGATCATCAAGCAGATGATTGGCCGAAGCAGGTGAAAAGTTTCACCCACACCCTGTGCTTTGCCTAAACCCGATTGCACAAAGATCACACGTCCCCTTTCAAGCATCAGCGCACGTTCACGAAAAGGCGGATGTCTGAGGACAGTTTAAACGGAAGCTTCTTCAAGTGGCAAAACCTCTGTACTGCTATCAAAACGAAATCTCTTTTCTAACCGAGGGGGGAGCCTCGTAACCGAGACAAAAGGCTGCACAACAGGACCGTTGGCGAACCCCATGGCAAGCCCTGATACTCCTCGCGAATCAAATCAACTACTCACAGCTTTCGTTCCTAGCTCACTGCACAAATAAGCCACCAAGCAGACAACTCAAGCAACAGCTCACTCTCTGCAGAGAAGGAAGCGCACAACAAGCTCTACAACAGGGCGCTCTGGCGGCTTTACCAAACCCCTTTGCACCCCCTTGACCACCACCTAACTGGACTCTGAAGCCAGCTTAGCCAAACGCCTTTACAAGATGATCAACGCGAGCCCTTGTGATTGTTCACCGCCTTTTCCACACAAAGCCATGAGGCATTGCCTCTCGCACGCATCATAATCCGCCCAAGACTCAGCATACAATGCAAGCAGAGGTTACTAATCCTGAGAACCAAGACAAACACACGGAGGCCAGACGAATGGACCTGAATGGCATGTCTAATGAGCAACTTGATGTTATGACTTGGCATGTTTGAGCCCACGGCAGCGTTGCTGACCCCGCTGCTAACAACCATCGACCAATTCGCTAACCACTGCCAATCACCACAGAAGGAGCACCTGCCCCCGCACCTGGCTGTAAGTGCTCTGCTCTTTGGAGGCAGAATAGGCAACGAATGGAACCCACTGAGAAACTGACAAATGCACCGTCAAACCACAGATAAGAGGACCATCACTGGCGAAAAAGCGGCTCATCCTTGCGCGACTCACCGGGCTGTGCGTGGACTGCTCGTTGAAGGCGGCCTCCAGCTGCTGGCTCTGCTCCTTGCTCAACCGCATCTTGCGGTTCTCCTCGCTGCTGTCGCGGTCCCGCTTGCGACCACTGCGCTGCTTCGGCTCCTCGTTGTCGTCCTTCTCCTCGGCGGCAGGTTGAGCTGCGTACCCTTGTTTCCCTGCCTCACGGTCACGGGGTTGGGATGCATATCCTTGTGCGCCCCCCTCGTGCGGGGGGTCCTCCTTGGCCGCTAGCTGCGCCGTGGGGATGGGAGCAGGGGGGAAATGTACCCCCAGGTGGGAGGAGAACGGTTTCAAATGGTCCGAGAGCTTCTTCTCGATGTGCGAGATGCCGGGGTAGATGAAAGTCTCGTCCTTCTTGGCGGGGGGTGCGATTGCAGGTTGAGGCAGCCCTGCGCAATCAGGGGAAGGGTGCATGATCAGTGTCAAGAGGGGGGTGCATCGGCGAGCAGGAGTTTTGCTCTCTCCAGCCTTTTCTCTCCCCCCCTTAGCAGCAACTCCCCTCAGATAGAACCTGGCCCCTACTCACTTGATCAATGGGTGGCACGAACACGCGTCCATTGCATGGACAACGCTCAGAAACCTCAACCAAGTGAGTGCTGCCACACCAGGACTCCAACAAGTTCCTTGAAGGCGCATGCATTATTAACATAAGCTGGGAATGATGCATTTCTCAAATTTTGAACCATCCTGGTCCCCGTCGGCAGAACCAAAGAGTCGGGGACTGTGAAATGCCTCTTGTCTGTAGATTGGGACGTTAGCACCAAGCGAAGCCCTATTAATCACGACTTCAAAGTGAAAAGCAGATGCTACAACCATCGTCAATTGATTCTTCCCCACCCTGGTCCAGCAACAATCTTTTTGAGTAGAAGGATTGCTACAGAGAATGCAATCGCTTGTCCGGTGTGCACCGCAAAGTATGACAGAAACGGCTGAGCGCAGAGCATCTAAATTGGGTGCTGCTTCTTATAGGAACTTTGGACAGCATAGCTGGAACCTTGAAGAATGCTGTATGCTGGACACAAGTTCCAGATGAACACCGTGGATAATGCAGTCAACAAGGAATTTGAGAAGAGACCACTGTGCATTTTGTGATGCAAGTGTTTTCACAAAACTAAAAGGGAGCCACCTACGAGGGCCGACCTAACCGCAATTGTTTCCAGCTCATTCAACCAAACGCCTCATGTTGGCGCACAAGGACATTCCTATGGGCCTGTGATCGGATTCAGCATTAACCAATAGCTGACTCCGACAGCCAAGTACGTCAGCAGCTTTTACAAGGAAGCTGCTTAAGAACCACACGCAAGGCCCAACGATTTCAGAGAACATCGACCTCGTAAGAACAAGATGCCCTCAGTTGCCTGCCTAGCAAGGTTGTCACTCACCCAAGCATACACTATCCAAGTTACCATACATTTGCAATATACTGGCATCCTAGCGATGCAGGCTTCTCTACCAGCTCATGGGATGGCCAAAGCCGAAGTGCCCTCCTCCCCGCAATGATGAAAACAACTGCCCTCAGCCTTTGCTCTCAGGCTTCCCCTGCTTTTGTTCAAGAATGCATAATGCACGTCCATGCAGTGGAACCCAAGCACCTCGTGTATGAGCTCCCGAGCATCTACGAGAGACCAGAACCTTCTTCTAATCTGCAGCGCACCTCTAGGGGCTGGCACGAAGAAGCAACAGGATTGATACATAATGCACCTCCTCCAATTCAGGAAGAGCACCTAAGGACAACCATGCGCATGCATATGAAGCAGTCTATGCAACGTCAATCTTCTGCTTGCATACAACGTACCTCCTCCTGACGATCCCACAGGCAGCAGCGGCAGCATGGCCTGCGTCTTTTGGACGGGCGACGATCTGATGTCCCCAGCGAATGCCTGCAGGTTCTCTAGAGAATAAGCTGAGCTCCCAAGCACCGGCTGCTGCCGCTGCGGCCGGCCCCCCCCAGTCAAGAACACCGGGAAATCAATAACCCCATTCATCTGCGATGTGGTTGCTTGCATCCCCTGAGGGAAGAAATCGCCCCCATGCAGCCCGGACCCTGCCCTGCTCAAAGTGGGGAATGCGCCCAAGCTCACGGTAGCAGGAGAGGAGCTGTTGAAGGAGCTCGTGCTGCTCCGCAAGCCAACAAAATCAGACACAGTTGGCTGCGAGAGGCTGAGCTGGAAGCTGTTGGATGGCTCTTGAGCTGAGGGCATCAGCTGATTGCCAGAAGGCTGTCTTCCCAATCCAACAGGCTCTGCCTGTGGTTCCCTGACTGCCGGCACTCCAAGTAGGGACGCAGCCAGAGACTTCATCCGGTCCAGCTCCGCTCGCAGCCGCTCGTTTTCTTCTGAGAGCAGCATCTTGTCCGCGAGAAAGAGGCAAGCCTTTGGGGGGGGTTGGGAGGGAGCTCCCTCAAACAGATGCTCTTGTATCTTTAGGGGTGTGAACAGCACAAGTTAACAAGATAGATACCGCCGTCCTTTTCCTTTGTCCTGTCATAGGCACCATTCTGTGTGGAAAGCCCGAGCCCACTTCTGAGATTGTATCCTAGAGAAACCTGGCCTGGAAAGGGCTGGAATTCTGCATCCATTATTCGCGAGTTCAGAATTCCAGGTCCGGTTGTCCCCAGTCTTGATTTCTGACAGTGACACATTTGCTGTCAAGGAACCGTCAACTTGGGAGTTCAGAAAAGACTGACAGTGAAGTTGAATGCCCCTTGGTGCAAAGCAGGAGCCCAGGGCCAGGGCCCAGGCTTGCGAAGAGCACGGTCGGTATGGTGACCGAACTGACCGGTGGATCTGGAACAAAACATGGAAAAACAGCCTAAAAACTTCCATGCAAATCATTACCTGAAAAGATAACCGAAGTGGGACGGGTAGGGTTACTTTGGGCCCTGGGGCAGGTTGGATAGGAGTGCGGAACAGGAATCTTCTTGGGTTAGGGGCCACCTCGTTAATGGGACCAAATAACACAAAATGTTATTATTATGTTATTATGTAATATACGGTACTTGTTCAGGCTTCAGCGGCCAGCCTCAAAATTACGGTATGGCCCAAGTTTGGTATTGATGACTGGCCGACCGGTACATTGTGTCAAGACATGAAACTGCAAATCGTACGGCCCGCCAACCGGGGCACGCCGCACCCTATCATGTGTCACTGTTGACACCAATCCGGTTCTGCCAATTAATAGCTTGGTACGCAACAATGAAGATACAGCATGTAGTACACGTCACGGTATGTACCTTGGGACTTGGAAGCTTACCGGTGCTAGTGTTTTCACGAGGCCGCAGAGAAATTCAGGGAACCCAAAGTGGTACGTAGAACAGCCCGGTTATCGGCAACCCCGTACGAATCACGTTGGTAACTGCCCTTTTACTTACGAGCAATTTCACTTTAATTATAGGATAGGCGCCCGGGAGACGGGTAGGGTTGGTTGGATGGTTAGGGTGGATTTGCGTGCGGAGCGGGTGATTCTCTTGGTTAGTTTTGTTTTAGTTTGTTTGCCCGAGTAGCCCGGATCTTAAATGAAATGGCTCTAATATGTGAAATCGGAGTTACCAGTATGTACGAATCCAAAAGATGCTCACACGATCTGACACGTTTTTCCTGCGAAAAACAACCGGGGCAAATTGATCAACCCGGGTTCCAGAGCGAAACCCGATGTCCGGTTTCGGAGCGGCCCCGCACCAACAATCCGCACAACTCTGTTAGACCCTGCGCCAACCACGTCCAAGCCCCAGGTACACTTCGTAGGACTAGAGACGCGGGCTTCAGGTAATATGGCTAGAAATCGCTAGAATCCCAATCGATCTTACACCGAGGGCCGACACCCGAGCTCGTCAGTCGTCACGGTGTTGTCGGAACAATCAGCATTCATATGATTGAAACAATGATTTTCATAAATGTACAGGCGTCCTCCACATGGCACCTTGCCTTGGCAAATCAACCATGAGCTCCTATCCGTACATCATGGCATCTCCGAAAAACCCGGCCACATTTGAGTGAGCTGGGTCCAGGGATGGAGGGTCCGACAATCCACCCGGTACAATACCGGCTCCTGTGTCGTGAAGTAGGTACCTACCGTACCGTACTCCGGACACGGCAGTGCTGAGTTGAGTCACACAGGTACCTATCTACCGGTAGTGAGTAGGTACCGCAGAGTACCGCCTGCGTGGGCCGTAGGTACCGTGGGCAGGGATACCGTGCACCTGAGTCCTGGGGTGTACCTAGGTACCGGTACCTGGAGAAGACGGTATTGTTTTGTGACGTAACGGTACATACCTACTTCGTTTTGGCGTCGAGCAATAGTAGTGTCTACCCGGTGGGTTGTACTGGGGACTCCGAGGGCGACAGAACTTTGGACAAGAATCAAAGCGCCCGGGCCCGGGTCGCTGGCTTGCTTTCCTGGGGCTCGCCGCGCTCGCCGAACCGAGGTGCGGATTCACGACGGTCGATCACGGCCCAATGCCCATCATGGGTCCTCTGCCCGGAGGCACGAGAATCTTTTCCGGCCGGGCACCTTGCACCGGGTGATTCTGGTAACACCGGCCAATTTAGCGCGTCCGCGCAAATATCTTCGACTCGAACGTCACAGGGGCCGGCCCGGGCCACCGGGGCCACCTGGCCAGGCCAGGCGCCCGGGTCGCGTCCGACTCGGCCCGGCGCGGCCAACCAGCCAACTTCTTGAAAGTTCTAACTGGCCCGATCGAGTCGCCCGACATTTGTGCTTGAGAAAAGGTCCCGGGGACGGGTATGGTTGGTTTGGGGGTTATGGTGGGTACGGGTGCGGAGCGTGTACTCTTGTTACTACCGTACGGTTAAATTGCGTTTTAGTTTGCTTTTTTGCCCCGGGCGGATACCTATTTACCTAGTGAACAAAGTGATTGGAGGGACAGCTTTTACGCCTGGCCATTGCACTGCACCGTCCGATGATGGATCTGCACCGGCCATATTGGCAATTGCATCATTGATACGGTCCATGCGTGAAAGTGTTCGGAAGTCGGCGCGCTCGCACACCATCCTAAAATTTTGCTACCGGTAGCATCATGGTCATATTTGCTGAAATGGCCGGCCCGGAGTGCAGGCTGAGCGGGCGCGCTGCGCGCAGTGCAGGATTAGCGGGAGCCCGTACTAGTGTCACCGCCGGCCCGGGGCGGGCAGGGTTTTGCACACATGAATGATGATGAATACATGTGTCTTGCATTCTTGCATGGTGATCCTATTTAGGTATATGCCTTTTTACCATGACTACCTACTACCATGACTTTTGGGCATCATGCAAGTGCACATGCAACACTCCAAAGAACTAGTAGTTGAAGCCTTAAAAACCGAGTTTGCAATTCTATGAATGTTCTCTGATTCAGAACACTGGGTAATTTCTGAGCCCAGCGCCTGGTGATTGCCTAAGCTTGAAGATCATCTTTTTCCTAAGTAGGACGTGCCCCGGATGGGCTGGCGGCTTAAGTTTAAAGGGATGTGTGTTTCTGGTGTTTGATCATTCGATGTGAGAGTTGAATCTTTCAATCAGTCGAAAAGATGTAGAAGCATTGCCCTGCGTCAAAAAGGACACACACAAAAATTGTACGCTACTAATGAGAACCATATGGCCGCACTGACTACGGCGTTACAAAAAGAAACCATCGTTTGTACTAAAATGTTGAACACGTTGGTTGAGCTTGAAGGGAGCCTGAAGGGAGCTTGAACTCATTCCAAAATCATCAAAATAAATGACACAATGATATATATACTAATTGACCTTCGCTATAATTAAAGTGAGAGCTCAAAGTCCTTCGATTCCTTGAACGAACAAAGCCCTAAAGCTGTGAATTACACGGCCGAGAATTGCAACTTTGGCTATGTAACTTGCTGCAAAAAAAAAAGACAACCGCATGCAAGGGCCATATATGAATTCTGACCATCACCGACGCTTGGATTCCAACAATTATCCTTGATACTTAGCTAGGAGCACACGAGGATCCACAAGGTTATAAGTACGTCGGATGACCGCAGTTTTTGACTAACCAGTGAAGAAACACACGTACTACCAAAAAGAAAGGCCCATTGTGAGCGGCGAGCACATAGCAGAGGCTCCTTCAATGATCCGCCAACGATCAGCCACTCTTCCGCGCATTTCTACTTTGGCAAGTGTCACCAGTCATCGTCTCAGGCTGTACAATCTTATGGACCTTGTCGATCATCTTTTTGACTTATGTTTTCAAGCCTATAATGTATCCTAAGCATCCCCGACTCCCCGGGCTGTTTGTACTCTCATCGCAAGCCAGTACCCTCTTCCAGTTCAGCAGCCCCCTGTACAGAGATGACAGCTGGCAATCTTAGCGCCGCGCACAACCGGAATCTCGACTTCAATTAGATGCGTTATTATTTCTAGCAACGCCGTATCACTTTGGTTCAACTTTACTAAGCCACTGCTCGACTTCGCCTGCTGCTCTATACCCAGCTTCAAGCGCCCCTTCCATGTAGCCTAACCACCGAGTCGACGTTTCGGTCGCAGCCCAGTGGAGGCAACCGATCGGTTTTCGAAGGACTCCGGCATACTTGCACGTGACGCCAGGGGGGGCAAGGTTCACCGGGCATCCCCTGTACACGAAAAAGCAAAGCTTTGAGATATGCGGAACAATAAAGTGAGTATAACGTTCGGTCTTGGCACATGGTTGTATCGTTGCCCGCTTGGGTACGTTGGGAGGGACGTCTGAAGGAGCCATCCTGCAGCTTTTTGGAAGTAGAAAAGTGTTTCAGAAAAGTAGTCGTTCAACCCACGAAACTTGAAATTGTGGCGAAAGCTTATCCGCAAGGAGCGAATGCTTCAGAAATACAGCCCGAACACAAGGTTTCTGGTTGCCTGAACGAAAGTTAAAAACGTTCCTAAAACTTTGTATCAATCTTCTTAATCGAGGTGCACGCCCGTAGCCCAACAAATCACAGTAGATTTGCCGACGGCCTGATCAGACGAGCAGACGGCCCCCGAAACCTTGATAACCTAAGAATGACACGCGCTTCCTTTCTGCAACTCTTCGTTCTTCAAGCAAGGAGCCCAGATATCTTGTGTCGCTGGGTGTGGTTCGTATTTCGAATTGTGCAGATTTGGACGTTTCTGGCTGTATATCGAACGCAAACAACCGCAGCCCGGTGTTCAGGAAAGGAACTATCACGGTTGCAAAACGTGTTCAAGAGATGGATCTAGTTTGTACGGGTCGGACTGCCCTGCAAGAACAGCCAGTGATGAAAAGCCAGAGCTGATGGAAGCAAACAATTGACAGCTCCGATGGGTCTGAATGGTATAAAGCAACGTACCAAGGTAAGCCGTGTGGCAGCTGTCCGAAATAGTGAGCGAGGAACGGAGAGGGCTGGACATAAGAGATACCAGGATGGACGGAATTACGCTCATCACAACCGCGATCAGTAGCGCAACGTCGCAAAAGGGGCGCGATTCGGCAAGTACAAGAACAAAGACGAAAAGCTAGAGTCGGTACACGACGAACGCGAAAAGACCCAGGACAGAAGGAAAGACACAGACTGTCTTTGTTCTTTGAGAAAAGAAGCAGGCTGCCATAGAGAAGGACAGAAAAGGAATACAGAAATAGCAGAAGGTTTCAATCGAGATAGAGGCACGGCACACGAAATCCTTTGGACACTCGAGGACCGAACTTGGAATTGAAACGAATCAGGATAACAAAGACAGTTCGAACGGCTCACTTGGTCCAGAGGTCGTCCGCCCACACCTTTAGATGCAACTCGGTGAACGCCCGCGCCTCCTCCCCAAAGAACCGCACTAGCGACCGTACAACCCCCGCTCTTTGTTCCTCTTCCGTCACCCCCCCGTGGTCATCCGCAAGGGCCCCTGTGATGAAGCACGCCAGAGCTGCGTACGCCCCGCCCTCGCCGCTGACGTCAAATGACATCAGCACGGGGTGCTCCCTGGAATACCCCGCAGCCATGGCCTCCCCACTGAACCCCTTTTCCCGCCAGAACGGCGTTGGGTAGCAGACAACTGCTTTAGTGTACGAGCCCATGAAGTAGCGCGAACCAATCTGTTCCTGGAGAAGGGGCAGGGGGGGAAAGAAGGAGATGTGCCGGATGATCATTGTGGGGGGGACAGCGACAATCACAGCTTTTGCCCGAAACGCCCCCTTTGCGCTGTGGACTATTGCTCCTCCATTGCGTCCGCGTTCTTCAGAAGCATTGTTGTTGCTTGCTGGATGACTCGAATGAGACCCTGATTCTGTCTCACACTGGCCCGCTTTCAAACTTGCACCTTCTTCACTTGGCTCTGGGCCGTTGGAGCTTGCCCCTCGCTCGTATGACGCGGCGACACCTGTCTCCCCAAGCTCTTTGCTGCTTACACCATCTTCTCCGCTTCCCCCAAGCTCGCCGCCGTGGTCAATCTGGTAAACAGGCGCCTCTGAAATGCACGCACAGCCCTTCCGTCCCGCCACCCTCGCAGCCAGCCGCTCACTCAGCTGCTGCGCGCCCCCTTCAATGTACGAATCCTGCGCCGCCCCCTCCGCGTCCACAAGCTGAGCGAACCCCCCCGCAACATTTGAATAATGCAACGCAAAAAGCAGAGAGATGTCCCGGCATTCGCAGCCCCACACCATCCTCACCGCGACATCCAGCAAGTCCTTGGCAGGCTGGGTCTAAAAGCTCCGCTGCTTCCAGCTTTCCAAAGTCTCCCCGTCCCAGGTGATCATTACTCTCGGAGCCCATTCGTAGCGCCCCATCAGAGCCCGCCACCTGGCGCGCCATCCTTTCCAGCTGCCAGAATGCGCGGACGCCCACCTCGAGCTGACTCAGTATCGGAATGGGGGGCACCGTCCCATGGTACTTGCGCACCGAACCAGCCCCCCCGGGGTGCATGATCGCATAGCCCCCCGTGTGCTGCTTTCTCACGCTGATCCCCAACTCTGCACACAGCGCGTGCATCAAATGCTGAGAAGGTGCGAGCCAACGACCGCCCAGGTCGTGCGCTCCCCCGTCTTCGCTTCTGACAGTCAATGTGCGCCCCCCGAAGCGATCAGACGCCTCCAGAACCAGGACTTTGAGGCCTTGTTTGCTGAGCTTGTCAGCGGCGGCAAGCCCAGACAGTCCTCCGCCCACCACAATGACTTCATACTCCATGCTAGTCATTGATGACGGGGCCTTCGCTACTCGGAAGTGTCCTGATCAGAGGACATAAACGTCAGCTTCAGAAGTTTGCCGGCATGTGAAAGCGACAGCCCTTTTCAGGATGAGCAGACACTGTATAGGAGGAGTTGAAATCAACCGGTTCCTGCTGCTAGTACTCCTGCCCATGCTACAATGCTAAAATGCTAGCTGCGTTCTGCGCCATTTGAAATGCTGTGGCCCTGAGTACCATTCACGAGTGAATCAAAGAGAGAGGGACCCCTTCAGGCTTCAAAGTTCAGCTAGCTTTCAAGAGCAGCTTGTCTTCCCCCGGGTCCAAGCTGCCGGGTCATGGCCGGCGGTAGTGCCGGTTGTCCGGTGAGTGAGGTCGTCGCAAAGCCCAAATGGCAACGGCGCATTCGAAACGGCACTGCATGAGCGCCCCGGGCGCAACCGGGGGGCGGGTGAATGCATGCTGCCTGGAACGGACTCCAGATTGGCGGATCAGCAAAGTTCAATCTTCCAAGTTCCGGAGATCTTCTGAGTGGCGGGAGCAACAGATGTTTCAGCTATTAGAAGCTGGCTGGGAGGATACATTGTCATAAGCTTTGGGCAGTAGGTAGCTGACGTGAGAGAAAATTCTGGTCGGTGGAGGGGGCGCACGGCGGCAGCTGGCATGTCAGAAGATAGTGGGCACTTTCCATCCAGAATATGTTTAGGACGTTGTTATCTGTAATCTGAGGGCTGGGCTAGCTTCCCAAAGAGTCAGTTTGAGAAACAGAGTTCGGAACCCCAACACCTGCTCAATTCCGTGCTCAGGCAACATAGTGAAGTGTCTCAGCGCCGCCACTGAGCAGAGTTCTTGAATGTGGACTGTCTCTCGATGGACGTTTTGGAGTGGGTCCGCAATGCTGCGGACTTCTGCAAGCCGGGGCCAATAGCCCCCCTGCCGACGGGCGCCCCTGCAAAGTGGGGCGTAACGGCAACGCTCAAGCCGCACCAGGAGGAGGGGGTGGCGTGGCTCGTCGAGCGCTACAACCGGGGGGTGAATGTGATCCTGGCCGACGAGATGGGCCTGGTGGGCATTCACACTTTTGTTGTTTCACTTCAGTTGTGTGGACAGTATGTGCCCAGTTTGTTTAAGCTGTCAACAGATCGATGTGTGTTTCTTTGCATCATGATGCGTTTCATTTCAGTACAGTGGTTCAAGCGGAGAGAGTTGCACCTTGTGGCCTTCCATACCTCGCTCTGGGCGCTTGACAGAAGTCAGCAGACATTCAGACTTCCTTCCTATGAACCAACAGGCCCCTTGGGCCCTGACAATCCTACTTGTCCTGTGGGGCTGTTCACGATTCACAGTCCTCTACTCAGTACTGGTCCGAGGAGATGAGATTCTCTTCTAGATCCGGCGGGCGTTCACTCTTTATGGATGAGGGTTGGCTTCTGGGGCTGTCGTCCTTTTACTATAATGGGGCTTTGAACTCTGGTGGTGAGGACTAAAACATTAGTGTTCGGGCAACCGTCACGGCCAGCCTGGAGATTGACAAATAACACATTTCGCTGATCTTGCAAGCAGGCTCTGGATTTGCGTGACAGGACTTACTGTGTCTCAGAAGCTCTTGCTTTCAGGTCGTGGGGCATTGCTCAAGGAACTGCCTTCATTCTAGTTTCCCTGTCTCAAACCAGGCTTTCATTGGAAGAGCTTTCCTCGATTTGTGTCAAGGCGATTCCAAAAAACGAGGGGCTTAACCGAAAGTTTTCACTGCACCCCTTCTTCTTGTCGCTCCTCAAGGCTGCTTTTGAAGTTCCAGCTCGCAGTGGTCGAACCTTGGCTCCTGTTCTTTGACGCCCCATGCAAGCATACACTATTCTGCTTTTGTCTCTCCAGACTTTCAGTTCAAGCTCAAGATCGGTCTGATTTGTTGCGTGACATTCGGAGTTGGAATTCGAGGCATACAATTCTCAAAAGGCAAGAGGGACGTTCGTTTTCATCTTTTTCTAACATTGTGTCATAAACCCCCCAAGCTTCCGGCCTCGACTCTGCAAGTTTTCTGAATCTACAAACTTGGGCCTTGTTTTGCAGGGGAAGACTGTCCAAGCCATCACCCTCCTAGCGTACCTCTCTTCTGATAGACGAAACCCGGGGCCTTTCCTCGTCATCAGCCCACTAAGCGTCACCGAAGGCTGGGCGTCCGAACTGCGCCTATTCGCACCGAAGCTTCGGACCGTCCGCTACACTGGCGACAGGGAACAGCGGGAGGGCATCCGGAAGGAAATTACGGACGGTTTGAATGAGCTCCCGGCTGATAAGCGGGCGGAGCCACCCCTGGACTTCGAAGTGCTGCTGACGACTTATGAGCTGGCGATGCTGGACGTAGTGTTTCTGGGGCGGTTTCGGTGGAAGATGTGCGTCGTCGACGAGGCGCAGCGGCTCAAGAACGACGAGAGCGTGAGTGTACTGATTCAAGAACCGTGTTTCGAAACCAAGGCTTCAAGTCTCGACACAGAAGTATGGAGTGTGAGTAAAAGTTCGTCGTGGGGGGCCTCGTCTTCAACGGAGGGTGTTTGCGAATCAAAAAGATAACTGGTTCAAGTTGAGGAACACGAGTCAACTATAGGGGCCTGATAACGAGAACAAATCAATCAAAATGCCCCGCCAGAAGACTTGAACCAGCTCCACAATCCAGCTCCTCTTGAAGGCCCTGTCCGACTTTCTCGCAGGCGACCTGTCAGGCCCCGAAAAATGCTGGTCGCCACTTGAGCAAGCTCCGGTACGCGCCAGGGCTTCTCAAGGGCCTCAAAGAGCCAAGGCCTTGTCGCACTGAAATTGCACTAAAACCCATCACAAATTTGTCCACCAAGACCTGTGCAGGGCCCTCTACGATTGAAAGGCCCTGTTTCATCAGAACTACGCACTGATCTCTTGCGAATCCCGTCCACCTGGTCCTTCACAAAGCCCTCTCTGCACTGTACTTGCTCAAAAGCCCCGTTTTGATCACCACCACCAACTAACACGGCACGCATTCCGACCACTAGGTGCTGTACAAGGCCCTCTCCGAGCGTTACCTCCTGCCCCGACGGCTTGGGCTCACAGTCGAAGGCCCCGTCTCACCAAAATCACCCACTGAAGCCGCACTGAACCTGCCCGCCCGGTCCTGTGCAAGGCCCAAGGAGCTCGAAGGCCCTGTTTCACCAAACCTACCCGCTAATGCCCTCTGACTTTCATGCACCAGGTCCTTTACAAGGCCCTCTCGGAGCGGTACCTCCTCCCCCGACGGCTCCTGCTCACGGGCACCCCCGTCCAGAACAACCTTGCCGAACTAGGCGCGCTGCTCCACTTCTGCATGCCCAAAATCTTTCCCGACGCGCGCCGCTTCTCAGACGCTTTCGGGCCGGCCGCCGGCGGTGTGAATGCGCCCAAGTCCGGTGCGAACGGGGCCGACGCAGCTGGAAACGGGGCTAAGACGCGTGTGAATGGAGCGGAAGCAGGTGTGAATGGGCCCGTTTCCGCCTTGAAAAATACCGCCCTCGAGGTTCTTCGGGCGGCTTTACACTCGTTCATGCTGCGCCGCACCAAGGCCGCGCTCGTGACAGCTGGCGCGCTGTCGCTGCCCCCTCTCGCGGAAGTTGCGCTGTTCGCGCCCATGGTTCCAGTGCAGGAACGGGTGTATCTGTCGGTTCTGAAGAAAGAGCTTCCCCGATTCGGGGGGGACCCCCAGGCGGGGGCGCTGCAAAACATCGTCGTCCAGCTGAGGAAGGCGTGCAGCCACCCGTACCTTTTCGGGGGGGTCGAGCCGGAGCCGTTTGAGGAGGGGGAGCACCTGGTGGAGGTGAGGACAATAAATGGAAACCCTTCCGCTTTGGAGGCAGTAGACTGGAGCGTGGGGGTCTCGCTGTCTTGCCTTTCCTGTCTTCTGCCTCTGCAGTCTGCAGCTAAGAGTAACCTCATCCTTTTCCCAAAGTCCCCTAAATGCACTTACAGGAAAGGCAAGGCTTGTAGCGAGATGTTTTTGCTGAAGCCGCCTGCTTCGCAGACGTCCTACACAACAGGTATCGTATCTCTGACAATCAACCAATCATAAGAGCCAGTAGACTCCACTTACAAGCCGACCAGAGAAGTAACTCAGCATTGACGCAGTCAATACCGTCGATCGTGAGCTGATCCGGACCCTGTTTGCCGTTTTCCTCTGCAGGCCAGCGGCAAGCTGCTGTTGCTGGACCTGCTGCTGTCCAAACTGAAGGCCGGCGGACACCGCGTGCTCATCTTCGCCCAGATGGCGCGGACGCTCGACATTCTGCAGGTAACGGACCCTGTCCGCACCGTCCGCCAGGAATCTGTGAGTAGACTGAGTATTGGAGGGGAGCCTCAACGGAGACGGAGTCTTTTCCGTCTTCAGTCCGACTTCATTCAGGAAAAGCTTCATGATCCCAAAGTGAAACTCGAGTATTGAGGCGAAAACTGTCGGAACGTCGATTGTGTGCACGAAACTGGCGCGATTCGCTCACACCCAGCGAAGTAGCTGCCTGCTTGTTGTGAACTATTTGTCCAAGCATTTCGGCCGGCCCTGTCTGTTTCGTTCTTCGAGAGCAATGTCGAGGGTAGTTGTTCCTATCTTGTTTTCCCACAATCTCTTCCGTGTCATCCGAAGCATTATATGTTTCAGGACCGATCTAGAGGCAGTATTCCACTACCTCTTCCGTGCAACCCTCCAGAATCGCCGCAAACATCCCACGACCTCTTCCGTGTAACCTCCAAATCAATTGAAGCAGATATTATACCTGCTCTTGACTAGCTCAAATTTCATTACGAACCCAATTCCATCTACGATCACGTTTTCTCTGCAGGACTATCTCGAAATGCGTCGCTACGGTTACGAACGCCTCGACGGCTCAGTGCGCGCCGAGGAGCGCTTCGAGGCGGTCAAGAGCTTCAGCGGGCGGGGGACAGCTGGCAGCAGCGGCGGCGCGACAGCTGGCAACGGGGACACCGATCCTTTCGTCTTCCTGCTGACCACTAGAGCGGGGGGCGTTGGGCTGAACCTGGTGGCTGCGGACACGGTGAGAACGTTTGGATATGCTCCGAAGTCACGGAAAGACGCTTTCACGACGTTCGGACGTTCTTTCACCACACCGGACGTCCGGAAGACTTGTTAAACGCCTGCGATGGCGGCGCATGCGATGATACGGTAGAACGTATGCGAGTGGCCCAAGCTTCTCAATGACCCTTCGCAGCCTGCGGGCACAACGTTAACCTGGGGACGGACTGAAGCCTAGACGTTACTCGTAACTTACAAGAAAGCTATGGACTCTCTCTTCAATACTTAAACCCTTCCTTCTCACAATGCAGATTACTCCGCACTTTGGGCATAGGTAATCTCCTTCGAGCTGGACTGGAACCCTCAGGCACAGCTGCTCTAACGCTTTAACTAAACCCCTTTGAAACCCAATAAAGCATAAAGCTCCGAATCTCAAACCCTCATGTCCCGAATTTTGGCGATTTTGCGCGCGCAGGTGATCTTCTTCGAGCTGGACTGGAAGCCCCCGGCGCAGCTGCTCTAACGCTTCGACTGATCCCCTCTAAAACCATCAATGCTTCAAAAGCTCCAAGCTCCAAATCCTGATGTCCCAGCTCTGCTAACGACCAATAGATTTTTGAAAAGCTCCAAGCTTCAATCCTTATGCCCTGACTTCTTAATTGTTTTGCGCGCGCAGGTGATCTTCTTCGAGCTGGACTGGAACCCCCAGGCGGACCTGCAGGCCATGCAGCGCGCGCACCGCATCGGGCAGCAACGGCCGGTGCTCGCCATCCGGCTCGTCACGCAGCACAGCGTGGAAGAGGTGGGAACAGTGCCGCCCGGTTTCAACTACCGGTGTTCTGGCAATCTGGGATATCGAAACGGCTTCACGTGCAAAGAGTACGATATGGCGCCTCATCGTTTACAAGTTCCGGCGGCCACGCAGCCCGGGGTATCAGAACGGCTCAGCAAAACGATTCGTAGACTTCAAGAACGGCGGCCATCGTTTTCAATTTCCGGTGGTCTTGCAATTTGGAGTATTGAATTGGTTCCGGGGAGCGACTCCCCAATCTCAAGAGACGGCGCCCATCGAAACTAAGTTTTGGCCTCTACGTCAGATGGCTTCGGGGCACAAGTCCCCAAAACCCAAGATCCCTGAGAAAAGAGAACGAGAGTGTGTAGCGATTACCATCTCTGGGAGGCTTAAGAGGAGGTTTGTTTTGGCGAGCATCCGGACTGTGAACGGGAGGGCGATGCGGAGGTGTCGTTTTAGGGTTTTTGGTTTTCAGAGGTCTAGGGTTTTGGACTGGCAGTCCTCGCGGATGATCTGCGGGGGTGCAGATGACTCGGGTGCCAGATCACTAAGGTTCTTGGGGCTGCGGGATGCCATGGCCATTTACAATTGGTGTTCAAATTAGCATAGAGTGTCGGGAGGCATATAGCGAAGGACGTACGCCCCTCACGCGCGCAGGTGATCCTGCGGCGGTCCAAGAAAAAGCTGCGCCTGACGCGTGACGTCATCGGGCGCGACGACGACGAGGTGGAGGCGCAGGCGGGCGTCGCGTCGGGCGCGCAGGAGCTGCGGGAGATGATCCAGTTCGGCCTGCACAGGTGCGTCGGGCTGAGCGGGCTACGCGGCTGACGTCAGGCTGACGTCATCGTCTTCTGTGCAAGCGAATCATTGCGGCCTGCACAGATGTATCGATTTCGCGGGCCATGCGGCTGACGTCATCATCAAACTGACGCGCAGCGGCCGTGTTGCTGCTGACGCAGTTCTCTTTTCAGAGAAAAGCGACAGTCGACGGGTTGCCTGGATTCTCGCAAGTCTTAGCCCAATTTTAAGATGCTCAGAAGTGCTTCTCTTGAGAAAATGTAAGCCTCTTGTTGGACTCAAAGGAGAGTTGTCTTTTACTTCGCGCCTTGAGCCCTCAAAAGCAATCATGTCTTGGCCAGCCAAGGCTGCTCCCTACGCAGTGTTTAGCCCAGAAACTTTTATCTGCAAACTAAATGCGATGCTGCTTTAAGCAAATTTAAGAAGGGTCGAGCTTGAGAAAGGACCCCGAAAGTTACCGCGAGAATGCAGATTGCAGCCGAGTATGTCTTGTTCGTGAGCTATCGAGTTGCCTCTCTGCCCAGGCTCGGTGCTGACGACAATGATGACGTCGGCGCGCTCCGGGTTGCGCTCGCGGGGCTCGTCGCCACTGCGCTCGCGCAGAGGAACGGGCGCCCACACAGCGCTCTGTCAAAGCTAGAGCGGACAGAGATCGAAACGGAGCAAGCGGGAAAAGAGGAAGAAGAGGAGGGGAATATCTACAGCTACGAGGGGAAGGACTACAGTAGTAAAAAGGGGGGGGAGAAAAGTGAGGAGGATGAAAGGGCGCTTAGAAAGATTGTGGAAGAGAGCGGGGGCGGCGCCGGGCCGTCGGGGCGGGGGCCGGCCGCGAAGAGGCGGCCGCGGAGCGCAGAAGGTGAGGGGAGGTTTGACCGGGGGTTTGGTGATGTGAACGATTAGGGCTGAATGTGCTTAGGTGTATTCTGTGTATTCATGCTTTCGATAACTCTGGGTTTGGGGCGAGACTGATTTTTAGGCATACCCTTGGTCGGCAGTTCACAACCCGCAGAAGGGCACTGAGTGCTTCCCTTCTGAGACTTCAATACCGGGGTGAGCGCCAGCACAGATGGCTGACGCAAAACCAAAAGAGGGCGATATCAGAAAACTGAGCGGAAAATCGGACCCCTTAACTTTGTATTGCAAATGGGGTTATTTTGGCACTCCGCAGTTGAGGGTGTCCGGGAACTTCGGGAAAGCGATAGCCACCAAAAGCAGCGATTATTCAATCCGTTAACCCCGAAATCAAATCGGGTTACTTGATATTTTGCAGATGAGGCTGCGGCAGAGGAGGCCCAGGCGCGGAAGCGGAAGAAAGCGGAGGAGCGGAAGCACGCCCGGTGGAAGGAACTGGGGTACGAGTCGCTGGCGCTGAACGAACCAGAGCCGTCCGATCTGGAGGATCGAGGGTCGGGAGAGGCCGAGGACGAGGACGTCACCTTCGTCATCGGTGACGTCACGAAGCCGAAGCGGGGGGCGCCTGGCGAGCCCGCAATCATTGTCAGGTGTGTGGATAAAACATGGGCGAAGATGGACTAGGGCTGGATTATGAGCCCGTTGAAAACATTTTGTCTCGATCCTGGCGCTGGGTAGCCCCGATGATCCACCTGAGATACATATGCCTGGTCGAAAGGAAGAAGATTTCGCACAGCTGCCACGCAATGAGACAGGGAGTCTGGTGTCCTCAGGCTAACTATGCTCTACAACCAGGGGGATAAGGTTCTTCCTCACCCCCTTTTCGGATTTCTCTCTATCCGCCTTCTTGTCCAATTGAGCAGCTACCTTTCTAGGATTGTGGACCTCTCCATGACATTGACCCCCGCTCAGAAGCATCTAAACCCGCCTCAAGACGTCCTGGTTTTCCCTAACCTAACCAAGCGCTGAGGATGCTTCTTTCCTGTGCCAGCTGCTGCGACAATTCCGGCACGTGGGGCCGGGGCGGAATGTTCCGGGCGCTCGAGACGCTCTCGGCCGTCGTTCCCGAGGCGTACGAGGCTGCCGGAGAGGCCGGGGATCTGCACACCGGGGACCTGCATCTCATCCCGGTAGAAGGTAGAATAGCCTGCTTTTCCCGCTTTGCTTTTCACCCTTGCAGCCTCTTAACGCTTTGGCTTAAAAGCAGTCAGTTGTAAACCGGGTCTCGAGGTTGTGAAGCCAATCAGAGCGAGCTTTTTGGAGAGGCCGGGGATCTGCACACCGGGGACCTGCATCTCTTCCCCGTTGAAGGTGAAAATAGCCTCCTTTTCGTGCCTCTGTATTCCCTCCCCGCAGAGGTTGCGACTTGCTTTCTGAAATTTTGGGGTTACACCAGTCACTTCTGAACCGGGTCTTGAGTTCGTGACGCCAGTTGCATGGAGTAGAGAGTTCTGTTCAGAGAGGCCGTGGATTTTCACCCGGGGGACCTACATTTAATCTCCTTAGAGGGTAAAAGTAGCCCCCTTTTTTCGTTTTGCTTTTCACCCTTGCAGAGGTTGCGAAATGCCTCCTGAGCTTTAACCCGTTGGTTCTGAATTGGTTTTCGAGGTCTTGAACATACTCAATTAGCTTAAAAAGTCCTCTTCAAAGAGGCCGGGGATTTACAACGGGGGAGCTGCTTCTTATTTCCGTGGAAGGTGATTAATTCCTCCGAAATCCTGACGCTTTGGGCCTACACCACTCTAAAAACGTAAGTCTTATGATCGTGAAGGCGATTAGAAAGAGCAGAACGTTGCCTAGAAAGCCTGGTCAGGCCCTGAGAGTAGATAAGACTCTGAGGTTCTGCTCCCTCCCAGGACGTTGGACTCAGTTGAAGGCGAAATTTGTCCGGGACTACAGGCTCAAAAGGTTGTCTACGGGGTCGAAGCGAAAGCCTATCAGCCTAGAAGATGACGGTCTGACTCAGGAACGGAAAAGGGCCAGGAATAAGAGGCATTCAAATAACCATCCAAAACCTGACCCAACAATCTACCCGCTCCGCACCCGCATCCACCCTAAACTTCCAAACCAACTTCACCCGTTTCGGGCTGGCGAGCTTTTATTCCTGCCGCCTATTCTTGCTGATCTAGGCTCTCACGCCTAGACGTAAAGCCTGCGAGTTTATGCAAATACAGCTCATTGCGTTGGACCTGTCATCGGGTTCCGAATGCTCCGAGCCTGGTTCCTAATCGTGAACCGTCCGATCGTCGCCAAGGACGACATCGTCTGGCTCAGAATCGGGAAATCTGCTCGGAGAAGTTGGAATCCTATGGCACATTTGACGCACAGAGCTGTACTTTCCAGCAGCGTATGAGAGCCCAGGGATTGATGGAGAATCACCGGTTTCAAGCAGAAGCGCCGTTTGCAGAAGTTCAAGAGGGGTTGGCGTCACGCGTGAGGCACTCTGAGCCATGAACGGGATTTACCAACCAGAAAGTAATCCCATCCAGACCCCAGAGCGCTTGCTCGAAACGAAACCAAAACAACAGACAACACGCACCGTGCATGCTTGCGAGTGACCCAGTCTGACTTAGTCTTGCTCCACCTTTCTCTCCAGATGTCGGCGACCAGAGCGGGCCGAGCACCACCGGCGGCCAGTCTGGCGGGCCGCTCTACGTCGCCCTCGCGATCGCCCAGGAGTATGACCGGCGTAGAAAGAACCCGCGGAGCGATCTGCAGACGGAAGCGCTACAAGCGGCGCTTGAGAAGCTGGCGGTCGCGGCGGTCAAGATGAAGGGTGAGCCAGGGGTTAAGCGTTAACCACCAGGGATCTGGGCCCTATAAACTGCGTTAAGCAGCGGGTCTGCTAAACACCATTTTCAGATTTCCGCCCCTCACGCGTGTCACACCACATCTGAGCACCCTCCCCTCACACGTCTCCTGAAATTCTTCTAGCTGATGTCTAAAGACTCCATGACAACGCCTCCGGTTCCGCTGTTTCGCAGCTTCCGTCCACCTGCCTCGGCTGACCGTGTCCGCCGGAGGGGGCCGAGCGGACTGGTACGCGATCGAGCGGCTGCTGCGCAAGTGCCTTACGAGCAGGGGGATCCCCACCACCGTGTAAGCCATCCCCTCATTCCGATGTACTTCTTTTTACATTGCATGTCGACACGTGTCTCCTAAGCAGGGTTTCTTCAGCCAGTCTGCAGGGGCTGGTTTATTTTTCCACCGGAACAATGGTCGAAGAGTCCGGATCTCAGCTACTTGCAACTTTGGCCAATCTGCTGACGCCAACTTCTTTGTGAGTCAACGAGGGTGGTTCCCACCGACTTGGTTTGTGCAACCCAAACCTTGGCGACACTAGGATCCAAGGACCACCCTGAGCCACGTGGCACAAGTTGGGCAGTCTGCTTTCGTTGAAACCCGCAACATGCCTCGTTTTGCCTCTGATCGACAGGATCGCGAGGAGTCAGTATGAGGCCGTGCGGTTGGTTATGGAGGTGGTTAGATTAAGGTCATGAATGGTTTTGCTTCTCAAACCATTCGCTTCGACGGGTGTTCCGAGTACTTCTTTGCTCACCTTCTCCCACGGCCTTTGGCAGGTACTACTTCCGGCGTACCTGAGATCAGCGAGGCATCTCTATGGTTCGATCAGGCACGTTACAGCTTTGCCTGGGACATGTTGGTGGCGGTCAGCCCCTGTTGTATTTGGAGTCGACAAACTACAAGAAACGTGCAACGAAGCTTGGGTAAATCAGACCCTTGTCACCTCAGGGACCAACTTGTCTAATCTACGAACTCGTATTGCTGGCCCAGTGCTCAAGGACTGTAGTGATCTTTTAAGCACAACAATCAGTAAGCACACTGATTATCTAGGCACCACGCAAGTTCTACAGCTGCCTTCTGCGTGCGGCAGCTCAGTGCATGAATCAGCCGTCATATGTGACTCAAGCTCAGGTCTATGCAACCACGCATACGCTTGATTACGATTCATGCTGTGACATAGTTGTTGCAGTGTAGCCTAGCACAGTACACACGTACATGTGGCGCAGCTTCTTATAGCATATATGACCATATGCAGATCAGGCACTCCCATGTGCTTAGTAGCAGATCCTCAGCGCCATAAATCCAATCGGAGCTCTGCGCAACAGGGGCAAAGTGCACGTAATGGTTGGACACTCTTGCTGCATATGCCTGAACTTGGAGCTCGCGTGCGATGGGAATGCCAATGGACGAAAGCGCGGCTCAACTCGATTGTTCATGCAACACATATTCCTCTCACGGTGAAATTCAACGTAATACATTGATATCACCCCACAACAGCTGGGTACAACAGTCCGCAATCCAGTTTCAGTACAGTACAGGCCACCTCCTCGCATCAGCTTGCCCGATGCAAGAACATGGGATGGATATGCAAAGTCACCTAGCGTTGTTGGGCGACCCTGCTCGCACACGGAAGATAACGCAAACCCACAGCGACCATCAATGCAGTCTGGCCTACTAGACTAACTTATAACCTACAAATCGAACTCCTCGTCTCGGAGCGCCTCCCGGGCGGCCTCCTCCTCCTCGTCATCTAACACAAAGTACGGGTTCTGCTCTACCGGCCGGAACTTGTACCCAGTGAGCACGTAGAAGAGCAGCGCGGCCGCTTGGTCCGCGAGGTCCGCCGTCCACGCGTAGTGGTACGGCGTCGTGCTCTTGAGCAGGTACACCACGATGCGCGTGAAGTAGATGTAGCTCACGACCATGACGTAGAACTGCCGGAAGAGCGTGAGCTTGATCAGGTTGCGCGCGGCCTTGCCGTCGGTGCTCGCGGCCTCGCGCAGGTGCTTGATCGACCAGACGATCGGGAACAGGATCGCGCAGCAGCACACGATGTCGACGAGGTGCAGGATATCGCGCCATGTGAACCACTCGCGATTCGACGGGCCCGTCTCGTCCAGGATCACGACGGCGATGTTGGCGAGCACCTGCAGAGCACAGGAGCGATAAAGCTACCAATGCTGCTCTGTTTCGTGACGAGGACGCTCGATTGGTAGCTTTGACTGGAAAGGCATCCAGTGCTACCATATTCCGTGCAAGTTCCGTGAGGGACAGTTGATTGACGCCTCAGGAATATAGCACCCCAACCATCTGTGCCCCTATAGTCTCCTCATATGTATGTTCGGCTTGTCGAATTCCAATCACTCAAAGATTTCGGGAGATCTGACTCAGGTATACCCCTATCAACTGACCACTTAAGGAGCAACGGGCTTCTCCTAGCATTCTGATCCTAGGACAGCTGTAGGTTTTCTGTGCTGACCCTGACAGAAGCAGACGGACTCTGTCATTCTGCAGCTACATGTTGCCAAACCCCCGGTGCGCTGGCATGAAAGCATCGTGGACAAGCACTAAATCAGGCTGAATTCACTTGATGGTCACGTCATAAGGTTGAGTTAGCCATACCTGTAGGGGGATGACGATCATCATGACCTTCTTCTCCTTGTCTTGCAAGAAGGGCTTGAGGAACGACCACCCGGTTCCGATCAGTACGATGACGACAAACAACTGCAACCAACAAAGGGTGTCGTTAGCGAGTATTCAATCATGATTCGTGACCATAATGCACCAAACATGTCTGCATGATTCAAAGACAACACTGCCTGGAAGTGTTGTTCCACTCCACAAACTTAGGAGTGTCCAAGTCGGCAATCTGCAGGTCAACAAAGGCCCGAGATGACTTCGTACGACCTACGCCCGCAGAAGCAAAACTCATCAGGATGGCACCAGGACTTTGCCTCTTTGCTCTTTTCTGGCCGGTGAGCGTCCACTGCTTTCAATTGGCCCCATCATGTAATCAGAGCACTTCTTCAAGCTCACAATATGAGCCTCGATCGCGGATGAAGCAATCACAAAGGATAGAAATAGTGAGAGCAACCAATGAGAACCAGGATTTCTTTGACGCAATCTGAGCACGCCCTCTATCTCTCCTCGCAAAGCTTCGTGTGAGTTGTCACACGGGCCTCAAGAATTTGTGCACCTTTATTACGTATGGGGACACGAGGTAACATTATTTTCAGCTCGCACCCTCACTGAAGCCCAAACTAATCCGAGAAGAATGAGGTGGGGTGAAGATATGTTGAGAACTTGGTAGCTTAAGACCAAATGTCGCCACCGGTGGACTTGCTACACTGAGGCCCAATAATGGAAGCTTCCGTGTTGATCTAATGCTGCTAAATGGATGATGGTCGAACAGGGTTTCTATGCATTCAGTTTCAGCCCAGATTATGCTCATCATTGGATGCGCTGGGACCATACTGCAGCTGCAATTGCTCAGCCAAGGCCCCAGGGAGATACCTCTTCCAAGCCCTCTTTGGTCGATAAAAATTCGTGAATACCTCAATTTCACAACTTTAACGCGGCTGCATTGCTCCTGCCAGCTGCACGTGACTTCTGAGATTCATTTGGCAAGTCTGCTCCCAGGGCTTTGAGCTTCAACCAAAACTTCTGCAAACCCCTAATTCGCGATTCAATCAGAAATCAACATCGAGTTGACAGGAGGATCGCTCACCATGATACCCCTGAAGAAGCTGAACACGTAGAATGCGATGTTCCATCCATCTGGCTGGCCCGTGCTCTTGATCCACGAATACATGCCAGCTTGCGTCAGGCAGGTGAGGGCTTTCAGGAACACAAGGCCCCCCATCAACCAGTGAATCTTGTGAACTGTCGCCTTTGCCCGGTAGCAGATATAGATCCAAACTCCTGCTGCGATTGCATAGATCAGGAAGCAGAGAAAGAAGAGCTTGGGGAGCTGCGTCTTGCCGGCAGGTAAGTAATCCTTCTTGCCGCCGGGCTCAATGTTGTAAAACGCCAGCCGGACCTTCATTGACACGACAGAGTTCGGCTGGCAGTTGGCGAAGAACATGGAGTACTCCCTCGCATCAGGCACGTCGTAGTAGTGCGTGTAGACGCCCGTGTCGCGGTTTTTCCCGGTTTCCACATCCGCCAGAGTGAACAGCTTATGGATGTTGGGATTATCCAAGACGCAACCCCCGTTCCGCAGCTCAATCTGCAGCTGCGTCTCGGCCTCTGCGGTCGTAATGAAGAATCCCATCACGCTCTGGTCTGCGTCAGGGGCGCCCTTTGGGATATACACCATGTCATCTGAGACGTTCATGTCGATGTGGCCCGTGCTATCAAAGCCAAACGTTTCGAAGAGGATAATTGGCCTCGGATCCCTCTCTACATGCGTGTGTGAGATCTCGGCCATTGAGCAGGCCAGCCATGACAGCAGAAGCACAACCCCCACTCTCCATGACAAACCCATTTTGCCAAGGATCTGATCACAGCGTGCGCTCAATCCTTTCTTCTCCAGCTACCAGAAAACGTTAGGTATAGTTGCTCAATGGCCAGCTCGACCGTCTTCCCTCAGCAGGTGCATCCCAGATGATCAAAGCACGTCCAACCTGTGCCCAGAGCTCGCTAAGCGGCCGCTCCTCCCCACCGAGTTCCAACTGGTGCACCTCTTTACAAACTAATAGGTGTCCTCGCGATCTGCGCGCTGCAAAAGCTGCCTCAAGCCTGTCAAGGTGATTACCTACCTTCTTTCGAAAACTGCTACGATCCTCAAACGCTGAGAATCTTGTATACCTATGTAGGATTGATGGTTGTACTTTGCGCTTATTCTGGGTCTATAAGCCACTAAGAGAAGCTGAAATGTTAATAAAGGAACCACAAGAAGTTCGACGAAAGAGCAAACTCGGTCAGCATCTGCGCGCAGCCACACGAAAGAATGCTGGTCGTATACCAAGTTATTCTGAGCAAACTGTCAAAACAGAAATATCGCGGCGGCCTGGCTCGCATACGGCTCCTGAACAGTTGGGACTTGCTTGGAACCTAGATCAGCAAGGGAGACGGCTTTTGGTCTCGCTTTTGGCATTTGTCAGCTTGAGCTTTCCAGTTCCCTTTCAATTTGAAAGACTTCTGTAGTGTGCTGTAGTTGAAATCTCAGGTTGCACCTATCAGCCATGTCGAGAAACGGGACGCTTGAAGATGCTCTCAAGTCCATATCCGATTTCAACAAGCACCATCAAGCGGAGGAGCGTCGAAAAGTCAAAGAGCGGCGGGTGCCTTCTTCCAAAGCACGGCTCAAGCAGAACAATGCTTCCGAGTCCGATGTCAGTGAAGCTGCATTGAAGCAGGACAATGTACGCAGGTCAAAGGACAAGAAAAAGCGGAGCAAGAAAAGGAGGAGTCGGAGAGAAGCTTTGGATGATGATGAGTCCAGTTCGGAGGAGGACAGGCACGCCAAAAGGTCGCGAACAAAGGCCAGTAAGAAGGGGGACGGGGAGGAGGATGAGGAGGAGGATTCGGACGATGATCGGAGAAGGAGGAGGGAACGCCGGAAGAGGCGTAGGGAGAAAGAGCGGGAAGATAGGAGTCGGCGGAAAGAAAAGCGCAGGCGGGCAAAGAGGGATGCTTCCAGCTCAGCTTCAGAGTCGGACGAATCGAGTGAAGAAAATGCAGGATTTGCTGATAGAAGCGATGCAGACGCTGTCAGGGCTGCAGAGAGTGTGTTGGACGGGTTCCCTTTGCTTCGGTCGGAACTTGTCCAGGTCAGTATCCTGTTCCAGTCACGCCTCCCACTGCTCATCTTCGTTCCTTGTTTTGCTTTTTGTTTTCTCTTTTCCCCCCCTCCCCACTTGGGAATCTGAAGAGTATGCTCTCCCCCCTGCTGTATCTGCATTCCTCTGCTGTGGGACCCAATGAAACTATGTATATTGCATCTTGCTTGTCTTGTGGAAATCAACGAAACTCCATAATTGCATCTCAATTGCCCTGTGGGACGCGATTAAGCTTTATCCCTCTTGTCTCGATTGTCATGTCTAGATGCTGACAAACTGAGATCAGTCACTTGCTCCTGTTTCCACAGCTTCTCTCAACGCTTGACGCGGGCCAGGCTGTCGACATCTCCTCAATCCCTGACCCCAAGCTCAAGTCCCTACTCACAGACCTCTTCCTTGCCCTCGGCCTCCGCAAGTCCCCCTTGGGCCTGTATCTCCTCCCCGAGGGGTCCCCCAAAACCCTCGAAACCCTGTCTCCCGTTCTGAGCCCGGAGCAGAATGAGGTTGGTCCTTCTGAGCAGGGGGCTGAAGTTGCCCCTGTGCCTTCGAACCCCCCCTCAGTAGCTGGCTCAAAAGACCCCCCCGAAGAGCGGGCGGGCCCGTCGGAAGCCCCAGTCATCGGTCCAGCTTTTCCCCCAAGAGAACCAGGCTTGGAAAATGGGCTGCACGAGGGGGGGAAAGGGGCGCGGCTGGTAGTCGGTTCAGGAATGCCGAATGGTGGTGCAACGAGTGTTTCGGAAGAAGTTCCGGAGAGAGTGAAGATTGGTCCAGCGGCCGGCCCGCCGCCAGGCCCCAAGAAAAGGTGAGCCAATGTGACAATGATTCTCTGTAGAAGAAGTGTTCGATGTCATTGTTTTATGTACACAACTGCGCCTCCAACCGCCACATTTTTAGGCTATCGGAAGAGTTCAAAGATGCGCCTACAGTTCTGCGGTCATTACTTAGAGAGATGCATTCTTCCTGACTTTAGTCAGCTACGCTTGATCCTGCTCGCTTTTTGGTGAGTGAAAGCCCGCTGATGTCATTGTGGCAGTATTGAGTACCGCTGCTATCGACCGCATGTCTCATCTAAATTGGCGAGTTTTTCACATGCCCTTTTGCTCTTTGTTCCTACCTTCTGCGGTTTGTCGGCCGGACATCTCGTTGATCGCTTGAAATCAGCTAACGTCCGCGGCCTTGCTTTGTGTAAGGAGAAAACCGAAGAATTGATCTGAGACGGTTCAAGAGGCGACCAACCCCTAGGCTCGGACTGAGTCACAAGAAGCTCTGGGCTAGGAAGAATTCAACCGCTGAGACTATGCGCAGGGTAATTGGGCCGGCGGCGCCTCCCCCGGAGGTCCTTCAAGCAGCCGCGAAGCTAACCGAAGCAGAAGAGGAGCTTAGGTACTATTCCATTTCGGGAGATGTTGCAGCTTTAAGCTGAGTTGTTTGCTTCCGCTTTGAAAGATCGATCCGTGGTGCTTTTCGTGGGTCTGCAATGATGATGAGCTGGTTGAGAGGCCATGTCAAAAGATTGTTTGATTCCCGCGACTAACAGTCGTTGTGAAGTCCTGGAAAGTAGAAGAAGATCGGGACCAATTTGTATGGCCAGGTTTTCATCTAACAGCAGTAAGTGTGGCACGGGCTTCGATCGGTAATCTTTAAGGGGCCTGAGATTTCGGGATGACGGGTCCGGTGAGAGCATGTGTATTCGTATGCAAGCATCATGGTTGCTACTCTGACCGCTTCGCTGATCATGCACAATTACGGCCTTGCTGTTCGAGGTTGTCAATTTCCGATCACGGTTTCCGCGTTGCTTTTCGTTCTCGAATTGATCTTCGCACAGCCGTTTCGAGTATTCTGGAGCACACCATCGTTATTTGAGATTCTGAGTCCGCTTATTTGACTCCCAGTCGGAGATCTACTCTCTGGAACACTGCAATCGAGTCTTGTCCGATAGTCCAAAACAGGCCCGGAAGGTGCGCGATCGTAAATCTACCGCAGAGAAACAGACCCAACGCTACCTTCTTTTTTGGGATGTAGCAGAGCGTTCTTAAATCGCGCCCACAATGCCAGTAGTGTGTTTTGGCCGCCATTAGAGAACGCTCTGTCCGTTCCTCCTCCAGGGCTGCCTACGACGAAGACGACGTGTTGATTGGGCCGCCTCCCCCCGCCCTAGTTGCCGAGGCAGAGGACGCCCCAGAGAAGGAAAGGTTCGACGAGGTGAGGCGATCCTTTTGCACCTCAAAGGGTTAGCTACCGCAGGAAGATGCGAAGAAGGTGGTGACATGTCACTTCCCTTGCGACGTAGTACTGGTATCGAGTCCTACTGCTCTCTTGTAGAATGGACGATCTCGATTCTCTAAAATGCACCAAAAGTTCAGCGCTGAAGGGGATCCAGGACTTGGTTTATCGACGATTTCGGTTGACGTGCGTCTCTTCCCAGTAGCAGCTCTGGTTCCTGTCCTTCTCTACTGCTCTATGTTATCCCTATTGCTCTCGTGGGTGACCCCATTTTTGAATCCAGCCACATGCAAATTTACCTTTTGTTCTCCCGTAACTCCGCAGGGCACAAATTTAATCCCAGTGCTTTTGTTGAACCCACCTCTCCCGCAGGTCCCGCATCCCACAACGAGGACTCGTGTGCGGAGCTTCCCCGTCGTCATGTGACACCCTCGTTCGCGAGTCTCCCTTGCCAAACCACTGCTTGACCGACGTTTTCGCCCCTAATCCCCTGCAGGTTATCCACATTCTGGCCCACAACCCAGGACTCGTAACCCGCCTTTTGTTGCTACACGTCTGTTCGTGACCTTCTCCTCCCTAACCACTGTCCTGACCCAGTTTAATTGCACCTTACCCCCGCAGGTTATCCACATTCTGGCGCCCACAAGCCAGGACCCGTCCACGGGGCTTTCCTGCCTTCGTCACTACACCCCTGTTCGTCTTTGTTGACTATGGTCCCCCTCCCTAACCACTGTTTTGACCCACCCTTTTCGCCCCTAACCCCCGCAGGTTCTACACATCCTGGCGCCCACAACCCGGGACCCGTACACGCTTCTGCGCGTCAAAGCCGACGCGTCTGCGTCCGAGATCAAGAAGCGGTACTGGAAGCTGTCGCTCCTAGTTCATCCCGACAAGTGCACGCACCCGCAGGCCCAGAACGCCTTTACGGCCCTCAACAAGGCCTTCAAGGAAGTCGAGGACCCAGCAAAGGTGGGCCCTGCTTTTGAGTTTGTTGAGGATTTGTTGACGTGTTTCTTAGTCGGTTTTACCTTACGGTTGCGCTCAACAAGGCCTTTCAAGGAAGCGAAGGGTCTAGCAGATGTGGGCCCGCTTTGGCTATGTCCATTGCCTCTTTTTATGCTGAGAGCTCAACGAGGCTTTCAGAGGAGTCAGGACCCAGCCAAGGTAGGCCCCGCTTTTGGGTTTGTTAATTAGCTTCTTGACACTCTCTATGCTGAGAGCTCGTTCAACAGGGTCTTTAGAAAGGTCGAAATCCTAGCAACAGTTTTCCCTGTTCTTTCTAACGAAGGTCCGTTGCAAGGACACTTTATTCAGGCTTCACGTCAGTTGGGTCCAAGAAATCTGCATATCAATCAGGCAGTTGGTTGATTACTAGCGTTGCGTTCATCGTGCTCTGGAACGCAGCGGGAGAGACCTTCAGTAACCGGTCTTGTGCCCTTGCCTTTCCCTGTCAATGCGCTAAGAAGCGTTGCTGGTGACTTCCTTGCAACTGCTAAGACGATGAAAAGTTTCTCGAGGGGATTGCTTGGCGTTGAGCTTCGCTAGAGTAGCAAGTTTTCCAACTAGATCTTTGAAGTCGGGACGACGCGGAGAATGAACACTAGCTATTTCGCAGTGGGTGATTGTCGATGGAGAGGTCACGACACAAAGGGCGAACGCGGTTAAACACGTTCCTTCCTGTTGCGCAGCGAGCGATCGTGGATGCGAAAGTGGCGGAGATCCAGCGCAAGGCGGAGTTTGCGGAGGAGATGAAGGCGCTGCGTGAAGCGGCGGAGTGGCGCAAGCTGCGAGGTGATCTAGTCCTTCCTTAACCATCGTCCTTCAAAACGTGCACGGTCAGAGGTGTACTTCGTGCTCCAAGCACTTTGTCTCCTCTCCTTTGCCTAGGTCCAAGCTACAAGATTTCCCGTGTGCACCCAATGTTAGTGTTCAGGCTTCAAATGATTGTATGTTCTGTCAGACGTATTAAATGTCTGACAAACTGTTGGAACGTTCAATAATGGTCAACGAAAAATTCAGGCCAAAAGTGCGCTTTTGCGCATTCAACCCTTGTCGCTATCGCGTCAGGCTTTCTCCCAATCTCCATTGTCAGAGTCTGATCCCTGACGTACGGTAGCGCAGCACGAATCAATCCTGCGTACAAGAACTACCACAAAGACGCAAACTAGACCGGAAACTTCTCTCCTTACCGCAGGCCAGTCTGAGCCCGGGGACGAGGAGCTGCTGGGGGCGGCTCCCGAGGAAGAGGCCCGGGACACGTGGATGACGGAGCTGCCGCCAGAGCGACAGGTGAGGCGCACGTGCGGCTGATCCAGCTTCAGTATTTTCTAGCAATATTTTATTGATGGGAAACTTACGAGGATCATGAGAGGCTTGGGGCAATTGTGGACAATCGTGTCTTTCTTACACGCGCAACCTTGTGCAGTTCGGTTTAGCACCCCACCGAACTACGAGTTGATATAACCGTGAATTGATCTGAAGCACGTTCGATTACGTTCCGTACTTTAAAGTCCTATCGTTCTTCGTCGGGGGAATCTTTCTAGTGTTCTTTGGAACGGTTATAAGCTCCTCAACTGAGGTCGATAGACGGAAGTTGAGGTACCTGTGGCTCCGTCAATTCGAACCGAACAGGTCGTTTGTGTTTGGAATGGCTTCCCTATTCTGCATGCTTGCGGAGCTTGCTTAGTCCGCATGGTCCGAAGAAGAACCCTACCAGTTCAATCTCCGCTAACTTTCTGCTTTCTAGTCGCTCAATCGTCTCTTCTTTTCCGAGGGGTTCCGTAACTCCATCTTTGCTTGCATCACGCTCCAGCACCCGATAATACCACTCCAAAATGCTGGGAGTGCAAATACATTCAGCGGAGATGCTCAAGGTTTTCATTTGGCGAGAAATTACTGACGGTCCATCTCTGTCGCAGGCTGGCCCTGCGATGCCAATGCAGTCGACGTACTTCAGCACGAAGGAGGGCACGGGAAGGGGGGATACGAGCGCCTGGACGGACAACCCCCAGCAGAAGGCCAAGAAGGAGGCGCAACAGTGCGTGCCCGGAACCCAGTTCCTCCCTTCTGCTTTCCCTTGAGTGTTTTCTTCTTGCTGTTTTTAAAAAGGAGTTATCCTTACTGTTCTCGAATTGCTTGATTTTACACCGGCTTTTGGATTCATACCACAACGACGTAGCACTCTGATTGTCGGGCCAAAGGAACCGCCGAAAGAAGACGTCAGCAAAGCGGGTTGAAGGACGAAGTGTAGGGGGACCTTTAGCGTTAAAGCTCTCTAAGGGTTATATCTTGGATACAAAACACTTCCTGTGTTATCGCGAATATGGTTCTGTCACATTGAGCATCTAGCTGACGTCTTCGATATGTGCTCGACTACGATAGATGGGCTCGTGCGAGGGGAGCTCGAGAGGAGACACCAGTGCGCTCTTTAGGCATTCCCAAAAGGCACGGCGATGCTTACGGAGGCGCCGTCGCTGAAGTAGTGGTCACTGTCAGCTTTGAGCAAAATAATTTGCTGGTTCATTTTCTCTTCCTTTCCACCTACGTAAGAATCTTCATCGTCGAGACACGATTGTGGTAGCTCCTCCCTTACCAGTTTGTGACGCGTTTCGAGCATGGCCGCAACTACGATGCTGTGCTTGATGTTGATTCTGCGGTGGTCCGTATACAGTACCCACTTCGGCCTGCGTTTTCTGACGCATTCTATGCAGGGTCGGTCGGAGCTCGATCCGCACATCGGAAGAGGACCCCTATCTTACAATCTCCTTCTTTTCTGGCTGTCTTATCGATAAGACAATTCCGACATTTAGTAATCCCTGCAACACCTCTCTTGCAGATACCTGGAAGCGTACAGCCAGGCGGTGCTGGGCCCGTCCGTTGCGGACGCCCAGGCGGCCGAGAAGGCGTCCGCGACCGCCCAGATCATCGACAGCTACAACAGCAAGAAGCGCGCGCAGTCGTTGGTGGAGAAACATCAGGAAGCAATGCTGAAGGAGAAGCAGAACAAGAAGAAAAAGAAAAAGGAAGAAACGATGAAGAAGGAAGAGTGGGAGGGGAGCCATCCATGGAAGCCGTGGGATCGCGAGAAGGATCTTGTGATTGGAAAGACGGTTAAGCTCGATAGGGACTCGTCTGCGACCGCGCTTGCGTCGCGGTTTGGGGCGAGCCGGCCTGAGGAGAGACGCTTCTTGTAGTCCTAACTAGAAAGACACTGACCTATCGCCGGTCTGGCCGTGCAGTAGCTTCGAAGAGGGTGCCCGGTCTGGTCCAACGGCATCCGAAGCCCGTTTGGCAGATCGCGCTGAAGGGAGAGTGACACAAATATGTTCACGGCATATGCGACTGCAGTGCTTTCGCATGCACCAGGCAAATCTTGCACAAGCTACTTCTGGATGACGTCGGATCTAGATGATCATCTCATTGGATTTTTCCGGCGCTAGACGCCCCATATTTGTGGTGTCACCATACGTGAAAGTCTGTACGTACATGTTGATCCGAAGAAACTACCATCCGGAAAGCAGATTGACTGTCGATCTCGTGCGGTAACCTGAAACACATAATGACAATCATGGTGGTGCAACTGGATAATTTTTGGGCCTTATAAATTGCACTCAATCAAAGCTTTTGCTTACCCTAGCTGATATATAGGGTTATGCTCGAGCGAACTGGCAGTCGACTCATAGCTTGTAGTTGAATGAAATTGGTTATAATTGAAAAGCATTATGCTGCATGCGCATGTCACATCATATCATGGGTTGCAATTATGCATTATGCAGCGCGCGATCGAGCCTGTTGTATGACATTTCCGCTCAGTGCATGTGAATTAATAATGACCGTCCGTCGGCTCTGTACGACAGAATTGCATGCTGATCGATATCCCATGTACTGTGTCTGTAACATGGAGGATTGATTGCTATCACATAGTACGTATGCCGTCATGTGCTTTTGCCAGATTGTAATATTTTGACAAAGAACTTCAATCGTTCAGTGATCGATTGCTGGCATGAATGAACTGTGCGCGCTCTATGTTGTGCATATGAAAAGCCTGTCACAGAGCCTAAAGAACTAGCCAGCCTAAGAAGGACCATAAGCATCACAAAGCCTTCTTCTAACAATCAGGTCATTCAATGTATGCCTGATTCAAGCCTCAAAATAGCAAAGTAGCTCACAACGAGAAAATGATCTGCCAGATGCCCACTGACCCAAGGGACAACATCCGACAGGTAGTGTAAGTTCATAGGCTGATGCGATTTGTTCCTTCTGATCCCCTGTTTTGGAAGGCGCAGTTGATTGTCAGGCGCTCAAAAAGTTGGTCCAGTCAAATCCACACAATGACAATCTACTTGGGCCACCGGGATTTCTTTACAAACGTCAGCTGCCAAAGACTGCCTGGCTTGGATCCTGATAATCCTCTAGCGCGGATCATCCTGATTTGACTTCTTGTACGGACACTCGAGGTCTGGGAATAAGGCACCAGTGCCCAGTAGCAGCCACGCTTGCCATGCTAAACCTGACAAGGCAGTGTCGTCATCTACTGCTGAGCCATAGGTTGGTAGCATGTCTCTTCGATGTGGGAAAAAAAAGCTCTAGGTTATATACTAAGCTCCTAACCTAACACTATAAACCTAACCCTCAAAATCATCCAGTCCGCACCTGTACCCACCCTAAACCCCCAAACTAACCCCATCCGTCCAAGGCTGCTTGGCTTACTTTTCCTAGATTGAAGTCTTGGGGGGGTGGTAGCAGGGGTCCGACGGGGGGAGCTGCCACGGATGAACACAGGTGCAAAGGTCACGGTCGTACATTGTGCCGGGGCCACATTGAAAATCGTATTTTGTGAGCGTGCCGTCTATGTCCACGCACCTGTAAAATCGGCTGCACAAACAGCAGAGCCAAAAGGGCTTAGGCATTGACAAGCATGCAAACACAACAAGGCAATGATTGGCATTGTCGGAGAGCACTGGGATGCTTGCGCAAGACTCGTAATGAATGCTCTGAGGAGTCTCCACCTGCAAATATGGTAGTTCTCGATGTAGTGAACAGCAAGCCAAGTGAACAGTAAGCATCTTGGGGTTACTAAAAGCCCTAACCCAAAAGATCACCCGCTCCGCACCCGTACCCACCCTAACCCCCTAACTAACCCTACCCGTCTCCGTTACTGTTCACCGGCTGTTACTGTTCACTACATCGATCGGGATGCAAGTATGGAGCATCCATAGAACCGCTCTATAGTCGATCTCTTTACTCGTACTCTACACCGCTTAATCTCTACACTTACATGAGCATCTTACATCTCAGCCCCTCCTGATGCTTGGACTGAGGCACGTGCTGAGGTTATGAGGCTTCCAAAGGCTGCATTATTCAGTTTTGTCATGAGCATTCAAACTTGCAAGAGAGCAGAGGCAGTGCATTTTTGTTGAGCAAATACAACAATTGGGACAGGCTGAGAAATAATGAGGCCACATACGCGCAGTCATTGGTTTTTGGGAAGAAGCCTTCCTCCTCGCATTTGTCTTCCGCTGCAACTGCAATCTGGATCGTTGCCAGAAGAACCGCTGACGCCAGCAAGAGGGACAGCACCAGAAGCTTTGCCATAATGTTGGAATTGGTGAACTGCACGTATAGGAGACGCAATTAGCTCCTGTGGCACTGAAAAGGTTACCTTACACTGGCTTCTCTCCTAGCTTGTTTCTTGTATTAGGATCGGACTGCAGGGCCAAGTAGAATATGCTCAACTAGTTGGGAGTGCTCGAGTGCCCTTGAGAAAGCAGAGCCAGATCCAACCCAACAAGTAAAAGACTTCAGCCTGCAGTGTCTGAAGAGCGATCAAATTATAAGGAAGTGGCAATGTGACAAAAACAAAGAGTTAGTCAACCAAGTTCTGAAGCTGTGACCAGCCATTGGGCACATTCAAATGAAGGAGAAGCTTCGGAAGTCCTCTATAAGTCAGAAAATTTGTAGGTATAATTGAGCGAAGGCATTCTCCCTTCAGAAAGGAATGCAACGTGCAAACAAGTACTTGATGGGCAATACAAGACGAGTACTGGCCTCGTCTTTCCACAACTTTAATGAGACAATTGTGAGACAAATACATCTTTTTGAGACATTGAAAAGCTTGGTTCTTGAGCACAGCAGGGATTCTATTGGTACAGAAATTTGTGCGCCCACCGTTCTGCTTTTTGCATTTGGCACAAGCTGAGGTTCAACCGTAATTGTATGCAGTCGGGATGCAGTCTATCAGGTTGTTGCCAAAGCACTTGCCAAATGTCAACACAAGACACGCAAAGTACTGAGCCGAATGGCAAGCGCAACAAGGGAAAGGTTACAGAGCCATTTCTTTGCCCACCGTGACTGCGCATCGTATTGGGACTAACCTGAGATTGCTGACCAGGATTTGGGACAAAAGGAGCAACACAGAAGCTTAGCACAGGCTTTAGAGGAGTCTCACCAATGCTGGCAGCTACTCGAAGACAACTTTGAAGGGGCTTTGAAGAGGCTTTGAGGGCTCGAGAAACTTTGAAATACCGTAATTCGCAGCCTCCTAGCTCCTGAGTCGTGGGAGTCAGGACTCAGGACCCAAGCTGAGAGCTCTGAGGGTCTACTACTACAGTACTACCTAGGTAGGTACCGTAGTAGCCTGAGGGTAGGAATGCGGCGGCTGACGATCGAGAGTCCAGACTCCAGTCTCAGAGTCAGCCTAGTCCAGAGTCCAGAGTCCAGACTGTCTTGAAAGTTGAGTACCGGCCCATCAATTATGAGTAGGTAATTGATTGCTGGTGACGTACGATATCATACGGAAATCGCATGCGGGTCGCGTTACGGTGACGGTCGACTTGGCGACTGGCTAGCAGGACCTGCAAACTGGAGTGTCGCCGACGACCGGTGTCCTGACCGTACGGTGTCACGGTCTAGCGTGACCGGCCGGGACACCGGGACCGCGTCACTACTGTGACTACATCTGAGTGTGACAATACCGTAGTAGTTTAACGGTACTAAGGTACCGTGACCGAGTACGGTTAGAACTTACCGGTACGCGGCGTTGACGTGCGGTACGAAGTTCACGGTCGGAGTCAGTCATGCACTGCGTTTCAACTTTGCGCCGCCGCGAAGGAGGCGGCTGCCGACCGGACTCGCTGGGATTGCAGGGTTTCTAGGGTTTCAAGTATCGTGTTGACCACTAAGTGAGTCCTGAAAACGGTATGGCAGTGGCTCGGCAGTGGTGCCTGGAGGGCTGATGAGTCGGATCGACTCTCATGGGATCTCTCTGTCGTGGCGCTTACGGGAAGATGGTTCTTTCGAATCTATATCTTAACACCAATCTGCATCATGCTCAGGGACAAAGCTTGCTCCTAAAACTTGCAATCGTCTATATCCAAGCTCCCCCTTCATCATGTATTATAGTCCATTGAAAGTGACAGTTTCAAACCCCTGCACCAATTGTGGTTACAGTCACCAGCTATCAAAGGTGATCTGAAGTCGGGAACATTCCGACCAGAGTACCCTTGCCTTATGCTTACACTTACAAAATGATATCTGAGGCTGATTCTGACAGCTTCTCTAGCTTCCTAGCTTTCCAATGGCCATTCGGCCGGCATCAAATTAGTTCTTTCAAGACAACACAACGTTTCGAAAATGCAAGATCCAAATGTCCTACTTTCCAAATGTATCCATTTCCATTCCTTCGGAACCATTGCTTTGGACTAGGGAAGATAAAATGGAAGTCCACTTTCGTTGCATCACAGCCGTTCAATGAGACGGGACACCAGGGCGGACCATCCGAGATTGCTTCTGAGACTAGGCAAGGTGACTAAAATCAGATAGATTTATCAGTCTATTGGAATCCTATGCCGAGCGGTCTGTATCTGCGAACGCTGGGCGGCGGGACCGCCACGTCCAGGGCCGCGTACTCCGAAACGAGGTTGTGTAGCTGTTCTGCAAGTGAACCGAGGCCAGACACAGGAGATTGGTCAAGTACTTGGTCAAGTACTGCTTCACACTTTGGCCCAGGTCGCCAAGAACAGCCAAGGTTTGCGGTGCACCTTAGCCTGCATTTAGGCACGTCTGAAAACACTCACAAGTGGTAAAAGCTCAAAGGTTGAAGCCGCTGTGCAACCTTGAATTCCTACGAACACGCGCTGTAAGACTGAAGAAAGGCTGTACAGCAAATAGTGGGTATACGAATCAGAATCAGGTCTTAGCGGACGCACAGACCCATTACAGAAGAGAGCTGTGAGCTGGTTGATGCAAAACCTGGTTGCTTTGTGCTTGTCCGAGAGAGGACCTACGGCCCGTATAACAGCCCTCGGCAGTACCCTTCATCAAACAAAGACATCATACAAACAATTCCAGCCGTCTCATGTGAAGGCGGTCTTACCTGCGCTGGTGTCAAAGACGCCCTGGTCCATGTACTCTGTGTAATGGTGCACGTACGTGCGCCTTTTGTACAACTTCATGAAGCGGTCCTTGATGGCACCGATTGACTGCCTGCATGCAGGACACAAAGCGTCTGAGGCTTTCACTATTCTCGGCAGCAAAACGATTCCGGGTGAGTCGAAAGCGTAGAGCAATGCAGCCCAAGTATTCAAAGTACCGAGCCAAGAAGATTCTGAACCTGGATGGCGAAGGTTTAGAATACTCTATGAGTCGAAGGCTTCATATGTGCAAGAAGTTGAGATAGATAGGCTTCGCCTGTTGAATCCCCCGTGAGAATGTTCAAGAACACGAAGGGGGCTGCTTCAACCCTTTACTGATCGTGCACCAGTTGGCAACATCGCTTAGACTGCTCTGCCACCTGTCAAACTTCTGTCCCCACTGCAATGTTACGAGGCAAACTCGCTTTGAATGTCGCTGGCGCACGACCAAGTCCAACAACAACTGTGCAAGGCACTTGAAGTTTCCGGCAGGACAGAAACCCTTCGGATGTTTTAAATCATAATCTGGCAGAGCCTCACCCAATGCAGCAGTTGTTGGCGAGGCAGAGGAGGGAGTACGGCAGACCCACCGGAGGGGTGGAGCAGAGACCGATTTTGAAGCCTTCCGTGTTCCAGTAGACCTGCGGAAAAACAGATACCGTAGTGCTTTTTGAGCAGTTGACAAACATGAGTGGTTACCCGGGCCTGCGATTATACTGATGTGTTGCGCTCAGTTGCGGCTGGGATTGTGAGATCTATTGTGAGCTTTACATGCTTTGCAAAGACGAGACTACGTACTGTGGAACATGGGCTACTCAGGATTACAACTGTCTACTGGACATCCGAAGAAAGATGACGATACAGATCACGTCAATGATGAGTGGGACTAGTCGACAGAGCAATCTCGGCCGTCACAGCGGATACAAGGCTCGTCAGGGTTGACTCCGAACCAGGCCGCACGTTCCCAAGCGACGTCAGCAATTCACGACAACCATTTCCCGCTCTTCCCAGAGCCTCACCATTTTGACACGTGGCTTGATGCGTTCAACGTTGCGTGTGATGTCGGAAACTGTGCAGCCTTGCCCCCGGAGCATCAGGGCGCATGCCAGGTACGTTGACCCCCCCGGGTGGGCCTTCATTAGCTGGCGCTCCCTCGAAAACACCTCGGTAAACACCTGCGGAACTGTCGGTGATCAGGTCGATGACGAAGTTTAGCTCCTGGCTTTGGCCAGAAACACACTTCGTGGCAGTCAGGTAAGAACGGCGCCAGGTGCACCTTTGATACTAAAGGACTTGAGGAAACCCTTCAGTAAATGCTTGCGAAGCGTTCCGATTCTTGTTGGGCTTGAGGCCGGTTCAAAATACCCATTGTACCCGTGAATCAAATTGCACAATGACAGGTCTGTTTGACAAAGCGTGGCAGCCACTAATAAAAATTTCGTTTCGACCGCTCTGAAACTGCTCAAGACTCCGTGCTCTTGACCGGGATCCGAAACCGGGTATATTGAGTATGCTATTGCATCACTTCATTGTCCAATATACTCTCACGACTGCTATCAGTCTCCCGGCCGTTCGTCGAATAGAGGGTCTCGGAAAAAACGGTGACATGTCAATCAGGGTTGGATGGCAGAACTTACGTCGTGTTGCAGACAAAAAGTACGGTCAAGTAGACAAGGATCCAAGCTTGTTGGGAAACTTGCTCTGCATACCCTGGATATACTGGCATGTCAAGTTCCACCAAGCACGCTCCCTGTGAGACCTGATAGTACTATCATGGGGACGAAACGCTAGCCATGGATGCGAGAAGGGGCTCACTTCTGGAAAAGCTCCCATTTCTTAGATTAGCTTTTTCGAGCATCTCGCTCTTACGGTGTAGAGTCAATCAGGCTCCAGCACGTGACCTCCGTGCAAATGCTTCCAGGTCTAAAGGCAATCGTGCTCAGAAAAGATCGACTCAAACAAAGAGCGCGGGTTGCGGTCGTTGACAACTCACCTGGCCAAGCGCTCTTGGCTCAAGCGTCATCTTGCCTGCATCCAGCCAGGCCATGAGCAACTGTCAGCGCTCTCCATTCCTTTGGCAGATTTCTCTTCAGTTTGACTTCCCCGCTTTCATTAAGGGCCGAGTGAGCGGCCCTAAGAGATCACACGACCACCTGCTCCGGAACTATGCCGTAGTCCCTGAAGGCGGTATGCCATTGACTCCAATTTCAGATTTGGAATCTCACAAACCAGAAATGCTGTGTCTCAAACTGATCTGGGTCAAAGTAACGGGCCAACAAAGAGTCGACGAAAACCTGCACTCCTAACGCGTTTAGCCATAGCTCTCAGACCACAAAGAGCTTCACTCTCCGTGGTATGCAATTTTCCGCGCTATGATATTGGAACACACACACAGCACCGTCATTCAGAAAGGCGCTCACCAACGTCAGCGGGTGCAGCGATCGGCGCCATACTGGACATGAGGAAGTGGAGGCGCGGGTATGGCACCAGGTTCGTCGTGATCTCGTTCAGGTCCACTGCCAGGTGTCAGGAACGTGGGGCTTCGGGATTCTGACGGACTTTTCGAAGAGCGGAGCTTTGAGTGCTCACGGATGGGAAGGGCAAATTCGCGTCCGCAAATCAATCTGGTCCATGTTGAGGATTTGAAGCGCTGCCCGAGATCTGTCCCACTACATCCAATCTAAAACGCGTTCATTTCAAAAAAATACCCGGTTCTGAACCGTCGATAAGTATCAGACAGTCGCGCTCAGGGGGGCAGAAGAAAGTAAACGTCAGGGACGCACCGGCTGATTCCTACTTGTTGAGTCGTTAAGAATGATGAAGGATCAGAAACCCGAATCTAATTCTTCGTGATGCATCTTCGGAAACCTTGCAGACGAAACAAACGGAGGGGAAACAGCACACCGTTGAGCGGCCCCTGGAAGCGGACGGAGCTGGTCAGGTGGAGCAGCAGGTTGGCTGCAATGCCGTTCATGCTGTCGAATGGCTTGCTGCCACGTGTCCCCGTCACGGCGCTCCCGGCCTTCTTCCCGGAGGCTGCATCGACCACGCTGCAGGGACGGGGTTTTAAAACGGGGTCAAGTTCGCTGAAGGATTGGTGTAGCACAAGCATTCGCACATTCCAAGAATTCTGGATGTCAGGCGATGAGATTGCTGCTACAGACATGGCTCCGAGGCCAACACTACTTGAAACCATGGGATGCGAAGCGGGGGTTCGTTTCGAACCTCGGGGCGGGCGTTGTCTTGATCAGAAACGGGTCCTGCTAAGCCCACCTGACAAGGTCTTGGAGTGCCTGGTTCTCGATTGGGAGCACGCAGTCTGCAAACTCGCTGAGCGAGGCTACCGAGAGGAGACTACAAGGCAGAAAAGCGGAGTTCAGATCTACGATAGAGATGAGGTTGCAGCTGGCCTGATCGAAAGGGTTATGGAAACAAGGAAGCACGTTTTTCTTTCTTGCTGAGAACGGGAAAACGACGGGGAGGAATCAGAAGATCACTCTGTGGAATTGTCTCGCAGCGATATGTTTGGAAGACATTCCGAACCCCTATGCAAATCTTACATGTGTATCAGCGTCGTCAGAAACAAGCACTTCCGTTTGAAGTTACTTAGCAAAGGAAAATTCGGTCGCAGAATGCAACATACTGCAAGGTAAAAATTTCCGCAAGAAAAGCACTTGTGAGTTTCTTGGACCCGTGAGACTGGAAGGCCCAACGAAAGGAGTCTGGCAACAGAAGAGAAGGGTTTCGGAAAAGGAGAATTACCTGTTGTACGGTGACGTCACGACGTCGTCATCGGCGGACGGGAAGATGGAGGTTGTGAATCGAAACACTTCCGGGTACTCGTCCTGCAAGCACAAAAGGAATCCTTTCGTCCAGTTGCGCGGAACTCCGTCGCACTTTACTGAACATTCTTAGCCGTCATCAAAGGTCGAGAAAGGCGACCGAAAGCCAGATGAAGAGGTGGCCAGGCGCAGAAAGGAAGCATGCCATTCGGTTTCAAACGACGTTGCGACGGCAGGTTTAAAGGACGTCAGCAACCAACGATAAACTTAAGCAGAGTGTAGAACCTTTCATGCTTCTTGATCTGTGCAAGAGCAGCTTCGAAAGCGCCTGCCCCACGCTTGCATGCGGTGATTCTCTGTGAAGATTCACGAGCATGCAATGAAGAGTGCCACACGTGACGTAAGGTGGACGTCAGCTCACGTGCAGTTGCTCGAGGATGTAAGTCCCCAGGCCGGACCCCGTGCCGCCGCCCAGGCTGTGCAGCAGGAAGAAACTCTGCAACGAATCGCAGGGCTCCACCTGGCAGCGACAGAACTCCCTCGTGAGCAAGTGAACGCAGCCTGTCACTTGGGCCTCTGATCGCCCAAAACAACGTGCCTTAACAAAGCTTCCCGAATCTTCTGAATTAGATGCAAGAGAACAGGATGGAGCGGCGATCGTCATTGAAAATCTTCACCCCATGAAAGCCTTCCACCTTCGAAGCGGACAGAGGGATGAGCAAAACGGGAACAAGCTCCAACCCTCTGAAACAAGCACGGGGGTCTTGTGAAAGAGAGCGGGTAAAAACGCACCGCAATGCGAATGCTCTCGAAGATGCTCTCGCGGTACTGAGGACCGTAGACCTGGTGTCCGTGAGCCCTGCATGACGCACACGGAAAGTTCGTTTGAGAAACCAAACATTGGGCCTCAGTTCGCTTCGCTTATGAGTGGAACCCGGTTGTGAGATGCCAATGTTGGTCGTATTGCAGTCAAAAGTTAGGCGGGCACCCAAGATCGTCGATTGTCAAAACTACGTCGGAATTCCGTGAGTGCCAGTTGCAAGTTTGGTACCAACTTGTATGAGCCCAGGGGCGGCCAGCCAAACAGACTGCGACCAAGACGTTTCCTAATTGAATTCGAGATGTCTGCTCGACGACTTCGCTCGACGACTAAGCAAACAACGAGCAAAACCTTTCAATGACAAGTTCCAGATTATCCTGCTCGACTGGCCGAGATCGCCGTCACGAACGGCTGACGCGCAATAAAAGCCATCGAGGTACTTCGAGGCCCCAACGAAGCTGTATAGGTCGACGCATAAGATTCAATAAGTTCATCTTTCTCGTCGGACACAGCAATCTAAGTTGCCGTGTCCTTTGAGCTGCGAGTCTCACCAGTTGTTCCCTGCGCCTGAGACATCGGTGATGTGCAGCTTCGAGTCGAAGATGTCGGCTAGAGGCCCCTGCAGTTGCGCCTTTTGAGACTAAGAACGTCCGATCAAGTTGAGAAGATGCCCAGAAGTCTGATGAGACTTACACAGCCGAAGTATTGCCAGGAACACCCGACTAATATGCAAGATGAAGTCTCAAAGACAAGCTAGATTCAGTCTCAGAAACATCAAAGATGGATTCGCAAGGGACCCCATGCATCCGCTTTGAAGGACTCCGTTTTGCCCAGTGTCGGGATAGGGCTCTTGGGCTACTTCAGAGATGACCGAGAAGGCAGACCATAGGTGCTTGATCAAGTCATTTTCAAAGTTGGGATGCTGGCGGCTCAGTGGCAAGCTTTCACAACGCGGCATAAATACACACGAATTGTAACTGCGAGACTGTGTGTTGTGAAGAACGTTGACACCTACTTTGATCTTGCCAGAAACTAATTCAGAGCTCCCAGTTCCAAGTTCGAGAATTCCTTACCTTCAAGAGCTCGTTAACAACTCCCTCCTCCATATCAACCAGAACGGCACGAGCCTGCAAAAATAAAGATGCTGGATCTAATCGCAAAGGTTTGCACTCCGACTGCAGGGATAGATGGATGTCTTTGATATCCCTTCCAAGAAAATCTACTGTCGGACGGGCCAGCATGTTTGGGCAACTTTGGTTGGCTTATAGCTTGTTCAACACAACTTGGACTGTTGTTGATGCGAACTTTAATGAGCCTCCCACCAAGTCGCTCCTTGTCCTAGTGTCTCCTCTCTCTCCGACTTTGCACAAAAGTATTGTCCTCGTGATTTGTTGTTCTTTATGTATGACTTGATTGAATGGAGCATCTAATTGTTTGTGCCATTTGCTGCCTAAGGACCCCTCTTTGCAATCACAGTGCCCTCCCAACCACATCAGCAGCTCTATCAAAATCATTCATGAATGTGACATGAGGATCTATCGCGAAAGCCCCCATACCTGGCCAAGCCAGACATTCATTCCAGGTTGCATCTCTTATCTCTGCCTATCGCTCATGGCCTTGTCCAGGCACACTCAGTAACGCCAGCTTCAAAGAATGGACCACAAGATGAACTACCAAATTTTCAAAACAACAATCTTGGATATCCATGTTTCGAAAAAGCTGTTTATAGAGTAAGGGGGTTGTTCAATCAGTAGAGCTTGATTATGATACTCGAATTGATTATTTTCCCAAGCACCACCTCGAATGGACCGTGGCGGAGAGATGCTTGAGACTTACCTTAAGGGTCTTGATGGCACCCCCCACAGGCAGCTCCTGTGGGGGGTCATGACGGCTGTCCACATTCCGGAAGAAGCTGCTGAGGGCATCGTCAAAGCGGGCCGCCCTGTTGTAGGCGGCGTGCTCCCTCAGGGCCAGCTCCCAAAAGCGGCATCCAATCTGACAGGTGAATGCACATCTTTCAGGACTTTGTGTCTGACCAGTGTCAGCAAGTCCATACCTGGCAGAAAACAGCGTGCAGGATTTCGTGTAGATATGGCAGTGGTGGTGCAACTTGAAAGAGCGTGGAAGAGATGGAGGGGGTAACAGTTTTGGTAGGCAAAACTGGTGATTCTTGGTATGCCTGCCCCCATCCTAACTCCAGTATGAAGATTTGAGAACATAAAACGCATGCAGTGCTGTTCTGCTCCTTCCATCCTCAAGTTCCATTCCTTTGCAATCCATTTGATAGCACCTTTTGTGGAGCTTTTACTCAGGTGACCGCTCTTACCTGATTCCCGCATTGCCCAACCTGTATCGTGACAATCTCTCGTGGCATCTGCTGCTTCAAGCAGCAGGACGACAGGGCCTTGGCTCCAAGAAAGGTCACAAGATGTCACAAGCTTATACAAATACATCCTAGATACTTCTCTCTGTGTCCTTGTCACTGCAACGCCCATGGCATTTGTGTGAGGGGCAAGTCTTTCAGAAAGTGTGAATCCAGAGCGCCTGCAATTCCTTCGCAGAGGCACTACAGTAACATAGTATATGTAGACTGCGTTCATAACCTGTTTCCTCTTGCCTGCATATACCAGAAGTTATTACCACCGCAACTCGCAATCACTATATAATCAACATCGCTTTTTTCTCCAGTTTTTATTGGCTGCTTGAGTTTCATTGGACGAAAATTCTGGATATACCGGTACATGTCTTCCTGAAGAAATCGCGAAGCAAGCATGTACATGATGATGTAGAAAGTGGCCCGAAGTTTGTATTTGTCAGGGAGGGACCTCGAGGATTGAGGCGCTGCATGGGCAAGGACGTCCGCTGCCATGAGGGTTGTCCTCAAAAAGCTGGGCTTGAAACGCGGCAAGAAGAACGAAACCAAGGAGAGCCTTGAAGCACAGCGTCTGGCAGGAGGCCCGGGCAATGTGGAAGAGAGCCAGTCGGGAGCAATTGAAAGCGACTTGAAGGTAGGAACTGTCCTCGGAATTGATGTCTTGCCTGTATACGACATGGAGCTTGACGGTCGAATCAATCTTTAAGCTCTGTCTTGCAACATCAGAAATTTGTGCGCTGGCGGTCTGCATGGCTAGACAAATGCAACATAGTGAAGAATTGGTGCAAAGTGTCTGGGTCCTTGTGCTGTTCTTCTATATTGAGAAGGTTGCAGGTTGTCCTTACAGTGCCCTTTGTCAGCCAAGGCTGTCACAAGTGGGAACCTTCACTTCAGCTTGATAGAAGAGATATGTTTTCATAAAGCTGCTCATTTTGTGGCTTGGCAGTTATTTCAGTCACTGTGAGCTGATTCTTGGGAGAGGTCTTGCAAGGTTATCTGCCTGTACTTCCAGACAGGGGTTCTTTCCTGGTCACTCATGTTCAATAGCAACGTTACTCTTTGACCTTCAGCTTCGATGCCCGTTAAGTTACACATTTTGTTCAAGATGTATAGCACAAGTGTATCTTTTGTTCATATACTGTCTGACTCGACGGCTTAATTGCAGTACAACCAGTCAATCTAGCCGCTCAAGAACTTAATTACATGGTAGAAGAGATTGCACAATAAGCAAGGTTCTTCAACTCCCATCTTCAGGCGAGTTCTCCAGCACCAGAGATGGAAGAACCTCAAGCTACTCCCCCCCAAGGCACCGTGCAGAACCAGTATGGGGAGGTTTTCACAGATGAATTCCAGGGCCCCGACACTTCCTCCCTGACCGCATTCCTGGTCTCGCTCCTTTCTTACACACCCGAACCCCCTGAGAGGCTCCGGCCCAGCCAGCCAGCCTCGCCCCGCTCCCCGGAAACCCCCCAAAGAAGGAGCTCTTTCAAAAAGACAGCTCTCGAATATGGGGAGCTTTCTCAAGGGGCGGGAACAACCGCACGGACGTCAGCTGAAAACCAGGAGCTCTACTCGCGGGTGCATGAAACGGCGGTCCGTGCGCACGAAGCGGTTGCACGCGCAGAGGAGGCCATCAGCACGAGCCGGGTGCGTCCTGACGGCCCAGGAGCCGCCTCTCAGGGGGGTCCCTCTGCCATGGAAACTACCCTCCTGGAAGAAGAATGTCCCACCCCCGCTGCTCGAGCGCACGAGGCGGCACTCCGAGCAAAGGCAACTGCGGCGAGAGCCGCACGAAGCGAGTCCCCGCCGGAAGAAACCGACTGGCAGGTCGTGAACGAGAAGGACGTCCCCAGCGGCACGGGGTTCTGGCACCCGTCTGAGATCGGGGCCCGTTCGCACCACCACATGCCGGGCAAGATCAAGACTGTGGCCCAGCTGGTGATACCGAGCAAGGTGGTCCCGAGGAGTGACATCGAGCCCCCGAAGAAAAGTCCGCTGCGGAAGCCGCCTGAGCTGTCAGAGCCATCGGTGATGCTGACGGAAGGGACACGCTCGCTGCTGTGCACGGCACTCCCGGCACTGGCCATGGGGCGGCAGTGGGTGCTTCTGTACAGGTAAGAGGAGGGAGTGGTGAAGTGTTATCTTATGAGGGAGGGCTGACAAGGGGCTGGTTGCGGCAAGGAGCAGGAAGGCAATAGTGGTGGGCTCGTCTCTGCCTGTTGATGAGGGTTTCCAACCTGCAAATCGTTTTGCCAGGAGCATTTAGACAGTCAGTCAATGACGCCTGGATGATGTTTGTACCTCTACCCAAATGGCAGATATCATTCGCTTCTTTTCCCTACAAGCTGCTGCGATGACTGGGATGCGCCTCGATTGTTCTCTGCTCGCAGTCAGCTGTTGCATTCCGCATGGTTCGACGTGTTTCCATGTGAATGTCACGACCTTTGTTGGCAATGAGCATTCACCCACGCATTTCAATGGGAGTTCACTACAGAGCAAGGGATGCCCCGCGCTTCATTACAATCTGAAACCAAGACTTCTCACTCCCGTGGCTTTCTTATGCAGCACTGAACGCCACGGCATCTCGCTCCACACCCTGTATAGAAACAGCACCAACGATGGTGGAGCGACGCTGCTGGTGAGTGCAATCGGCCTGCCTGTGAAAATATGCGCTGAGACTGCAACGGTATTTCTGGTTCTCATTCTGTCGACAAGAAGCAGCTTGCGTGGACAGCATGCAAAGGCTGCAACGTGCATTCTCCATGTTATTGCCTTATACAAGGATACGGCCTCCGCAATCAGACCAGTCTCGGGGGAGGCCCGTTGACCGGTTTCTGTACCCGTATTACTTTTTTGGTCACAAGAACGAAAGAAACGGGTCCCCTTCATATAAGAGCCACTGACTCGGTTGCGGAGGTGTCTTTTGATAGGTTTGTTGTCGACAAGACAGTTTGGGAGCTCATTTGCCGGGCTTGGAATCAATAAGTCACCTTCAGTGGATTACCTGAGCTGAGATGAACGAACTTGGTAACCGTACATCTCCCAGGGACCCGAAAATCTGCATGTACTGGCCCTGGAGGTGAGAGGCTAGAGATCTGAGCAGTGTCCACTCAACGCAGAACCTTATTTGCAACCCAGAAAAGCCAGTATCACTCGTGCATGACGTCACATGACCCCCTGCTCGCAGGTGGTCCAGGACAGTCACGGCGCAATTTTCGGGGGCTTCTCGTCGCAGCCATACAACCCGTCCGTTCGTCACAAGTATCAGGGCGGTAATGACTCCTTCGTCTTCTCGGAGAAGAACGGGGAGGCGACCCTCTATCGCTCCACTGGTGAGACGCTCGTACCCTGCTGTTGGGAATGGAACTCTGGCTTTATCAGTACGTCCTGCTCTAAGACCAAGCTTCGAGCACCACTTTCCCTCTTAACGATTTTCTGTGGTGATCGCACGGGCCTTAGTCTGTTCACTGCCTTGCGAGTGGGTCTTGTCAAACCTTTTCAGAGTCGTGAGTCTATTCTGCTGGTCGCTTTGCAAGCCCTTCGGGCAACTAATGAAACTTCAGAACTTAAGCGCGTTGCAAGCATGGGGTCAGGGCACTTCAAGTTCAGACGACTGTGGTGCCGCAGAGCGCTTGTTCCCATCACATTCGTAAAGAGTGTAAAGTCAGTGGCCGTGCCCATTGCCACCACACACGCCAGGCTTTTCAGAGCGCTCTGTCCTTCTCTTGCCGCAGGCGAGAACCGCTACTTTTTGCTCTGCACCAACGAGGGCCTAGCGTTTGGAGGAGGCGACCACTTTGCTCTGAGGATCGACGAAGAACTGTGAGGCATCGCTGGCGCTTGAACCTGTTGTGCGGCTTTTTCGATGACGTCGTTTCGACAGCCAAGAAATATTGGCGAAATTCCTGTTGATTGTTGTGGTGACAAAGGGCTCTGAGGCGCTGCACTTGTCGGAGAGATTTTGGAAGACGAGAATATTGAAGGAGAGGCAAAGCTGCGTTTGTCCAAGGGGTCCGTTTTTAGTATTGAGAGATTTGCTAGGCGGTGCATTCGGCTAGCGCCACTATAGGAGCCACTTCAATGTTGGATGCTAGTTCAAAAGGTGGTTGAAAAAAGCCTCACGATGATTCTCCCCTTCCAGGTTGCATGGGAGCAGCGGCCCCTGTGCGACGTTCGGCAGCCCTTGCCTGGCCCACAGCGAGGAGTTTGACATACGCTATGTCGAGGTGAGCTTTTTCAGCCATTGTCGACGTCCGGCCGCATATCATTGGCTGCATCCATGAGCTTTCTGCCAGTACGGTTGCTGCATCTGAAAAGAATCAGTATTCCATCCATGAATTTTGACCTTGGTTATTCAAAGAGCGAAGCGGCAATCCTGGCGATCGATTGCACTGACTGCTTTGCATGTGATTGGTCGGTTTTGAGTTTTGGGCCTTGTCGCAGTGATGGACAGGATCCTGGTTTGTGACATTAGTCATCGTGCAATCGCAGGTTTGGGGCTTTGCGCACGTCAGAAGGCTCAGCACTCCAATCTAGAAAGCACTTGCCGGGGCCACGATCCATGTACAGTAAACCAAAAGGCCGCACTTTACTGCAGAGGAAATACCTCCTTACTCCGCTTCAGTTTAGATTGTTGTAATGTTGACGCCTGCCGGAGAGTTCGGCGGCGCATGAGAGAGCGTCACGTCCGCAACCTGGATGTGCCGATCCGTGTACATGTTGGTTGTGCTTACTGATTTGTTGCCGAGCTTTTATAAGGACGGTCGTGACATGCTTGCGGCCTGTCAAAGTTTTCTTAGTCTTCCTCCTTCAGCCACGCATAAGTGGTGCTCAAACGTTTGCATTGATACGATAGTACGGTGCAACGAGTCACGTAGTATATCCTGCCGAACCGATACAATTGTAAGACTAGTGCATATATGCCAGTTGTACGTTCGTCCGCCAACTGGGTGGTTACCTGCAGCGGTCTCAGTTGGCAGATAGGACAGGATTGGGCGCGAGCTCCATGCCGTGCATGCGATCAGGCCGGCTCTACCAATGTGAAGCATAAGAGCTCGCTTTATACTGATATACATGTGCTGCGCAGGGTACTAAAAGTCGTAAAATCGATCATGGATGATCGGATCTGATCGCGGGGATCGTCTATATCTGAGATGCCGTGTGCACATCACAATGATGACCTATATTGCTGCCATGTGCCATCGTCTAATGCTGCGCAAGCGTCTTCCACCATCAAATCAGTGCTAGCGATGCACAGATATCCGTTCTCCGAATTGGCTTCATGCATATTGCAGGACCCGCAGCGCGGCGCCTGATAACTTGTCAGCGCCCTTGATTGCACCACCGCGTGCAACTGCAGCACAATGAGGCGGCGCATATACAGATGAAACCGGCCTCGATAAGAACGATGTGTGAGGCCTGCAGGAAAGTCATTACCGTGGGCTGCCATTTTGCGAACCTATGCCGTGATGCCACTTGATTGGACCATCGAATAACCTGGTTCAAAAAGGGTAGAACCGTTCAGTCCTTCAGTCAAGCTGTTCTGCAAGCTTCTTTGAAGCTCGCATAGGTCTTGCGCCGACCGGCCCGTCCTTGTGAAGGACAGATCGGAAGTCTCGTTCTTTACTGTCACCGGCCATCCAGCGGCCAAGCTTTTCGCGGTTTTTTGTTGAGCAGAAGTCCACCCAAGCCGGTTTTGCGAATTGGACGAGCCCACGATGCAAAGTAGCTTCTTTGGACTGTGGCGGCTGTCTCGCTCTCAAAGTAAGATCGAGGGTCTTGCCACTAAGAGAGCGAGCCCGGCAGGCTTGAGCATCAAATATAAGGCCATTCGACTTGCTGGATTCAGCGCAGATTCGCATCTGTGCAGCTTCGGTGGATTTTCGATTCCAACCGATCCTTTATTCATATGTTGATGGGCTTACACGCAGGGTTTTCAGCCTGCTTTTGCGACAATGGTGTAGGGTTTTCGCTTTTAGCTATTCTTATCCGGATTTCTCGGTTGCCATTTCCAATACCGCAGACCGAAATACCGAAAAGAACCCACTTTGAACGGATGGCTTCTTCCACAGGCTGCCTCAATCCCCAAATCAATCCTGCGCGCTTGTGACACGAATTTGACAAGCAATTGGTTGCTCCGCAGCCGGCATGGTCGAGCAAAGTTTCAAAATTCCGCTCAAGCAAACTTTACCAGTACAGAACCCAATGTAGAGTATCAGTTCGTGACGAAGGAGATTATGCCCGGGGACCGGGTGGGTCAGGGTTGGGGTTACGTTGGGTACGGGTGCGGAGCCGGCAGATTTTGGGATTCGGGTTTGCGTGTTGAGTGCGCGGTAGATCATCCTGACCTTATCCAATTCTGATGATGTACATAACAAGGTGGCCAGACTGGCTTCGAACCTGGCTCTGACGAACAGACTTCAAGACGGTGCATGGAACCCGTGTCTTGAGACTCGTGACAATCCGCTCGATGGGTCGAAGTTTGCATCGATCAGTTCGGCTTGCACGACTGTCCTGCTCGAGCATGCTGCCAAAACCCGTTTCAAGAATGGCGTCACTTTCTTGTCGCGTGCTTGTCAAAGAGGACCAAATGAGCAAAGCATCTGTCAGGAAGCACATGAACTTCAGAGACGCACTGGAAAGGTCGGCCTGTTCTGACATTAGCATGTACCGTTGCACATGCCGCCCTCAATTCCCGCTCCTTACTTCAGGGAAGATGCACTAGGACTATGCGCAGTCTTTGACTGGTTCGTTGGAAGACCAGAAACAACTCTAATAAACGCATGCTCCTCGGCGTCATTATCCAGGCTTCACCTGAGAGGCTTACCGTAGTCGCAAACCGTTCCTTCGATCCATTCTTTCTGCTCCCTTCAACATTCAGTAGAGAAACCTCAGGGCGGTTTGCAGGTTGCATAGGTTGCCGCAAGTTGCTCCAATCACCCTCTTTCTCCCTCGAACAACCCCTTCCTCCTTTCGAAGTTGGTCTGCTGCTGTTGCATGTAAGGTAAACCCCCTGATTAGCAGGGTCCCCAATTCCTTGGTTAACAATCCATTCTCGGGCTCTTCGAACGCCCCCCTCCGTGTCTTCCCAGGCGCCTTTTTCAAACCCCCCTAGAGTTGGCAAACAGCAAGGAAGAGATGGAAATTGGCGGTCCGCGCTACTTGGGCGATCCAAGCCTCGGGGACCTCGACGCGCACAGCCTCTCGCAGGCCTTCCACCGCATGCGCATCCAGCAGCAGGTGGCGCTCCAAACCGAGCGCATCCTGGCCCTGAGAACTCCCCCCGGGGGGATCTCCAGGGCAGATTACGCGGGCTGGGAGACGCCCTCGCCGCCGCACACACCGATCGGGGGATTTCACCGGGCGGAAAGTCCTGTCTCACCGTTTGTGAAGAGTCTTGGAATGGGAGGAGGGAGCACTTCGCCTCGCTCTGTGGTGGACGCGCATGTTGCGGAGGCGTATAAGAAGCTGTTTGGGGAGGAGCCTTTCGGCAGGGACGTCGCCAGTCCGGGGATTCGCGGGAGAAGCGCGCCAGGTGGGTTTGATCTTCATCTTTCTTCAGGCCTGTGAGTGGAGGGGCTGATAGCATTGCTAGGCAGGTGGACTGGGGTAAATGTTCTTGGGATTATTTGCGTTATTGTGAGTTCCTCTGTAGGCTGTTTGCTATTTGGTGTGAGGAGAGAAACAGATAGAGATTGGTTTTGTGAAGGTTTGTCGATTGGTGGATTCAGCGACGGAGGCATTCTGAGTTGGCTTCTCAATAAAGTATGCCAAGAAACACCAGAGTTGTCATAAAAGCTGCTAGGGTTGATCTGTGTTCGAAGTAGAAAATGTTAGGCCAAGTGCCCGGTTTTAAGAGCAGTAGGGAATCACGATTATCAGTCTGTCCAATCATGGAGTCTGTAACATCATCGGTCTCAAGATCTTCTTCCGTTGTATGTTTTACTCATTGAAGCGAGGTTCACAATCAGACAAGATGGGGGGCTTGTGATGCTAGAGAACAGGGACAAGGGGTAGTTCATAAATCCTCTGCTATCTGTTATTTACTCTCTAGTCACGAGGACAATTTAGCAATCAGGCTGAACATCCTGAATAATCCAAAGCAGCATTCCGCTTCATTGAATCATTCACTTCTACGACTGGACTCTCTCCCTTCCTCAACCTTTGCAATCAATTGTCTTCCCTCACCAGATGAGATAATATTTGAACTTGCGAAAAAGAATTTCCCGCAAAATTTGCTGATCTGTTTTGTTTCGAGGTCATTATGCAAATTCTGCAAATGTGTCTTTAGACAATTGTGCCGTTTCAAAGTTATGGCATTCTTGTGAAAGCATAGAAAGGGTTTCTTGGTAGGCGGGAGGATACCGTATCCTCAAATCTGCGGAGGCGGCTTTGTTAAGTTTAGACCCAGAATGTCTTCTTATTGCTTGTCTGAAACCCAGTTACGATACAACCTCTCCTTTCGAAAAACCCCTTCCTCTCTGCTTTTCAAGTCTCTGAATCAGGAGGGATTCTCAAGTTCAATCTTTTCGAATCAAGCGCTCCTAAGCTGCGTGGTTGATCCTGCTGTCGCGAACCTGAGGAATCAATCCAGAAGACCGAATGTGGAATACATTGGTACTTGATCCCGATATCAAGGAGTCTGGTTTCGACCGCCCGTCTTGAATTGTGGACATAGCAACAACGCTGAAGCTGCGAAGTACAGCAAGCATCAATTCAGCCATCTTTGATGTTCGTTGGTTCCATCATCTTTCAATGATCTTTTCATGTCTCCTCGTTTCGATAGCCGTTCTTGATCGCAAAAGAATTTCGTCCAACTTCTCTCGAATGCAACCGTTACACTTCTTCGTGAACCCGCGTCTACAGATTTTGTCAACCTCTTCCGGTATCGTGTAACCCCTCGTCTTTCGAAAGTCTCCTATCAACTAGCCTCTGCTTATACCCCCTGCTCATCTCGTATACTCACCTCGTATTCATACGCCCGCAGGTCCCACCGATGCCGTCCCCAGCCTGTCTCTGCCCCCGGCGCAAGTCGACCTGTTCCTCCACAACCAGCTGATTCTGCGCGAGCTGCTGCTGCGCGACCCCGCGCGCGCGGCCGCGCTCCTGGGCGGCCTCGGCTCGCCCAAACCCTCAACCCCTGGGACGCCACGTGGGCTGGATGCCGCCGGCAAGCTGGGGCAGCCGCAGGCGCAGAACAGTTTGTACAAGACGGAGCTGTGCCGGTCATGGGAGGAGACCGGGGCGTGCCGCTACGGGGCCAAGTGCCAGGTATGAAGAACACCGGGCGATTTGGACGCTTTCTGTCTGGTTTGACTCCGTTTTTATATTTGGTGCGGAGCTTCGAAGGCGGCGCGAGTTGAGGGGGGAAATTGCGAAAGGAGAGCGGTGCTTGCCGCTACGGGGCCAAGTGCCAGGCGAGAGGGCGACCGGGGGAGTCAACGGAGGGGGAAGTTTGTCGCCCGCTTGAGGGGTTCTGCGTTTGGCATGACGCCTCGTCAGATTCGAGAAGTTTCAAGGCGAGTTGAACGCTTTCTGTCTGGTTGAGTCCGTTTCACTTTTCTGTGCGGAGCTTCGAAGGTGGCGCGAGTTGAGGGGGCGAGTTCTCGAATGGTCTTCGATAGGTTAGGGGGTGCTGCTCTGACCGTCGATTCCGACTGACTTGCCCTCCTTGATTGGAACAGTAATTCGATTGAAACACCGGAAACGTAGCCATTCCCGTTCGCTTTAAGCGCAGACTGAAAATGCCTGCAGTCCTACACAGGCCTTGTGATTCCCTATGTTATGATTGAATTTCAAAACGGCGGCTGGATCGCTGCAACAAACGCCTTTGTTCAGAGTCCGCGGCTTCTTTTAGATGAATGAAACTTCATCCACTTGCTCAGAAAAGTCTCCAATCTGGTTCTTCGGCATATTGAGTCTGTCCATCAACATCGACCCGGGAGTTCTAAACTTTGGGTTTGTGTGCAGTTTGCGCATGGCAGGGAGGAGCTTCGCGAGATTCAGAGGCACCCCAAATACAAGACCGAGGTGAGAAACTCGAACGCTGTTTAGGTGGTCATATTCAGCTACTGACGAACCAAGTGGAACCTTTCAGAGATGGTGGAGGCTGTCTCCCCTCCTCTTTGCTGTCTCCAAACAGATCAAGTGTCGGTTGGAAATGAGCGATTGGATGCGAGACTTCGGAGCAATCGTGGGCCCTTTTGCAGAAATGTTGGATCTTCCTGCTGTTAGCCACTCTTGACGATACGAAACCTTTTGGACGCTCTTCTGCTCGACAGCTGGTTCCCTCTTTAAAATCAACCTTCGCTTCGCCGGCTGACGTCACCTTGTGCGCGCGCCGCAGATCTGCCGCACGTTCAGCACCAACGGCACGTGCCCCTACGGCACCCGCTGCCGCTTCATCCACGGCTCCGCCCCCCCGAAAAAGGACGCGCCGCTCGCGCGCAGTTCTTCGGGCGGCAGACGGTTGCCCATCTTCGCGACCCTCGCGCCCGAGGCCGCGGCCGCGGCCGCGGCTGCGGCGGCTGCGCCCATCAGGGGCTAAACCCTTAAACCCCGAACCGTCAGAAGGAGTGGTTGAGTGGACCTCCTGACGCTCAAGGGGACGTTGGCTGGAACGTTGACAGGAGGAGGTACTTGCGAAAGGGTTTGGTAGTTGTCAGGCAGGGTCAAGGACAGGGTTAAGAAGTGTTAAAGACAAGGTTAAATAAAAGCCGGAGTAGAAAGCCGGGAGTTGGAGACGCGACTCGGTTGTCAGGCGTTGCCGGGGACGTTTTGCCAGGGCCGTCGAAGCGGGCCGTGGACGCTTTGGCTGTAAAGGGTTTCGACGGGGCCCCTCCCGGGGAGGCCTGGGTCTCCAGTTTTGAGGAGGCCGTAGATATGCAAATAAGGGGCAGACGCTCCTTTCCAGTTGCTTTCTTTATTGGACAAAGAGGGGGGATGAGTGCGGTCTGCGCGCTCGAGGGTCGGAAAGTGCTTCTGAGCTTGTACTAGGGAAATACGCACTTCGCGAGTGAACGATTGTCGGTCTGACGTCGCAATACGTGATGGGAATCAATCCGCTGCAGACGTGTACGTAAAAAGATTCGGTCGGAAGGAGTATGGTGGTTATGGTATTTGTATTTGGTTATAGTAATGACCAGAAAGTGTGTGTCCCGTATAAGGGAATCCCGTCCCGTGCCGTAAGGCAAAACTCTAACGCAGCCAGTAGATGGACTGCTGGGGGGCCGTTATACGTAGGTAGATCAGGTGTCGTGGCCGGCAAGATACTAGGACTCTGGTGGGCAGTCAATCTTATTAACCAAAGCTTTGCGTACTTCTTCAAATTCAGTTCTTTGTCAGAAGCTGATTCATTACAACCGAGCCCGACATGCATGGCTTACTTCAGAAAGTTCATACGGTACTTTCTATAGCTGGATGCAGTGTGAGTCAACAACATAGTGATACCTGGATTCCTACGGTCGAAGTTACATACAATGTTGTGGACTGAATCAGTGCGCGGTCAATTTTTTTCCGCAGGAGTGCATCCGTCTTTGCATCCACTCACGATGCACGCAACTTAAATTGGGCGGAGACAACGCATACATGCTTCTGCCACATGGTAACATGTAGTTTGCCCCAACCGCGTCGGGGGATCCGGCCTCAAAACGGGAATGCGCCCAGCGCAAAGAAGTTCGCGAAACATGCGGGCTATAGCATGCACCGGCCCCTAGCTGCACATGTGCTTGCATGACGGTGGCAGCCTCGGAGACTCATACAGGCTTACGAAGCAACATGCAAATACTCTAGCTGTGAACAAGCTTTGGCGTAAGTACACTTAATCCTTACAGTCGACACAATCAGGAAACCGGGACCTGCATTCGAGCAATGATTATATTGCCACTCTGAGGGCAGATGTGGTGGTTGGAATCGGTCGCGTTGACTCACCGGCTGGATAGCGCCCACCAGTCTGCCAGCAGACGCAGGCATACAGATATCGATACACCGTACATATGCACACAGTTGCGAAGAACCATTTTTCATTTAGGCCACATTCGAGTAGATGTAGCAAAACCTCATACGTCCACATCCATTGAACACATCAAGGCATGATCCAGTGTCTTTACTCGGTACTGCCAGCCAGGCAGGCACAGGGTATGGCACACAGATTTTTTATTTTTTATTTTTTACGCATATTCCCTTCAAGGATGTCCGAGCTGTTTCTGCCTGGTCCGCTTGACCCGACGCTACTCGGCCATCTCATCCCCCTCCTCTCCGCTCCCCTCTTCCCCTTCGCTTTCTTCTTCCCCCTCGCTTCCCTCCTCCTCAGCGCTCTCTTCCTCCGCATCTACTTCTTCCGCCTTGGCTCCGTTTCTAACACCGTTTGTAGCCGCCGGCCGGTAGTCCGTTTCGAAGTCGTAGTCGCTTCCGTCGTCCTCTGGCAGCTTCTCCGCCTTCTTTTTCTGTTTCCGGGCGGCCCGGGCAGCGTGCGGGTTGTAAATGCCCTCCGCATCGTAGAGGATTTGCGTCTGCGAAACATTGAAGAAAGGGAACGGTCAGTGGGCAGTCAAGCTGACAGCGACGAGAACCGGTCGTAAACAACCAGAAGACAGTCCAGGCTGTCGGACAAAGTAAAGATCCCTCCGATGTTGCAAGCAAATTAAGGGTGTCGACAGCTGTCAAAATGATCGTGGCAGTTGGCAAAACTCAGATTGAAGGGATCCACATCGTCAGGCAAGGCAGCAGCTGTGGCTTCAGATAGCTCGTCGTCAATGTGCCCTACTCTGCCTGTGACTGGCATCCGTTGAGTTGTTCGTTTTGCGAAATGTTTTCCGAGCCTTTAAGTAGCAGCTCGACTCAAGGAAATTCCTTCAGAAAGTCATGCCGCCATCTATTACCGGCAGGATCGACCCACTCCGCTGGTCCGCCTACTTGATTCCATAGCGAATCTCCGGTTTAGTGCTGCCGCTCATTACGGACGGAATCAGAGCACGGGCTGAAGTCAGCAGGGCGTCTCTAAGTCAACAGGGGAGCCGCTTGGTCTAGCCCAAAATGGCAGACCGTCGGCCAGTCCAAATCTCCTTCGGCGGACATGCTGAAAAAGCAAGCGGGCTCATGAGAACTGCTCTGCTGACGTCACTTGCGCTGCTGACGTGGCACGTCCCTCACCTGGTTCAGGTACGCGGTCCCCCGGTGCTCGTGCTCGAACGTGCTCCCCTTGGCGACCCGTTCCTCGTCGTCCATATCGCTCGTGGTCGCCTGCTCCTCCTCTTCTTCCTCCTCTCCCTCGCTTTCTGGCAGCCCCTCCGCGCCCTCCATTTGGGGGGGTCGTCCGGCGGGCTGCAGGGAGGGAGGATATACAAAATGAGACAGTTGGACTATAAGAAAAGAAGTAACGAGTGTACATCACGTTGTGGGCTTGGCCACTATTCCTTCTTCCCCCTCGCCGTCGCTTTTCGGAAGCCCTTCCGGGCCCTCCATTTGGGGGGTTGGTCCGGCGGGCTGCAAAAACGGGGGATGAGTTTACTGAATTGAAAACTGAGACAAATGCATAGGGGAGATTAAGAGTCAGAATTGTTCCTCGTCGCCTCTCCTCCTCTTCCTCCTCTCCCTCGCCGTCGCTCTCTGGCAGCCCCTCCATGCCCTCCATTTGTGGAGGCCGTCCGCAGGCTGCAGGAGGGGGGCCACCCGTCTCAAGCCAATCCGCCTCAAAGCTCTGAACTCTTATCATCCAAGAATGCACTCAACGTTTCAGACAGCCAATGGCCTTGACCGGATTTGCAGCATTGCATAATTACAGCAAGGGCAGCCCCGCACGTCCTGTAGGCAAGCAACGCTTTTCGAGTCGAAGCCTGCAGCAAAACGCGAAATCAGCATAAGAATCCTAAGAACTTAAAAAAGGCAACGACTTAAACCCTCACCAGCTTTGCATAGTTGCCCTCTTGCAGCGACTGCCCTCCCCGCAGTCTCTGAACCCACTTCGTTCATGAACAACGCCTTAACGTCGATGCCTCCAGAAAACCGGAACCTAATATATAAACCCTGAGAGCTTGAATAGCTTTAAAGGAAACACTCACCAGCTTTGCTTACTCTCCCTCATGCAGCAAAGGCAGCCCCGCAATCATCGTACTCGTCTAATTTGCAAACACCGCCTCCACATTTTCACCAAAAGCGGAACCCCTAAGACAAACTTAGAACTTATTAGCCATAAACTCAAACACTCGCCAGCTTCGCAAATTCTCCTTTCCGCAGCGAGGGCAGCCCCGGAATCACCGTCCTCGTCTCTTTTGCAGACACCGCCTCAACGTCAATGCCTCCAACATAACCGGAACCTGTCAGACAAACCCTACAAATTTCAATAGCCATAAAGGGAAATCTCACCAGCTTTGCATACTCTCCCTCTTGCAGCGATGGCAGCCCCGCAATCACTGTACTCGTCTCGTTTGCAAACACCGCCTCCACGTCGAACTCCTTGCCCCACCCGGCCACCACTGCCGCGTCCGCCACGTCAGCAGCAGCGCGCTTGGGGGGCGACGTGTAGTAGGGAATCGCCCCCCCGTTCCAGTCGTGCAGGACGACGCGTGCCGTTCCAGTGATGTCAGGAACGCCACCCTGCGGATCCGAGGATTGTCGAGCTTTAAATACTTGGCTTTTTTCTTCAGTGACGAAATACTTAGCCCTTTCAATATATACAGGCGTGTGAACGAACTCTGCTGGCACATGTAAAAATGCTGCAAAAAAGAGTACGGCGCCCCGAACAGGATGCGCTTAAAAGAGCTTCTCTGAGTACAACCGCTGATGTTAAAATCCGCCGCCCGAGGAGGGACTCAATAAGTAATAGAATAATCAAAGCACTGGGAGGGTTTGAACACCTAAACGAAAAGGCAGAATAATAGTTGGCGGCAGAGCAAACCGGAAGAAAGCTCTATTAACGCAACGCTCCTTGGTGCGTGTTGAAAGCCACACCCATTGACTAGGAAACGGCTTTGATCGGGACAAGTTGGAAGAGCCAAGCAGGATACCGATAACCAAATTGAAAACCAAGAGGGCCCTGTCAAAAAAGTCCTTGGTGCAAGCCCGCAGGTAACAGACATTGACAATCATAAATGCAATCCAACCCGTCGTCTTCTTTTGGCCCTTCTTTAAAAAGGATCGAAAGTGCGCTTCTTCGTCGCGCAGGCATGCGAAGCTTGCTGAAGCGGTAACTCAGAACCGACTGCAGGTCCACCTTTTTTAGCTTCCCCCGGGAAGCAGCGACTGCGCGCAGGAACTCATCGACGTCCTTGAACTTGGCAATCTTGTAGATGGACATCAGCTGCTCAGGGGGGCACAGCCGCAGAATCTCCGAGACTGCACAAGACGGGTAAATTGCGAGAAGTGAGAATGTGCAGCGCAACGAGAGGTTCGAGGTCCGCAAGGATGTCAAGCAACTAGAAGAGCGACAGACAAGCCCCTGATAAGATATGTGGTGACTAGGATGAAAAATGTGAGCGGGAGGTACGACAAATCCACATCGCAAAGCAACTCAGCAGAAAACGCTGGGAAGGACTGGCGGACGATATCCAAATCTGCAACAAAGCGGATCGAGACAAAGACGAAGCAGATACGGAAGACTAAGGTGGAAGGATTAAAAGGCGGAATAGCGGCGATAATTAGCATACCTGGCAAGATGGGGTCTTCCAGCTTCTCCACTTTGACGGCGTTCCGCAGCGCGGCCGCGGCCTCGTTCCCGACCGCAGAACTAAACACAATCCCCGGACAGTCGAGCAGCTTGACGTTCTTGTCCAGCTGGATCTCCTGCATCGACCGCGTGACGCCAGGTGTCGCGCCGACATTGGCCACCTTGGAGCGCTTCAGACTGTTGATCAGGCTGCTCTTGCCGACGTTGGGGAAGCCGACGACGCCGACCGTGATGGACGTTTTCAACTGGGGGAGAGTATACGAGGTCAGACGAAAGGGTCCAGCAACTTCGATGGAACTAGAGGATCGAGTCAGACAAGCAGGTCGAAAATGGTGAGAGCGGGCCGAGGAGTGTGGTGAACCTCCACTGTGTTTCTTCGACTTGGTAATTATTAGTTGCGAGGGCACTGGAGGGCCCATACCAGCGTCCAAATCCCGTCAATTGAATCTACTCGTGAATCCTTTAAAGGGTGTCCCGACGTCTAGCAGCTTCAAGAACGTGACGCCCACGTCTTCCCTCTCGGCATCCAGGATGAAAGCGTTGGCGCAGACAAGCTGTTTCTGGGACTCTTGTCAATGCGAACACGTCGAAGGGGCTGGTGCTTCAATAAGGCCAAAGCCCCACACTCCGTCAACCCCCGTAAACTCCATCGAACGTCCGTGCAGACTTCAAGGTCATCCAGCCCAATGCTGAATGCCCAGCTCTATTTGCTTTCACTTGCACTAGACTAAGCCCCATTTCTGCTTGGACGGATTTCTCAGATTTATACGAAAGCAGTTCTTTCCTACTCTTGGACACCCCCTCTTAACACCATCGACCGAGGACGTCTCATTACTGTGACTACGCTTTCTTGTTCCAGTGAGCTCCTTTGTGCCCCTCACGAATGCTTTTGAACACCTCTCAGATCAACCTGGTTCGTTTTGAACGCGCGCGAGCAAAGTCGTCGAAGAGCACTGGCTGTCAAGGAACAAGTCCGCTCATGAGCCAAGTCGTCAAAGGTCGCTCACGTTCTGGTTCCTCGAATAGTTCTTCAGCAGCTGCAGCAGCGTATCGGCTCCCAAGCTCTCACTCCCTTGCAAAGCGCCCGCCCCCGAAGTCGCTGAGGGGAGCGACTTCTGGCCCAGGTTGCCCTTCTGTAACTGCGTTGACGCTTTGAAGGCGACGGTGGGCAGCTCCTCTCGAAGGTACTTGAGCCATTGCTCCGCCACCTCCCGAGGAACAAGATCTGAAATCACCAATTTAAGGATTTAGGACTTGAGCTTTCAAAATTGACAAATCCGACCATTCGAAAGCCGTCACAAGAATCTCAATACTTCGGACTGGTGGGGCTTGCCGTTCTTGAACGGGAGACTGCACAATTGATACCACCGGCGGTGCGGACACAGAAACAACCTTCTCCTGCCTTCTTTATGACCCCTGGCCAACAGCAGCAAACCCGTTTAATAGAAAGAGGTCAGCTTCCCTGAGGCCAATCTCCTGCATGATGTTCTCAACACTACCCCGACATATGCGGCGCCAAAAGAAGGAGTCCCTGAGCTCTGAGTTTGTAGCCAGTAGCAGGGCTCTTCAAGGTCTCAGAGACAGGAACTCTCGTCAATCGTAGCTCCACTCTCACCCAAACTGGAAAAGAACCGGCCTTCTTCGAGAAACTTTATGAGCCGGACAGCAAAAGACACCAGAAAAGATTTCAGAATTCTCCCTTACAAGAAACAGATCGAGCAGGCTTGCTCAGACTGTAGTACTCCTTCCGTGATGGGCCCCTCGATAAAGTCCCCTTCAGCAAAGCATACCTGGCAATATTCCTAAAGCTTCCCCAATTGCTTCTTCCTTGAGCATCAGGCCATGCGCTTAAACCTCCGATTCCTGGGGCCGACCTGTCCTATCGTAACCATGTAAGATTTGTCGACATTTCAGCACCCCAATGAAATTGTGGGTATGACCGAGTAGCAGGAACAGGAGCTCCAGCTCTTTGAGAGAACTTTGTTTAAAAACTCAGGTATTTAGTCAACCTCCGACCCCCTGCTTACCTATCTTATTCAGCAGCAGAACCATGCGCTTGAGGCCCCCGCTCTTAAGCACAAGCCGCTCCACCTCTTTGCAGCGGCTCCCGAGGGGATCCCTCGCGTCCAGCACCTGGATGATGACGTCAGCGGCCTCCACCACCTTGAGGAACTCCTTGTAGTACGCGCGCCGAGAGCCGTCTGCAAGCAACAATGCCGCTTATTATCAGCTTGGGAAGTTAAGTTCCAAGTTTTGCCTAGAATGCGGCAATCTGATGGGCGCCGGAATTCGATAGAGTTGGGAGGGTCCGTATGATTTTAAGAGGACGCTGCGACAGGGGGGTACTACGTGTGCCTAACAAAGACGTGGCCAGAGAATTTTACAATAGACAGTCACGCCAGGGCTGCCCGCTAACAATCTTCACATTAACCCAAGCTGCCAAGGAATCAGCAACAGCTACACACTATCAAAAGTGGAGTACTGAGACGCGCGTCCTTCCGTCTTAGAAAGAGTGCAATACGGCCCTCGTGCTCTTCTGACTAACCTGCCACCGGAGGCCGCACGTTCCTGGCAGCACCACTTCTGACACAAAAGCCTGGCACCAAACCAAAAGCGGGCACAAAAGAATCATGCAAGGGCTTGATCGATTCGACTGTCAACTTACCGTTGAGACCACCTCCCTCGAGCTTTGCCTTCTTCTTGCGCTGCCTCTCAAAGTCCTGCTCCCTGGCCTCCGCCTGCTGGGCCAGCGCCGCGAGTCCCTCATCCTCTCCGTCGGCGTCATCGACGTCCATTGTGCTGGCCTTTCTCTTTGCCGCCTGGACGCCCAAAAGTAGCAAGTCACTGAGGTGATTTGTTACCATCATCATCATTGGATGTGATTAATGTCAAACAAGATTTTGAAACGAACAGCAGATATCGCCAGTGGCCATGCCCAAGATACCGGCGAGAGCCGCACCTATTCATCCTTGATCTGTTGCAGGAAGAGAAACTTAAGTGAGCCCCAACTGAAACCCTAATTTTAAGAGGGCTGCCTTCAAGAGCACTAAAGAGATGGAAGCCTGACTCTCAAACTGTTGCGATGGTGGTGGTGTTTGTTCATACATTCAGAAAGGACTTTTTGAATTTTCTCTATCCTTCAGTACTCCAATCTGATGTGGTGGTGGGTCATACAATTTTTTCAAGACGAGTATAAACAAGCCAGAAGATGCAAGGAGGATACTACGGGAACCTTGAGATAGAGCGCCGGTTAGATTCATCAGAAAGGTGGAACGAAGCCCCCCAACAGACACATTGGCACTTTGGGCCAGATTGCAGCTGTATGCTTCATTTGATGCCTCAATTAACTATGCTGCTGCAAATTTACCTTTCACCACCAAGGCGGAGCCGAAATCAAAGCCAAAAGCGAAGCCAACAAGACAATCAAATGTCAGCAAGAGCAATTCGCCCCAGCAATGCGGTAACGGCCCAAGCATTCCTCATCTTGCCTCAGGATCATTACCAACCTACAATGCAGGCTGCACCACCCCCATCAAAGCCTCAGAAAGTACATCCCCATATAAAAACTTACCCTTGCCTCCTTCTTCTCCTGCTTCTTCCTCTCAATCTCCTCCAGAGTGCGCGCCCTCTTCGCCTCCAGTGCCGCTAGCTCTTGTTCTCTGAACGGCCATTGCGCAGGAATTCCAGGATCCTTGAGCACTTTTTGCTTGCCCCTCTCCTGAATCTTGGCCTCCTTGGCCTTCTTCTTGTGGTGGTCCTTCACTTTCTTCAGGATCTTGTACTTCTTGCGCAGCGGGAGCCGCTTGCTCTTGCTTTTGGAGCTGCGCTTCGGCATGGTGGCTGCCGGTCAGCTGGCAACAGCGGCACGCCCGTGCACTCAAGAGGAAGGGCCTTGACAAACTTTGCACCAGCCTGCAACTTCAAAGCTCTCAGCTTAGCCTTCGGACTTCAACTGACGAATTTGAATGGACGAGCTGATTGAAGACAATCAGCAAAGAAGGTGTTCAGCACCGTGCTGCTCATCTTCCCCTCCGCCTCGTGTGGGATGTTCGCCGTTGGATCGAACGGACGGCTCATGAAGGACAAGACAAAGCCTTTCATAGAGCAGACTGTGCCGTCCGATGACCAACAATGCAGACGATGATTTTCGGCGCTCAACGTGTCCGTTGCACTGGAAACTCCTAACCCTAAAATACGTCCCTTTACTTTTCTTGCGTGCCTAGCTCCTGCCTGCATTTCTTCAAGTTCTGGCGCTGCTCCCTAGCCAGGGAATCCTCGCATATGGCCTGAGCACTGCTCCATTGTCTTCCCTGAGGCTTCTATTCTGCGCTGATCAAGCCGATCCATTGTTGATTAGTTTACTTCCAGCAAGATTTCAAGTTGCTGGAACCAGAGGGTCTGGCCAGTACGGGCCTCAAAGAGCTTTCTTGATCCTTTCTTACTCTCAGGCGATCTGCTGCCGGGCCAGGCAGGCATGGCTGCATCTCTGGCGACTCGAGGCAGAGCAGTTGCTGCCTCAGCTCCCTATGAATTGGCGCTGTCCGAGAGGACACTCTGCAGCACTCCTGCTTTGTTTAATCTGGGCCATCGCACGCACACCTTCAGAAGGAGCAAGGGCATTCCATGCGGCGATCAGGGAAGAATAAGGCCACAGAGGCATGTTCCGCGCCTAGCTGAAACAAAGTTCACTGGCCGGAGATTGTCTGCGGCGATCAGCAATGATGAAGCTAGCCACAAGCAGCGGTTTGTAGCAATCAGAGCGGATGGTGGCGAGTCTGCCACAGCAGGAGCTGAGAAGTCCAAGTCTGCGAAATGGGACGGGCTTACAACACAACTTGCCGCATCCTCGACTGCCGCGTTCCTGGTGAGGCTCTGATTCAACTTTTTTTTGAGGTGCATTCTTGCGGACTATGTATATTCTGCTGTAAATCCACCTCTTTGCATCGAAAGCAGGTTCTTATGTTCCCCCTGTCGAGAAAAGCGTTCAAAGTCCTCAATCTTCAGCAAACCTTGGAGTCGACAAATCTTCCAACAATCCCCCCGATATCTTCAGTACTGAATTGCAATCTTGTTCTGTTGTTTGCAGGTACTGATGCTTCCGCAGATCTTGAAAAACCTGACCAACCTGCGCCAGGGCAACTTGGCACCCATTGGTGTCCTTCCATGGATGGTGAGCATGATGAAAGATAGACAGTATAGGATGGCAGGATTTTCCTGAATCGAGGTTTCCGGCACCTGGGGGTAGTTGTTTTCCCCGAGTGCAGCTAACTTTGACGCACAATCCAAGAACATAAGAGAATAATCTTTTCATACTTGTCTTACAACTAGAGTCCACACAATGTATTCGTCAAAAGCTTCCAAGTCAAGAATGATAAGCTCTAGTCTGGGACACTAACAACCTAGCGATAGGAAACAAAGTGCTCCCCTAACCCGGTTTAACCCCTTTAAGTAACCCCACCTGTCCCAGGATGGTGACCTCAGAAGATCTGCTGAGGCTTATTGCTCTTTCAACTTTTCTAGGGGTACTCGACGGGTCTGCTGGGCAACACTCTGCTCCTCTCCTACTTTGCTGCCAAGAAGGAGAGTGGGGCAACTATCGTGCAGGGCGTTGGAATGCTCAGCACCTACGTGCTTCTATCCACGGTAAGTTTTTCCTTCAAAAGCTCCGAGCTTTGCTCATTTTCGTGGTATGCACCATGTCTGGGGGCTCGGTATTGAGGCTCTGCCTTTCAACATTGACAAACTGTTGCATGTGGTCACTTGAGTTGTCTGCTTGTCCTTCGTAAGCTCCACATGAGGCAGCTTAAGCAAACTCCAACATATGACGCTATTTCACTGAGTCAGCTGTGATGTCAGCATTCAATATTGGATCAGACCCTCAGGATTGGCCCCGTTCTTCGTGCAGATCTTCTTTGGAGGTTTCATGCCCAGCATTGCATACATGGTCGTCTCTGGCGTTGTGGTCCTGGGGCTGTGCCTGAACCTCCTCAACTTTGGCGGCCTTCTCCCAGCTGCCATCTTCAACGTTTGGCAGGACATTGCTGGCATTGTCGGTTTGTCGGTTTTGCCCCAGGTGAGAAGTCGTCGGGAGAATCTAGTCTATTCAAACAAGATCCTCCCTTTGCGCTCTTGAATCACACTCAGGCTTAACCAGAGCAATTGAGTGCTTTTGCCAAAGCATGGGAAACCATGGCCACTGGCAGAGTCTAATGAACTTGTGGACTTGAAGGCATCACAGCTAAAGTAGCGATCGGACTACAAGTGCCTATGGTCTTTGAAAACCATTCGAAATAGATGTAGGAAAACGGAGCTGCAAAATGTTGTGCTGTATCGAAGTCATTCTGAAACCTTCCACCCATGTCTCAACCTCTATGTATAAACGAGTCACTCAGTCCTGGCAGGGGCAACGGCTTTTCAGTCGCGCATCCTCTTGCTAAGTCTCATCTTGATCTCTCCAGGTCGTATACTCCACCTTTGCTCCAACGCCCAGCGTCCTCCCAGGATCCCTGGCAGCCGCTGCCGGCGTTCTCTTCATCATCCTGGTGAGACTTTTCACAACTAGGTTTCGTTCCAAGATAATCCCGCACCATACTCAATACCCTCCCGTTCTGGCTGCTGACCCGGCTCAAGAGTGTCAACCCTCTGCGCTAAGGAAAGATGTCTCGAACAGCGTACCTCACTGTCTGAGAAGCAAATAGTTCATCATGATCTAGGAGAATCGACCATGTTGTCAACCTGCCAACAACGCTCAGCTCTCTGGCTCTGTTCACAGCAGGCTTGTGACGTGTCTCGCTTCAATTGTCCTCAAGAAACAGAGTCATTATTGACCCTCTTCCGAATTTAAGTCTCGTCTAAGAGAAGGAAATCGATGGATGGCGAGCCTGAGGTCTGACTTTCTCCTCTGCAGCTCCGCCTAGGGAAGTTGCCCGAGAGCGCTCGCGGCTTCTGGACGCAGCTATCCGCTTGGACTGCCACTCTCCTCTTCATGTTCATGCCCGTCTCGCAGCTGGTGAGTGCGGGTTGCTCCATATTTCCCCCGAGGAAGAGTTCTTCTTCAAGGCGCACTGGAAAGAGTTGTGTGCCCTTCCTTGCTCCATCGACGGCATGTCAAGTGAAGGTCACAGAAGGCTGCTCACAAGGCGGGTGCAGAACTCGGTGTGTTTGATGTTAGAAACCTGAAGAGGCGTCTCATTGTGCTTCTGCAAGCGTATTGCGATCCAGGAATCGAGATTCTTGATGCACATATCGCTTTCGTAACAGCGCACGCATTCGGATTCCACACCGGGCCAAGATGGCGGTCGTACAAACCCTTGAACCGCCGAAGTATATACCTTTCTGTCGCTTCAATCCTTGCGCTTGAAGATCAACCTCGGACTCTTAAGCGATATTTGCTCTTCGACCTAAGTCGTTTCAGAAAGTCAAGGGCGACTGGCCAACTTTCTCCAGTTGACGGGCTCCATGAAGCAGCAAATTCGCCCGTTGTCGGTGAAGACGACACGCTCGACCCGGACAAACACAAGACTACTCTTTTCGCAACCCAAAAACGCTTTGCAAAACCCGCCCAGTTAACGAGGTTAACCCTCGCTCCCGCAGGTCAGTAACTTCACTAACCCCGAGTCGGTCAAGGGGCTGTCCCTCGCCACCGTGTTGCTGGGCATGGCCGGGAACGGCCTCATGATCCCCCGGGCGCTCTTCATCCGCGACCGGATCTGGTGAGTGCGATCCAACGGCTCTCGGGTGATCATTCGGCGGAGGGGAAGCTCTGATGCAGGCTGGTGATTGGGAACCGTTGCTATATTATAAGCTGCAGTCGGTGTTTCTGCGCCCTAGTCCGCCGCTCGCTGAAAGTTTACAGGTTGGTTCCTATGGCTGGCGCCAGAGCGGAGGCGGAGTGCGCCTATACGTGTGCGTCGGCCTCGAAGCGGCAGTCCTTCCGGCTCGCGCGTTGATCCCCCTTTTCGAAGACAAGTGTTTCTCTCATGTTAGGATGGCAAGCTTGTGGTCATTGCTCACGTTGAGTTTGCACAATGATGATCATGCACACAAAAGTCCCGAACTGACGATACCTCGCTTCTGCGGATCAGGTTCACTGGTTCGACCTGGGGTTGCATGATGCAAGGCTGGGCTTGTCTTCTCAGCATGTTCATGTAAGCTGACCCGCCCTCCAGTCCCTTTCTCCATTTCCGTTCCGTCCTCATCGAAGTTTGTTGCTTCTTTGGATGTTCTTTTCGTTGGCTCTGTTGGTTCGGCAGGATCATTCCAAACCGGAATCGACTTTTGGTTGCTTTTTTGTTTTTTGGTAGGCTGGTTCGACCATCGCATTGCGGAGCATCAAAGCTCGGCCAGGCTTCTGCTTCACTTCCCTAGCAGCCCGCAAGCTTTTGTCGAACTCACTGGATGCCAGCGGTTGTAATGTCGGTTGGAGCCCGCCAGCGGGATCGTCTTGATTCATCCCATGCTAGAGATCCGATGAGCGCCGTTCAATGGAAGTCCGTACATTCAGCGGGATCGGCAGAGACATTTCTGGTGAAGGACGCTCGGTTATTCCTCCGGCTATGCACTTCACTCCACCATTGATTGCGACAGACACATCCTGTCGGATATGGATTCAAGCCTCTCTGCGCGCTGGTGCCACGATCTTTTACGATCTTCACGCAAACGATGAACACGTCTTCTGCAGGTACGATGCGACCGACAAGCTCACTTTCTACGGGGTGTCTGGTTTCCTGTTCACCTACTTCGGTAAGCGCACGTCCAGCTTTCCTCGCCGATCCATAATCATAAGCGAATCGTTTTCTTGTAAGCCACAGAGGCGCCCTTCTGCGTCCCCTTCTGAGGATGCGTCTCCGGGAGTCTATGCAATGTGACCGTTACCTGAAGATTCAAATGGACGCGTATTTCTGACGAGGCGAAGCCAGCAGCGTTCCAAGCGTCCCGCGAAGGAGAGTCGTCGAAGCAACGCCGTTGCTTCCCTGTCTTGCGGTCCATATGGTGCTATGGCCAACTTTACCTGTACTAATGGAGCTACTCAAGTATTTCAATTGCGTGTTGTACTTAGACTTCGTGCAATCTTTCAATCTGGTGTTCTACGTTACAAGCAAAATACCGCACATCAGTAAATTAAGTTGGGTTGCGGCGCTCTTTGAGCGCTCCGTCTCCACCTCTGTCACGAGAAGCAAAAACCACTCGGAGTGCTGCATGGCTGGTATGGCACCAATCTCAATCGTCAATTCAGACCGTGGTCCAGGTTCCGTGGTAAGGGGAGTCGCGCGTGCGTTGCTGACCCCTCCGCTTACCTCTCTACAGCCACTATTCTTCTGATGGACGGTCAAGCCAACGGCCTGTCGAACCCGTTGTCTTCATTAGTGGAGGTCGTCCGGGGCCGCAAATCGTGAAGGGGCGAACGTCAACAGTCTCTAGACAACCCGCGGTCTGCGCCTGCATCACTAGAGCAAACACCAAGGATACCGCTGGGTGCACCACGGTCGTGGTCACCCTAGGTCAAATCGATCCAAGCGGTGAGCAGTGCGCGCTAGGCATGATGAAGCCTATAAGGAGGCTTGTGCGGTGGGGCGAGGGTTGAAGACCTGCGCTTGAGAGTTGGTTTCCAAGAGCGGAACAGCGTTTTTCTGATTTTGGCAACGGAGTCGATTGTTGCTTAGTCACTGACTTCCATGCGAGCTTGCTTCAAGATAGGTTAGACCCTGAGCATATTTGTTCCATGACAATAGCACTCTTTACTTTAGCTAGGACTTGACAGAACTAGATTTAAAAGGTATTGCTGTATTCATTGCTCAATATTGGCAGTACTTAGAGTTGTCCAGCCAATTCAGGGATTAGGTATTCCACATAAGTACATATCTATTTGAGCACTGGCAATCAAAGGTTGCATTGGTTTTATGAACTGCAATCTGAATTCGGAGCTCATATACCTTATCCCACTTGTTGTCATCGGGCACCAGCATACGGTAGCATGCATCAATATCTTCTACATCATGTTTCATCCAAGACTTACGAGTGATACCAAAGTCGCTCACCACTGCTTGCCAGTACATCGTGAACGCCTGGACCTAAGTTCTGAGAAAAGAGGGGCGCTTAATTGAAGTCGTATTTTCGAGGTAGAAGTTAGAACTTTGCTGCTCACCTGCTCTTTTGCACCTAAAAAATACCGTGAAGGCGATAGCTCAACCTTAAGGCTCTCCGCCCGGGGATGTTCCGGGCCTGTTGACAGAAGCCTGGGTCTACCGCTTGTCGCCGGGATGATTTGATTGTGATTCCCCCACCCGCAAAAGGCGGGTCCAAGAAAGAAGCCAAGGAACCCCGGGGGGGTTTTTAACGGCTCCAGTGTAGTCTAATTTAGACATGCTTTGATGTAGAACCGTCGATAGGAAGTTTGTATTGAACTAGAAAT